GCCGTTTATTAATGTTCTTGGGCAGAGCTTGGAAGAGTATATAAGTATGATTTGATGTTGACATTACATATCTATGGGTTTGGCGTTTGTATATATTGGAGTCTCTGGAAAATAATGTATTCATGAACTCATGAGGTGGGCGACTTTGATCGTCGCCTTTTTTGTGTTTTTTTGTGCTTTTATATTTTTCTGCTATCCCGAATCATCATTTCCTCTGTTTCCATCATCCTCTTCCCATTATCTTCCTGATTCCCCAGTTCATTCACTGAGCTACCCTCCCAGCAAAAGCAAAAACCATAGCAAAGTGACGCCTGCCGCCCATCTAGGAAAGCTCGATCAGATCCCCCCCAAATGGAGACGCCGCGACTTCCTCGACCCTGGAAGTAAGCGAAACTTCGACTAACATAGAAGGAAGCCGCATCGAAGGAAGCCGCATTATCGGTTGACTCACACCTTCAGCTTGGTAGCCATCATCATCCTCTTCGAAGTTTATCAAGTCATTGTCGAGAGTAGGAGGCGTGTCTTGTACTTCACTCATAGCTTCGACCTGACCATCACTATCACGTGCGAAGATGCCCCTCTCAGCCAGGGCGTCTTCCCCTGCACCCAGAACTTCAACCTGACCATCATCGGCATCATCGGCATCATCGTCGAAGTCGATAAGAGTGCCTTGAACCGGAGCAACCACGTTCTGTTCAACTGGAATAGCATCTTTCTGAGGACGTTTCCCGCTAGCGTCAAGCCCAGCCCGACGATAATCATCCAACACGCCACCACCACGCGCAAACGCCTGCCATTGGCGTACACCCTCGGCGCAACGAGCTGTATCTTCTGCGGTGGAGGCAGAGACAGAGGCAGAGGCGGAGGCACGGGTTGGGGCTCGGGTCCGGGGGATGGGGCCGACCTTTTCGTCGCGATCATCTTCTTCGCCATCGACATCATCCCAGTCGGATCCGCCGTCGAAGATCTGGGTTTTGTTGTCCTTGCCCATACCGCAGAAGCAATCGTGAGTGTGTGGTGGAGAGCACACACAAATGCAGAACGTGTTACAGCACTCGCGAATTTCACGGCAGCGCTGTTTGCAGGAGACCCAGTCGTGTTCGGAACTAATGAGTCAAGATGTCAGTATTGGGTGCATGGAAACTGTCATTATTCGCGAAACTTACCCGTGGCATTTGCGGGGACATGGATGTCCGCATGGTAAATTCGTGCCACAAGGCTTGTCGCAGCCGTCACCGATGGTGTTCCAGTCCTTGAGAGCTAGAAAAACGGTTAGATCATCTCTTCCGTTGATATCACTAGGCAGGACAGGGACTCACTCTCGATGAGGGTTTCTTGGTTGTGTCGTGTGCAGTACAGAGGCAGAGCCGGGCCGATACGAGGGTCTTCTTTTTTCTCCGACATCACATTAGTAACTGCATACCAAAACTCACTGTGTTTGCTAACACATCGTGCATTGCCAAATATGTAAAGACCGTATTTGGCGCGCGACAAGGCGACACAAACTCTATTGTCCTGCGCGAGAAAGCCGATACCTCGATGATCATTGGATCGAACAAGCGAGAGGATGACGATATCGTTCTCTTCTCCTTGGTATGAGTCGACGGTCACTATATTGACGTATGGTTTGGCGACGTTGGGATTCTGTGCCTTCTTTCGCATGATCAATTTCCGTTGGCCATTGTAGAAAGTCAGGACAGTGATACTGGATGCCGGGACTTTGTTCATCACCAGGTAGGCAAGAAGATTGACCACCATTGATGCCTCAAAGTCATTCACCTTGGATAGCAGACTGTCGTTGCTTTCATGCGCAGTGTGGTCGAAAAAGAATGATCGCTTGTCTCCCATGCCAGGAACAAAAGGGTGATCTCCAACAGACGGATGGTCATGAAGAAGATTCCCATAGATGGGGGCCACGAGCTCTCTGATTTCTGGCACCATTCGTCTCTGCTCTTGAAGCATGGCGTATGGCATTTTGTTTATCATCAGACGCTCAAACATAGAGACATCGAGGTAGAAAGGGTGCCCGCACAGTTCATAGTCCGCACATTGACCCTTAAGCTGCTGGTGATCACCAACAAGGATAAGATGCTGAAGTGACGGAAGACAAGCGACTGCAACTGGGGCCTCAAGTACTTCTGCTGCCTCTTCGATCAAGATGACTCGGGGTTTCAAACTCGAGACCAGTCCTCTGTATTTGCTCAGACCAGTGGTGGTCATTCCAATGATCTTCGCCTCCTGGAGAATACAGTAGTCCCGTTCAAACCTACCAATTTGAAAATTGGAGGCGCATTTTTTGTAGGTTTGAGCGAGGCGCTGCACAATTTCTCCCAGGATAACCATCAGCTGCTCACGTAGGTAGCCATAGACAGCACCGCGATACCTCTTGTGGATTTTGTAAAAGTCATTCTCTTTTAGCAGATTTTCAACTGTTGCCCGAGAGACTTTGGCGGTGTTGGAGCTGCAAAGACCACCCGACAAGGGGTAATAGCGTGTTTTGAAAGACGACCAGTCATCCTCATATCTTCCGTGTTCGACTTCGATCTCTTTGAGTTGCTCATACTCCAGGTCAATATCATCATCGATGAACCCAAAGTCACCGGCGTATTCGGAGTCAAACTCCTTCACGCAGTCTGAAAGCCAAGCCGCCAAAGGATCGGCATTTGCAGGAGTGTTGGATCGCTGCCATTTGTGTGCAGCTTCCTTCAAGGAATCAACTTGCTCTTGGCTCAAAAGACCATGCTCCAGAAATAGAGATACTGCAAGGGGCTTGTTGCTGTTTGATGGCGCAAGTGGCTTTAGGACCTTCTCAAGCTCAGCCGCGAGTTTGTTCTGTTTCTTTCTCATTGGAGCCATCAAGCCCCCCTCAATTGTCAATAGACCCTGGTTCTGTCTGATCTCATAAGGAGTGTGCTTGCGAATCTCAGGATCGGAAGTTCTTCCACCCAGCCGGACATAGTTCTTCTCGAACACCGAGATATGCTTGATAAGTTGATCTAGAGCATGGTTGGTTTGAGCGGCGATGATTATCGGTGGATCCTTGGGCCCTTTGTTCGAGAGCATCATCCTCAGAGCAGCGAGAGAGGTAAAGGTTTTGCCCGTTCCAGGGGGACCCTGGATGATGGCCAGCTTTTTAGTCAACATTCGGTTCAGGGCTGACCACTGGGATGCATCTAGCTTTCCCATTGGCTGGGAGGGCCATCTCTCGAGGATGTCGTATTTGTTCGTGATATCGAGTCCAGAGACTTCGGACAATGGCGAGAAGTCCATGGATGGTGCGGTGTTGATGTATCCTGGTGCATCAATGTCTTCCTCCAGGCTGCAGATTTGTTCGTTCAACGGGAAACTAGATAAGGTCAGGTAAATTTCAATAAGGGAGATACGATTTGCCGCTGACCTTTCCTTTGACAACTTCTGCAGTGCTGTCAAGGTGTGTCTATTTGCTTCAAAATATCCCGCTCGAGCCTCAACCATGATCCATTCTTGCCTGAGATATACTAGTCAGTATTGTTATATCTTTCAAAACCACTGAACCATAGTATTGCTCACTGTGGATCAACCTCGATATCCTCGGGTGAGGCCAAGAAGAGATCGACCTCTGGGGGGTCTTTCTCAACCGATTCCAGCAGCCGACAAGCTACGACGGCGACAACACATTTGCTCAAGAATGCATTGCGCTTGGGGGTAAGGGCGACGAGTGTTCCAGGATTAAGACGGTTAGAGTATGTCCAGGCAATATTCTTGCCCGCACGACGAGTTGAGAATTGGATGTGCAACGCCAAACCCGCTCGGGCTAGGGTAACACCGATAATGAAGACCTTTGATGTAAAGAGATGGTCAGTACTATCCAAATCCAAGAAATTCCAACGACAGAGCAGTACTCACCTTCTCATAGATGGAGATATCCTGAGTATCCTTCATAAAAGGATCAGCGCGAACCCGAGCCACGGCATTTCGAAGTGGTGCAACTGAGTCTTCCCGGATCAATGCATAATGGGCCTCTAGGTATTTCTCCTTGGAGACCCAAGGCTCCGAAATGCAATTGGGGGTAAGAGCGACAATATCTCCTGATACGTCTGTCCCGAGGATCTCTTCGGTCGAAGGAAGCTCGGGCTTAGTTTGCCAAAGCTTCCAAGGGCCGTAGACTGGTAGATCTGGGTCGAAGTACTGGCGGATCTCAGGATTAACCGGTCTGACCTGTTCCTTGGGTCTATGACCATACTGAAAGCGAAAGTGGGACATGATTGTCTAAAGAATGCGTAGGATGAGAAGGAGTAGAAGAGAGTGTGGCATCAAGCGTGGGGGGTTAAATCCAGCGCCGAATATTATCTATCAGGCCGCGCGGATCTGGACGCATTAGGTGGACATACGATGGATTGTGTATGAAACTAAGTGAGGCATGAGTGAGAAGCGATTGAAGGCGACTAAAAGGGAGTATATTTTTTAAGAGAGAGGCAAACCAAAGTTTAGACAATGCTTGCTATATCTGATATATTGTATACCCACTGCCTACTACCTAGTAGTGTTGTATAAGAAATGCATTCCCGATGTGCAGCTAACATATAAGATTACATTATATAGTCAAACCTCAATATTATGAATGTTCTATATCACAAAAAACATCCTACATATATACTACATATGTATATATAACATAGTAGCAAGTTTGTTAATTATATACAGTCTATTGTGCAGGATAGAATGTAAATTGATGTGATAGATTGTATATAGTAGCTCTTGACGCTCATTGGTCCGTCAAGCATCGGACCCATTCCCACCGCGGAAGGTTGGTCCATTTTAAGCCGCGGACTTCACAACGCTCCCTCTCTCTGTTCTTGTACTCTGGAGCTAGGGCATAATCTCAATCTCACCGCCATTAGCCTTAGTCTCATTTGCCTTTGTGTCGGAGCTGTTTGTCCGAAACTTCCACCCTGTTTGAATTGCTGCGCGCAAACGATAGCTACCCCACAACTCGGACTGCCACGAGAGGCGCGGTAATCATGGCTTCAATGGAGGAAGAAGAGGACCGTGACATGGGCGGTATGACAATTCTTTGTCCCAATGGTCCGCTAGCCGATCGATCTCAACCTTGCTAATCACCCTCGCGGTTCCCTAGGCTCCCAGGACGGAAGCTCTGATAACGAGAATGAGAACGATATGGACGACACAATGCGCGACGTCGACGATGGCGAAGGCGATAATGAAAATGACCAAGACGGGGACGGGGATCAGGATCCCGATAGCCCTTCGAACGCGAGCCAGGCGTCGGAAGGCCCTGCCATTCAACAAAACACAAATAGCAATGGCGACAGCTCCGTGTTGGAACCGTTCTCCATTTACCACCCAAGTGTGCGCCCTGAATGCCTCACAGCCCGAACCTACGATGTGATCCCAACCACCGCCGCACCGCATGCGACCTCGATCAATACCGTTACAGCGACAGCGGATATGCGTTGGGTCTTCACCGGTGGATCGGATGGATTCGTGCGAAAGTTCAACTGGGCGGACTCAATAAACAGCAAGCTCATGTTAACCGTGGCGCAAAGGCATCCCTTCGTGGATAGTGTGGTCAAAGCTGGAGTCCTGATGACATACTGGGAGAACATGGATGGCGCCCAGTTGTCACCGGTGTACTCTTTGGCCTGCCATAGCGAAGGATTATGGATGCTTTCCGGGTTAGAATCTGGGGTAATCCGTCTGCAAACTCTGCGCCACGAAGAGGGCAAGGAAATTGCGCTTCTGCGGCAACATACTTCTGCAGTGTCCTCCCTGAATCTCACATCAGATGAAGAATCATTGCTCTCCGGGGGCTGGGATAAACGAGTTTTTGATTGGGATCTGAATACTGGTCAACCTCGACGGGCTTTCGGTGGTAGCGGTGGACAAATATCTGCTTTGCAGATTCGGCCAGAGTCCACCCTTCCAGTCCCCCAGGACACAATCGAAGCGCAACAGACCAATGGCACATATTCATCAAACTATGATGCGCCTGGTACAGACAATTTCAACTTCATGGATACCTCTCACGACAATGGAGACTCGGGCCCGGTTGAGAACCCGCAGGCGGGATCCCCGGCAGACTCACTATTTGGCGGAGCGGACTCGTTATTTGGTGATGCGGATGGCGGAGCCGCTGATGGTGGTGAGCCATCCGGGGGAGTATTTGGGGTAGATGAGGACGACGAGTTTGGCAAAGCTGTAGCCAACGGTGCTATGCAGGATGTCGACGCGCCAGGAGAAGTTGATGATGAAATATCTGCTCAACTAGACATGGGATATGTACAAGACACGCAGAATACATTGTCGAACCAAACAAATACTCACACGGATGAGCCAGTCCAGAAAACGGAAATGGAAATGGACGATGCGGACATCCCGACTGGCGCAGTGCAACCTCTTGTCAATGGACTCCCTAAAGCAGAGGATCTCGAGACACCCCCACCAGCCCCAGACTTCTCACAAAATACCCAACAAGAGCACGGTGTGACAAGTGATAACACGTTCCTGGCTGCTTCAATCGATGGAACAATCCGAGTTTGGGACCGGCGACAGCCTGATCCTGTCGCTCGCATCACCCCCTATAATTCTCCTCCATGGTGTATGAATGCTTGTTGGTCCCCCGACGGAAACTACATCTATGCCGGACGCCGGAATGGCACTGTTGAGGAATACAGTCTCCACAAGGGTTTGAGAACTGCCGAACGAACGTTCAAATTCCCACAGGGGAGTGGGCCGGTGACAGCACTCAAGGCCATGCCGAATGGGCGTCATCTTGTCTGGTGAGTAAAGGACCATGAGACAATGCAGAACTTCTTTTCTAACCTCCCTTATCTACAGTGCCTCTCACGATATCCTCCGTCTCTACGATCTCCAAAACGAGCAAGGCGACCAGTCTTCTCGCCATTCGCCAGTTCCGTTCCTGATCATTCCTGGTCATCGGACTGGAACTATCTCCCAGCTGTATATCGATAATGCATGCCGTTACATGATCTCTACCAGCGGTAACCGGGGCTGGGAAGGAAACACCACTGAAGTCCTCCTTGGTTACGAGATCGGTGTGCCGCAATAGGAAAAGCTGTGTAAGATGGAAATGCAGAAGCATACATTTAATGAATCATAGTGACACATAATGAACGAATATCATGACTTGAAATCCGAAGGCGCGAGATTGATATATTGAACCAAAATAGACAGTAAAATTTGTACCCAAAAGCCCCAAACCCAAATCCTGCACTTGAGACAATTGTCATGTAAATATATACAACACCAACGCCAGTTCCTTTTATATTTACAACATGTACAAGTCCATGTCATATAAAAACCGAAAGATCATCGCTCATCATGAAGGACTTCGTCCAAGTCCAATCCCTCACAAACTTCAGCTTGCTGAGCTCGCCAAGTGCCAAAGTAGGGATTGTTAGCCCATTTAACATGTCCATCACGATCGCTATCGAAATAGACATAACCAGGCTGATCAGCATCTGCTGATTTCAACGCTTTTGCAGCTCCCCGAGGCCCAACCACAAGACTACCAAAACCAGGCAACGCAAGATTGGGAACATGAGTCCTTGCCTCAACATTCCCGTTCTCGATGTTATTGACAGTAATGAGATAGACAGGCGGGAGATCTGCCTCGCGGTTTGCACGAAGCGGCATAGGAATCCACGCCTCATTGTTATAGGACTCTGGGCGGTTCTTGTCGTGGCGGAGAGGCAGGGGCCGAGCCAGGAGCATGTCATCCAACTTGCCGGTGTCTAATAACAGACCCGGTGTTTGAACATAGAGCACGCTGTCATACTGCATGAACTGGATCTGGCCCAGGTGGAGCAGCTTGCTGTTTGTTGTTGAGTAGCCTGCAGCTGTAGCTGCTGACATGTCGATTGGGAGGAGCCAGATATTGTATTTGGCGCTGGCGGCGCGTAATATTGATAATACTTTAGTGGCGGATGGGCCCAGTGTCTTGGCTGACATCCGGTCCCATTGCTCTGGGTACATGAAGAGGCGGTCCTGGATGGCTGTTCCTTTTGTAGAGAGTTGTTTGAAGAAGAGGATTGCAGAGCAGATGTCTGATGGATCTGGTTCGGATAGCATTTGGAGATAGGCATAGTTTCCAGACGAGTCGTAGTTGGGTTGACTCCCAATGATTGGTATATCTTCATCGGCCCCATACCCCGTATCTGATAGACCTCGTTTTAGTGGCTTCTGGAATGCGGGGCCCGTCCTGTACCTGGCCTTTTGGGCAGCTTCCTGGGGCTTCAAAGCATGCTGGATGCTCTTGACAGATTGCTGCTGTAGGACATATCCAGAGAAAAATAACAATGCAGTAAATATGCAGATCACTCCCATCGACACAATGGCCGAAACTGTGGAGGATGTTAAAAGAACCATGGCCACAAGGGAGGCTGCATGGGATGAATAATGAGAATGTGATAAGGCAAAATTAGAATTTCAGACATGCATGGCCCCCGGGATGATGTTCAAATATAACAACCCTGGACTATCAATCCCCAAGCATGTTTTCCAAGGTTATTGTTGGGCTTGTTAGCTTGTTTCATGACATCAGGTTGTTTACGTTGTCCACGCGACTATCGATAAGCGTGGTCTTGGCGGTGTCAGTACAACAACATTGTTGGTTGACCAAGATGTTTATTTTTAGCCAGACAGTGATCATCCGGAGGCCCATCTAGATCATGATGGATGGACATGATTCCTGCTAGCGATTCAAATGAAACCAATGATAGAGCAATGTTACGATGACAAGACCTTTGGCGGGATCTGTCGCGGTGATGAAGGCGGTGATGAAGGCGGTATCCTCCAAATCCGCATTATCGCGATGGTCGCAAAAAAACAGCCGTGGCCCTTTTCATTTCTCTTTGATGCCTTGGCACTTCCGCATCCGCTCTCACCTCCACAATGGCAGCCCATCGTGCCGATGCCAGCTCGTTCCTCGATAACCGCGGCTACAAGGGCCCCCTGGTCCGTGGCGTCAACCCCGCCACGCTCTTCGAGAAAGCTGTGCGCGACCGCATCACCGACTCATACTACTGGAAGGAACAGTGCTTCGGTTTGAACGCAGCGACTCTGTGTGATCGCGCAGTCGAATTGACCTCCATTGGTGGAACATACGGTGTCTCTGAGAAACCGACACCCTTCCTTTGCCTTGCATTCAAGCTCCTCCAGCTCGGGCCTGACCGAGAGGTCATCCTCGAACTACTCAACTACACCGACCCCGGTAGTGGCGACGAGGCAGAAGATCCAGATGATGCTCTTGTCAAAGAGCGAGGCGACTTCAAATATCTGCGCGCTCTTGCAGCTTTCTACGTGCGACTGACCTTCGACCCGGTCGATGTCTACAAAACCCTGGAACCACTACTTCTCGATTATCGGAAACTGAAGCGACGGGTGCGCGACACTTTCACGCTTACATATATGGATCAGTTCATCGACGATCTTCTCACGAAAGACCGTGTCTGTGGTACCAGTCTCTGGAAGCTGCCGCCGCGATCACAACTGGAGGACTTGGATTTGCTGGATGAGCGAATCAGTCCCTGTGAACCAGAAGACTGAGTCCAATATGACTTTCAGTGTACAAAAAATATAACTCCAGAGAAGGGGTAGAGGTTGCCAGAAAGACAAGACTAACACGTCGGGTTATAGTGAGTTTTGTCTAAGTGGCCAGTGCTGTGCGCTGTCCACAGGTGCTTCCCCCATAATCAGACAGTCATCTGCCGCCAAGCCTCGGGACATTTTTACCCTTTTGGGCAATACAAGGGCTTCCCCTTCAGTATACTTGTTCCCTTCTTATCTTTTCTTGTTTGTTTGCAGAACCAATTCATCCAAGACATCGCCTCTGGGGTTCTATCTGTATTGAGCAGCGTAGGGAGTGAGTTGACAGCTAGACTATCACCTCCGAACAATGCCATTTTGCACCTCTCTAGTGTGTAAATTCGACAAACCTGCGTAACTGATCTACATGCACCGTATGCACCTACATATCTTACGTACGAGGTAGAATATATGATAAGGACATCTGGAAAATGTAACATGATAAGCATAACACCACTTTCAATAAACCGCCTGTGACGTCGACATGGCATCGACCGCCAGCGTTTCCTCTCCTAACACGGCAAATCCAATCGAGCCAGAGGACTAAAGCAGCTATCCAACGCGTATCTCTTGTCACTCTGGCTGGATACGAATGTCATCCCCGCATCGGACATCCCTCATCCAAGTGCGACAAGATCCGAATATGTTTTGCCCACAGTTGACCCGGAGAGTATTTATACTCTGTGGACCCTGTCCGTCCATAGCTCAATACATTCGCAAAGCCTCCCCTTTGCAACTGTGCTGGTATAAGTTTTATATACTGAATCAGAATCCCCATCCATCTGCAGTTTGCCCTAACTTGTATGGATTGAGCCGTTATGAACTTCCTGTGGACTCTGGAGAATCTCTGGCGAGTTGGATTCATCCTTCTAGCTGCCACTGGAGCCTACGCTGTCATTAATCGGACATTTGGCAGATCTCTCCTGGCTAGAGTTAAACTGCGTGGTCGAAAACATTCAACTTCTCAAACTCCACCGCGGTCTTTCTCTCCGGAAAAGAAAGCTGCAACAAGCCCAACTTCCCCATCTAGCTATGACAATGTTCTCCCACCCCAACGCAGACACACACTTGCAGATCTTAATTGCGATGCTACACCCAGACGCGACGTGCACGAAGAAGAAGTGCGTCGGAACATTCTACCCATGAGCGCCGACTATATGACCAGCCCGAGCGACAAGTACACACCGATGGGATTTTCCGTGGCCGAAGTCAAGCAACTAGGGGACTTTCCAGACTATGCGACTCTCAGTGGAGTTCCACTCCCAAGCCCATATCCCGAATTCAACATCGACAAAGCCCTGCCTCGGCCATATCGTCCATTCCGATGGGCGTATCACCAAACCATGTGTATGTCTCGTAGAAAGCGGAACAATCATGATTTGAAACTAATCTCGTGCTCCGTTCAAAAACAGCCTTGACCAAACTAGAAACAGACTGGTGGATCGAGCTCGAAAACACGTACAAGAGCCGCATCGCCCAGCGCAAGGAACTGTACGCTAAGAATGGAAAGGAAGTCCTTGATTCCATGCCAGGCTCCGAACTTGCATGCAAGGAGCTGATGGAGATGGTCTTGCAGTTCATCTGCGCCCGATACCCGCAGTACTTCACACTGGTGGACAAACGCGTGCTGCAAAACAGGATTCTCGGTACCGAGCAGGATGTCACAGCCAAGCCGCCTCTCGAAGTTCTTCTGGACAACGTACCAGAAGACTTCGCAATTATGCTTCGTGACGACACGACGGGATTCTATTTCCTGCGCGCGGCGGTGATCTGCTCGGCGATGGGGTGGAATGTCGCGACAAAGGTTGGGAAGCAGTTGCATGAAATCCACGAGCCGATTCCGGACTATAAGGAGAAGATGCAGTTCTCAATGGATCGGTATGTCGGTCTTATTCCTAGAGAAGATTGAATATCATCGAAGTGCTAACAAAAGAGCTTGGTTTAGATTTTTCACCAAGATGCCGACTGAGAAACCAATTCAGCGAGGCTCTTGGGGCATAGAAATTGGACAGCCATTGTACGTGCCACCCGGGCACCCTCACGAAATGAATCGGCAATCCCAGCGGGCTGACTTGGCCATTGACGAGTGTCACCTGCGGGTAGACTGGCAAACCCTCAGGCGTCTACCCTTGTCCGGTGCGGTGGTTTTCAATTTCAAAGGGCTTTTTACTCTAGTCACGGAATTCCGCGATGAGCCTGGCGTACCGGGTTTGGTGTTGAAGCTTCTTAGGGAGGGAAAGAAGAACCTCATGGATTACAAGGGCGTTTGGCATGTGCAGCATGTTGTAATTCCTAGGCTGAAGGAATGGGCAGACGAGCAGAAGGAGAATGGATTAGTTCCGAAAGATTGGGAGGTCTCTACTTTGGATGATAGTCCATGGTTCAAGGGTTGGCAGGAAAAGTGGCATCGGCAGCAGGGATTCTAGGCGGTTGATACGTGATTGCTCCATGGCATTGTTTCTTTGGTTGAATAGTTCCATGATTCTAGGATAGTTATAAGGAATGTAAAGTAGTCGTTCATTCCAACATCCGCTACGATGTTCGCTACGATGTTCAGTTCGGCTTCGTCCCAACCTAGTTAGGCGCCCCGCTAGTGAAGCTTTCACTAGTACATGGCCAAAGTTCTCTTCTGTTCCCTCCAGCGTTGATTTAATTGATTCATTTGTTCCTTGGACCTTTGGACCCCTAACTTGATCACACACATGATGCCGAGATCCGTTCAGCACTGGCTAGGGGGAATCCCCACTTCCATCCAACCACACCCAGAAACAGATTTATCTCTGGACTAGATCAAAGAGGAAGTCAAGGGCTGGTTACTATTTGTACAGGTATGTTCTTAGAGCATTCGAATTTTCAAACAACCACGTCTTTAAGTTATGCGCTAACATGCATCCAGGAGAATTGGGTTTCTGTAGCAAACGCAGGTTCCTCCTATGATGAGAGATATGAGTTATACCACCGCCGGCAACTGGTGGAAAAATGGGCTTCGGCTACACAGGAATTTCGTGATGTGAATTCCACTCGGTCCAAATCTCCGAAGTCCATTGAACTAACAAATTTTTTTTTTTTGCCCTTATTCAGGCGTACCAATCGCGTGCACCTATGGGTCTTCCAGGTACAGAGGGGCCAAGATCGAATATAAATGAACCCATTTAAGGTCTTCGATACCCAGCCGAAGCATTAGAACGTCTCTACGATACTCTTCAGCCAATCGATATTAACGGCCTGATTTCTCTTGCCCCTGTTGATGAGACCCATCCTGCAAATCGAGCGCGATGGGTGAAATTCGCGATCCTGTTGTATAACTATGATATCGAGACTGGGCACTGTCTACTCGATAATTATATGCCATCGGAGGCTATCCTTAATCCAGCAACTACTAACGATCCATCAATAGAGGATTATCTGCCCTGGGCGGATCTTGAGACCGCAGACTTCGGTCTATTTATCTTACACATACTGGCAAAGTACTCTATCTCGGTTATTTAGGCCCGTATATGTTGGTTGATGAACTAGGTCTGAGAACCGGGCCTGACAATTGTCGAGTTTGAAATCAACGGGACTGTGAAAGAATCTGTTGAAGTCCGCCCGTTCAATATGCGAATGCCATACTTGAGCGCCTTCGTGAATTGGTCAGGTTTTGGGGATATCAAGCATGCTCGGGGTGCTTATAGACACCAAAATCCGCCGTGAGTATCCTTTGACCTACCAGCCCAATAAACTACCTACCGATCGTCGATATTCTCTGTCAAGCCAAGGACGCTAACCAACTTCCAAACTCAATGTTCCTCTGTGACCGACAGCAGTGGACAAGTGATGTTGAGCTATATGCCCCAGGCTACTTGGCTCTCGAGGCCGAAGGGCGCGGGGGAGAGTACCCCCTAACCCGTCTCTCTGTGCCAGGCCGTATCCAAGCGGTCAAGAAACAGGTTATGAGCAGGGTGCAGGACCCCAATTTCACACACCCCAATTTTTCGTTCATTCCTCCAGGCCGATTTCCATAAATCTCTGGGCCGTGATGATGCCTTGCAAAGTCAGGATTACACGATTTCAATTGAACGCGCGGTGTGACGTGCCAGGTCTTTTCAACAAAGAGTGCATTGAACACAATAACTAAGATAGAGAGAGAGGAAGGAAGCAAGTTGCAAAGTGGGAGACAGCTAGTTCTTATAGCTGTGTCCTGACCGCTTTGTAAACAATGCAAACTTCGAATCATCTCGCTAAACTATGTAGCAAACAATCTAGCTAATGCAAACTAGCAAACAAGAAAAAAGGCGAAGGAAGGAAAACGTTGGATCGTAACACGTGGCAGATCAAGCAAGATCGAGGAGGTCTTTTGAATTTACCGAGCCTACGGATAGCAACATTAGCACCCAGTTCCAGGACACAGTACTAGAAAAAACCCAGGTCCAGGGACTGCCGTCTCGGGACTTAGCCGACCAGTAGGCCATCAGCTGATCTTACGATTTTAGGTGTCATTATGTATTAGGTCTTGACTTTGGCGTCAAGATTCTTTGACAGTGAAAATCTTGGCATGCGCCCGTGCACAGACCATGTCTCCACTTTATTTTAAGGTTAACCGCCTTGGCGCTCGGTCCGCCGTCAACCATACAACAAGTGCATCGTCCCGGCCTACCTTACTCCCAACGTTGCTTCCAAGTCTTCTCTACATAGTAAACATCTCAATCGTGACATTATATAACAATAGACTAAATCCTCAAATTCAATCTCATTGAACTAGACTTAGCTATATCCTGATAATCGCAGTCTTCGGAATTCAATCAAAATGTCGAGAACTACATGTGACCTATACTATTCATTTAGACATGCACATAGGTGACTTACCTAGAGATAATGTATATGCATAAGCAAAGCTTCAAAAATTGCAAGAGAAAAGGAACATCAATGTACTACTCAAGACCCAACAGCAGGTGGCCTAGTGGTAACATTACATGTACCACGAGGGAAGTGCCTAAGATCTTCCACTACCTGGACTGTTCCGGTTCAACTCCGGTTGTTCTTGCCTTTATCTCTTTTTTTTCCTTTTCTTTCCCATTCCACCTTCTTTGTTTCCATGAGAAGATAGCTTCCCTTTGATTTTCCTCTTATTACAAGCACTATTCTTTCATAAATGAAAAAAAAATAATGCAACCACTACAGATGCATCACTATTGAGAAGCCTTGGAAGCCATAGCGAAACATGGCCATACCATGCGCCGTTGACAGTCCAAGGCTTGGCGATAATCTGCAGATCAACCTTGGGGCGGTCTTGCATTGACCCGCATTGACCAATCATGCTCTTTACCGCGCATGCTTTGTTATCTAAATACCTTCTTCGATTGTTGCCCCAAGCCACTGGCACATTGTGGTGATTCTAGAGAAAAATATCAGTCTACCCGAAAAAGAACAAAGAGACTATCAGACAAAGAATCCTTGTTACTCGCATCTTCTAATAAGGAGACAAATATCCGTTGACAACGTGCTTTTTTTGGATGTCTCAGGTCTCCTCTTTGATGGAAGACAAAGGTCCTTTTCTTTGTTCTTTACCATAGAATAAAAACCCACTCTCCAAAAGCTATATAAAGCCCCCGTTGCTCTAAATTAGATAGGCATCAAGTGCTCCGCCAGCTTCACTATTCCAGTAATCTGGCTCTAGGGCTTGCGATCCCTTTATTCCAGTGGTCAAGTACAACTTACAAGTCTAACCCTTTCCCCTCCTAGAAAGAACAAATTCAGGAATCATGTCAGCTAACTACAACTGGCAGGCTGTTCACCCGATCCACGGTGTACCCATTGCCGTCGTGCAAGCCACCGAGCAACCAGTAATCCGCTGTGACGTTCGTCAGAAGCACAATCTTCCTTCCAGGTCATGGGCGGTTTGTATTTCCACATGGACCAACACTAACTATTTCTTATGGTCTTTGTGCGCTGGTCTCGCCGGCTATCGCTCTGACGAGGAGTGGACGAGTACCTTCGAAACTCACTATCGGAAGACCTGGGATGAAATCCAGGCTAGAGTTCAGGAGATCGATGGGCCTTATAGGTTCGGTATACCCATTCCAATGCCCCCAGTCAGGAAGGCTGTAGTCATCCACCACCCTGAGAGTGGCCCTGCGCAAACATTTACGGTCCGCCCGGAGCCTCGCCCATTCCATATTGTCCCGCAAGTAACTAGAATGTCTCGACATGCTGTATGGGGACTTTTGCGGTTTGTGACTGAACGTCAGTCCTGTGTGCCTGATCAATTCGACGTAGTGCTCGATATGTTGCCGCCAGCACCAGCGCCCCCTACAGGTACACGTATTCGGAGTGTGGCTGGAAAGAGTGTATCTCAAGGCGACTCGAAGGATGATGTGGTAGACACATACTACCAGATCGGAAATTGAAGGAAATGAGGTAAGTGCTGTGGGTTTCCGCTTTCGAGAAAAAGAATATACAATTTATTGAGTGAAATACAGAGTATAGCAACGGTAAATAGTAAAAAGTATCTTGACATAGGTCAAACTGTGCCGTTTGTGCCATTGGTGCCATTGGTGCCATTGGTGCCATTGGTGCCGTTGGTGCCGTTGACTTGGAGTGGTGGTGTGGTGACTTTCAAATCGTCCATGTACCACGCCAAATCACCTGCTCCATTCAGATCACGCACACTTTCGCCGTTACCTAAGCATCGGAACCGGTTCTTAGAGCGGTAGTCAACATTGAAGTGCTCCCCGCCGATGTTTTCGAGGCAGTCTTTGAAGTGCAAAATCGTGCCTGGGTATACTCCAGTGACTTGGCCTTTGCTCTTTCCGTTTTTGTACCAGCTCCGACACTCATCCGACCAGACCGTACGCTTGAGGAACTCCTGGCACCAAACGTTGTAGTCTTCCATGGCTTCCTTTTTGACATCAATTGACCTGTGCGAGATATGTTAGTCATACGACTGGACCTACGAAGACCACAATAACTCACTTGATATCATGTTCAGCAATCCTTTTCGCCCAGCGAAGAATGTAATCACATGTCCAAGAGACCTCGGTCAAAAGCGAGCCATGGGAGATAGGGCAATTCGGCCCGTTGAAGATAAAGTAGTTCGGCATTGACTCCACTTGGACCGCAAAGAAGGCCTCGGGGTTGACTTTCCATCGCTCTTCCAATCTGGCTCCATTGCGGCCAACCAGCTTCCAAGATGGAATAAAGGACGTGTCGAACCCTGTGGCACAGACGATCACATCAAATTCTTGCTCGTCACCTTTCGATGTCTTGATACCATGTTCTGTGATACTTTCGATCGGATCAAAGGTGAGAGTCGCATTGTCCTTGTGGAAAGCCTCCAGATACCCATCTCCTGGCGACAAGCGACGGCAGCCAGGACGGAAATCATGAGAAAGCATCTTTGACACAACTTCTGGGTCGGAGATTCCCTTCATTCGCTCCGCCATTTGATCCGCAGAAGCCTGTGTCAAGCCCAATTGCATCGGGTGGCCTTTATACATACCAAAGAAGAACGCATTGACACTTTACTCGGAATTGACTTAGTTCTGACCTCTGTCGGGGAGTGGACTTTGAACTTACCTGTTCTCCAACCCTCTTCGGTACTTGAAATGAGCCTCGGGATCTTCCTCGAACTTCTTTTTCTCCTCTTCTGTGAAGGTGAAATTGCCTCCACTTGCTGTCATCTCCGCGCAAAAGTTGACAGAGACCCAGGTCGGACTGCGCACAAAGTTGACAAGTCTGGCAACCTTCGGCTGCATTGCAGCCACGCATTGGATTCCGGAAGAGCCATTACCAATGACTGCGACGCGCTTGTTTTCCCAGTCGTAGGTGTTATCCCTATACCGGTTGTTAATATTTGTTTGGGTTCATAGATAACATTTACTTACCAAGTCGAAGTGTGAATCAACTTGCCCTTGAAACTCGACAGGCCCTCAATATTGGGCCAGTTGGTTTTGCTAGCAGGAAACTCGCCGTTAATAAGAGTAGAAATGTCGAGGATAACTGATTCTCACTTCAAGAAACCGGACGCATTGACCAGAATATCAGCCTCGTCATGCGTGATTGTACCATTTTGGTCTACCACCACTTTCCATTTTCCCAACTCCTCGTCCCACACGGTCTCAGTAACACGAGTGTTAAACTGAACGTCTTTGTCCAGGTTCCATTTCTTCGTTGTTCGTTGAATGTATTCCTCAATCTCGGGACCAGGTGCATAGAATTGGGACCAGGTTGGGTTAGGTTCGAATAAGAATGTGTATGCATCTAAATGAATGTCAATTTTGGTTTCCAAAGAGCCACCGAGGAGTCTTACGAGCCGGGACATCACTAGATATGTTAGAAAATAAAGTATGTTTATTGGAAGTATAGACTACTCACCAAGCAACACCAGGATAGGTATTCTCGAACCAGGTTCCGCCGACCTGGGGATTCTTCTCGTAGATCTTGAAATCCACGACATCGCCGAGCTTCAGCTCATGATCGATCTTGTGGGCAAGTGTCAAACCCGAGTAACCCGCGCCGATACAGATTATCTTTAGTTTCCGTCGCGCAAAGGCAGGTTGCTCGGCGCAAGGGACCCAATTGGGAGGGGTCTCGCCGTTAGCCACGCGGGTAGCAGGTGTTAACCCATTTGCAGTAAGGTCAGGCATATTGAGGGGTTTGAAGACTAAACTGTTTGTGAATTTCTATTACAATGCTACGATAGCTCCCGCTTTATAGATTAGAGGAAATGAGAAGTTAGGGGGCATATGGGGTGATTTCTTTTTTCCCCCTCAGTTTTGGCTTTGGGGAACACATTTGGTCTAGGCTGTTACTCTGTACTTTTGTACACGGAGTAGGTTTCTGAAGGTATATAGCGTCAATTGAGAAGAAGTCGTTGGCTATTGGCAAACCCACTAGACAGCTTATCTCCACACCAGCACGGGGAAACTAGTCGGACGTGCGGAGTACAAAGTACGGAGTAGTAACTCTCTCCATAATTTCCATAATTCTTACCCCTTTCAATTGGCACATGGCGCCGCCTATCACGCCAAGTTTCAAAATGAAGCGCAAATTTGAGTTCACGCTAAAAACGGTCCTGCGTTGAAGGGTCCTTGGAGAACAATGAACCGACCCCCAACGTACCTGTTACAACGCTCGGAGTATTAGTGCACGTGTATTTCTGCATAGTTATGCTTCCCATTTGTTTTGTGCGAGAAGTTAAGATTTCTTTTATTATCTCAATTCCGCTTGCCAGGACGGTATATGTACCAATGGCACGTTTTATTTCATATCGTACATTTCTCGAATGTGATGCGTCTCAAACTGCAATACACAAAGCCGAGGGACTCCCCATTGAAGACAGATCAGCATTATTTGCGTGTTTTATACTTATCCCATGTCACATCCACCTCCTGATGGACTGTGATAGCACAAGGGTCTCCTCGCTCCACATCATGATGATCACTCACAGCCTCGTCCCTCAGCGATCGGGGGCCACTGATATCGTTCATTAATTCAACTTCATCTACACAGCTAAATTCATTGATGCTGAATAGTGAGTCCATGGGTGGCTTTTTGGCTCGGGGTTTCCGGAGCCAGGTCGTGGAAGGAGATGCAGATGCATTCTCGCCACTTGGGGTGTTGCGGCTGTTTGATGAGCGCCCTGTCCGAGCCTTGGACCACCACCGACGAAAGAATGGCCCAAAGGTAGGGAGGCACGCGCAGATGATACCAACGAAAGGCTCCACGGACGACCAGATAAAGACCGGTGCCATAGTCCACGTAGCGTCTGTTCCGTGGGTGTTGTTCTGAAGCGAGATGATCCGGCAAATACTTGCGACGCAAACACTGAGGTTGATTAGCCCGGATCAATGATATAGTAGGAGAGGAGAAGAACGTACAAACTCCCTAGGAGCAAGATTCCCACGACTGCTAGCTTCTGCGACGATTGCATCTGCAACTTGTAAATTGTTGGCATTGGCATACACAGTATAATCACATCAATCAACATAGCAGCAATTCCATTGCCGAAGAAGAATTTGGGCACATCAATGCATACACCAACGGCTGTTGGATCAGTATAGGCCAGCCAGAAATATGGCAGTGGTCGACATGCCACTGCAACTGTGACGATAATGGTGACCCAATATCCAAGCACCAAGAACATGCAGAAGCCTAGTGACCAGCGAAAGTTGAAGATGCGGCCGTAGAAGAAGACGATCGAGGATTTGGTGAAGGTGATAGCTGTGGCGTAAATCATCACATAGGCAAAAAGTATCTGAATGTTTGGTTAGAGTCTATCCCAAGCACCTCGTTCGGTATTTTCCTTACCTTCCAAACAGTAATAAACTCCGCTTTGTTCAAGGATTGTAAATGGTAACCGTTACCATATGGAATGCCTAGGGAATCTGGTGTAAGTGATGTGCCATCCATTTAACTCATCTTGACTCACTTATAAAGCAGGATATCGCTGTGCCCCAAGAGAATATAAGAGCTGCAACGATTAGGTAGTCATCGAGAGCTAATTTTCTGGCCTCTTTGTTCTTCATTGGCGCAACTAATCGCAATATAACTGCGATGGTCCCGAACACCGCTACAGGAATAACCGCTCCCAACAAGTTGCCTGTCTGATTTTTCGCCAGATCTACCCCGGCCGGTGCTGGGCCAAAGTCACCTGTAGCAGTGATGCTAGGCATTTTTGCGGTCTTGCGTGTGGGGGGAAATCACGAAAGAATGACACAGCCCTGCGACCTGAAGATGTATATCCTGGCAATCCGGGTGGACCACTCCATATGTATATTTCAGCTATTTAATGACGAAGACTCCTTTGTATGACAGATTTTGTTTTTGATCTATCCAAGGTGCTCGGACTGGTGATGATCCGCGGACATGAAACTAAATTCAGTCCCAAAGAAAGCTCAGTGTCGGTGTGCTCCGTATAGGGGGAGCCGTTGCTATTCAAGTCAAAAAGTACATTCTAGGGCCTGGGCTGGGCAATGACTCGCTAGTGTGGTTGTGACACTTCATAACTTCGTAACGGTCCTCCGAATGCCATTCGATCCCAGTGCCGGGGACATGCCGGGGCCCCACAATCCGTCCGTTTGACACGCGCGGGATGTCCCGCTTCCTTCCATGGTACCGTACTTTTAACCCTAAATCTCGGCTTTCACAACGACAATGGATATCTCCACTCGCCAAGTCTGCCTCTAGTACTGCCAATTTCTGTTTAGGGGTTGAGTAGCCAGAAAGCCGGAATTGGGATCCTTGTCTTTCACGCTATTATTTATCTATTATTGGCAACGTCTAAGCAGAAACACATGGAACGTGGGCAAAAGTCATCACTTATCTTGTTACTTGCTTCCTCCCATTTGTGGAAATTACGATTAATTCTCTCCCACGCCTCTTGCCCTTATATATCCACTGAGATGATTTGTACGAGGCGTGCGCCCCTTTATTTTCACAGAAAGTACTCGGTGTAGGCGCTCAATCAGTGTCGTACTTTCCTCACTCTTCTTAAACTCTATATACGTCCTATCCCACAATAAAATCCTTCCAATGTCACATGCATCCTATTGCGGTAATAAATCATGATTATCAAGCGCCATGCGTTGTCTAGTGGGTGAAGATATTTATGACTCGCTAGGTTATATTATTTACTCCTCACGGCAAGCCGCCTTTGGGACCAAATGCATCACCGATCTCATTTCAAGGTTAGCTTAGGTCTCAGTTCTAGGCCTTTATGCTATGAGCAGGTTGTTGAGTCAGCTTTTTGCCTGGGGGTGGATAACTAGGACTTTTGCTCCCTCCCTGGATTGGTCTTCCTTTCTCTCGCTTAGCTAGCAGCCAAGCTCAATCCATGGGTCTTTTTCTTTTGCCTTCTCCACGCATTTCCTCCAAGCTACTCTAGTTGCCTTACTGCCGATCCTTCTGAAATAAAAAGAAATACGAAGCACTGCCAGGGTCTACATGATTCATGTAAATCACAAGGATAAGCAGATTTCTTTTGTTTGTTCTATTTTGAAGAACCTCAGGATCTAAGATTTGAATCTGAACTGCATCTCGGAGCTGGAACTGCGGGTAGGTGCAGTTCCATTGAGGTTCGCGCTGAGATCTATGCCTAAATGGTCCCGGCGCACTCACTGAGCCAGGGCTATAAAAGCGGCGGCAGATATTATTCTATCTAAATAGGTGCATATAGCTGCATTGAGATTAAATCTCCGTCCATTTATGTGAAAAGCTTAATTATCAGTCATATTTGCGCCTCAATAATAATAGAAAGCGCTTCACCAATATTGCCGGTATTGTTCCGAGAACTATATATTTCTTGTATTTGGCTCGCAGAGTCAAGTTAGGGAAGGTGCGCATCAACAAGGCAGCAGCAGTCTAGATAGATACCTGTGCAAGGCAATCCTGATTCATTTGATTGAGCTTGACTGTGTTTTGAATATTTTACGAGCAGTACTTTGGTACTAGCGCTTCGCGGAACACTCGGCATATGATGCATCTATTCGTGCCACGGTGACAACTGCCACCACGGAGAAAAGCATATATTTTATCGGTTATACGATCAAGTTTCGTTTCAGGGGTTAGAATACGGCATGATATGCGGATGTTATTGATCCAAAGTATCTACAAGTGGCAAGTATCTAGTTGAAGGACGACACGCTCGGTCCTTTGTTTCCGTCGGAATTGTCCTCAGTAGGACCTATTGTTGTTTTGGATGTCTGGCCTTTTGTTGAGACCATCCATGCCTCAGGTTGCCCATACCTTGTTTGATCTTCCTTGCCAGCGAACACAAGAAAACTCATGGTTCCCTTTCTCTCTCATTTTTCTCCTTTGTGAAACAAGCTATAAATGACAGAGCCAAAAGATGCATCTATTCATTGATATCATTGATATCACGACAGAAAGAACAAAGAGAAACCCTAGCTAATGAAATACAGATTGTGTTAGGTCTCTGTGGCATCTCTTAAAGTCCATTAAGCCTGCTCAGCATGGAGCCAACACTTTGGAATTATTTATACAGCTCTCATGATTAACCGTTTTTCTTGCATAAAAGTTACATCAACATCCTCGCAGAAGGCTTGACGTCTACATTCAAAATTCGACAAGAACCCTTGTCACCAAGTCCACCGCCAAATTGCACCATGTCTAAACCTACAAGCCCCAGCCTGCCCCTAGGCACCTTCAGGCTAGGCAATTTGCCCGAGGAGTTAGTTCTGGCGATTGCAAATGCGGCGCTTATCCGGGACCGCTGTATGCTTCACCAAACCTGCAAGCATTTACACTCGCTCCTCGCGGATAGTGTCACGGAGAAAAGACGACTGACTGCGCAAGTCCTACCCCTTAGGCAAGAATACGAGGGACAAGACTGGGAATGGAATTCTCCAAATGCAATTGCCGGAATCGACATGCCAATATGGTCACTCTGGGGTTACGACTTCCGATTCTCAAAGGGGCCGCACTGAAGCGAGATCTTCGCGCGTGCCATTAAGCGCGGGGATATTGACATCGTGACGAAATACATGCGTTCGGGCGTCGACCCTAACATTTACAGCCTTACTGGTGGATTCATGCTGCATGTGGCGGTTGCTGCCAACCAACCTAGGATGGTAACTTTACTCCTGGAATACGGTGCTGACCCTTCCTATGTGCACTTCAAGTACCGCAACGCACCCTATGACGACTTTATGTGCTGGACCGATTTGGCGCTGCTTCGTGCCTTTTCCGGCGGCGCCAAGGTTGCTGGCTTCGCTTATTATATACAGCTCGTTGGGCTAGCTGGCAAGTCATGCAGGTTTGTATGAACGCAGGCTTGGATTTGAATCAAGCGGCCTCGAACAGGGATACGGTGGCACATGCTCTGGCCGGGCGCAATGATTGTCAGTTCTTCCCGAAGGTGGCTCCTCACCTTACAAATGAGACTATAACAAAGATCTCGATAAGGGGTGAGACTCCGCTGCATGCTGCACGGAAGCAGACAGCTCCGGATATTGCCAGGGAATTTATCGAGGCAGATGCCGATCCCAAGTCCCTAGATAAATCGATAGATGCTACTCTGCTCACTGGTTTTCAAAATCGTCATTTTGAACTTGCGCGCTTGATGCGGAACAGTAACGCCGAACTTGCCCCAGGGAAGTATATAGGAGGCCGTGAGATTCTGGTGGCAATCTCAGCTTGGGAAGTTGACATTGTCCGTATGCTCATTCGCCGTAGTGTGCGCAATATACTGAGACGCTTATGTGCGCCGTTCGGATGGAAGCTTGGAGGTCGTGAAGTTGCTCTGTGAGAAAGACTGAAGCTTCCCTTGGCAGGGCAGGATTGGATTCATCTTGCAGAAGATGATTCTCCTGGTTTCCAGAGGAGGAGGTCTTTTGTGACTTTGTCTGCGTGAAGCTACTCAGAGAGTTTCATGGCAGTAGCTATTTAGGTCATCATCCATATATTTTACACATTGCACATTGCTTGATTACCTCTTCTGTCCCTTAGATCGTATATTTGCATCACAATTGCCCCCTGGAATGAATGATCTGGCATTTATGCCTTTACGGCGACGAAGTATGCCAACCGGTAGTCATTTACCTTCACGTTTGAAGTATATAGGCACAAGAAACTTTGGTCGTCCGCTTATGCAGCCTTATTGTTTGTCTTTCTATACATATTTCTTACCCTTCTCAAGTTTAGGTACGGCTTTATGTATAACTTTGATACAAGTATTCTATAATTGCTTCGCTCCGCTCCGCAATAAACATACAATCCCAGAACGTAATCACCAAATCCTATCCCAAGCATATAGTAGTTTCATTGAATCGGTCAGTCTAAGCACAGCGCCGGGGACGTATCCCCTCAGATCGAAGCCATAGCAAATGCACGAACAATTAAGACGGGGGCAGCGACAAAAGAGGCTGGGTGTTACATGACAAATGAAGAGAAAACAAGCAAAGCTAATAAGCATATTGGGAACAAATAAGAGAAAAGATAAGAAGCCAAGAGAGCGACGAGCCCAGAGGCTGGCGATGTCAGACGCAACCGAAAGACGGTGATGTATGTATACTTTCAGAACATGTCGGCATGGGCTGGCATCGTCGCCGATGTGGCGGGTATGTATGCAGGATAATGTATGTGATGGCTCGTGAAGGGCGTCTCGAGTGGCCGGGGGATTAACCATAGATTTGAATTCAGGACTTGGGCTCTTATTTTTCCGTGTCCTTCTAGTGTGTTTGGAGGAATGTCAATGCACCCTCATAACTGTTCCTTGGCGGAGTAGAGGCCGCCCGGAGTCACATGTTGCTGTTCCGTGTATTCTCCACAGCTGCACCCATAAGAATAGAAGGGAAGATAGAGAAAGAAATTGAGCGACAAGTGGGTATCATAATGAGGCTGTTTTGGAGTGGCTGGAGATTAATGGAGAGTGAGAGGCGCGGACGATGGAAGCGAAAGAAAGTGGTCGAGGAAAATGGTCATTCCAAATTTAGTCGGGGTTGGTAAGCTAGAATGATATTAGCAAGAATGTTCCGCCGGGACTAAGTGTTATGTTCAACTTACCCGAAGAACAGGACGCGAGTAGTCTTCGTTGTCTTGCAGTGAAACACTGCTGTCCCGATGACCGTTCGGGTAGAGGACCGTGTTGGTCTTCATTCGCCGATCGGTAAATGTTGTGCCCGTACGTGAGGGCAGAGATCCGTTATCGCTTCGCGGGAAGAAACCTCCCATGAAACTCGATCCCCTGCTTCTGTCGTCTGCCATGTCTTGGCTTGGGATAGGGCTGACGGAACGAGCGCGTTTGCGGTAGAAGAAAATCAAGAAGATGAGAGCACCAACCAGAGCGAGTCCTCCGAGGACGCCAATCACAACGCCTGCGATGGAACCTCCACTCAATTTCGACTTGCTGCTAGTGGTGGTGCTAGGCGATGCGGAATCAGCGCCAGAAGTTGCACTTGCACCAGAAACGGTGATGGTCTTGACTTGGCCGCCAGAGTTGGTCTGCACTGAGACCGTCGGCAAGGAAGTTGTTGTTTTATCATCCGAGGAAGTTGACTAGGAGAAAAAGTTAGCTAAACGTGCCACTGGTCAAACCGGTTGTGCTGTAGATACAATGGGTGAGGTCGAAGTGGTAGTGGAAGTGGTAGTGGAATCGGAGGCAGTCACAGTGACCGTTACAGGCGGGTCGCTAGTACTCTATCCCCGATATTAGACCCACAAGCGAAGAGAGAGTCAAACACCCAATCAGGCTAGCTAGGCTGGCAGGAGGTTTATCGGTACAAAAACAGGAAACAAGATATGCCCAGTGTGCCCAAGATATGCCCAAAAGAGAAAACAGTGTCAAAACAAAGAGGATTGGCTTACCGAGGTCGTTGAGGTAGAGGTTGATGTTGATTTGGTCGAGGTTGAGGTTGACGAGGTGGTTTTCGAAGTTGTTGTACCAGCGGCTGTGCTAGTCGCATCGTTGCCGACCACTTCCACGTAGGCGTACACTCCTTTGGATGTGCTTCCACAACTGTCTGCGGGATAACCCGGGCATGCACCATCACAGTCCGAAGTGTCGTCGGCTAGTGAGGACTTGGCGGGAGCCACGTTCGAGCACCAGCATTTACTCCCTTGGAGGATAGCAAAAGCGTAATCGGTGCAGGTAGTTTCACATAATCCATTCGATTGAAATGTGTTAGAAACTGTGTGCCGAGTCAGCGATGTGGCTAAATCTATATAGAACGGTTGCGATCACTAACCTCCCGTGAAAGAAGACCCCGTGTTCTCTGTAGCACAGTAGGCCAGGTCGGATGAGGCCGATACGAATGGCCGAGCCAGAAGAGCAAAAACCGAGACCACTACCGCGACCTTCATGGTGGGTGTGCTCGATCGAGAATTTCCCATCAAACCGGAAGGTCCGTTGATATCTGTTTATTGTCCCGCGCCCGAGGGGTGAGAGGGTAAGCGACAGTGAGGTCCCAGGCGTCGAGGGAAGATCGAAGTTGAGTGTGTGTGGGCCGACCGAAGTGAATTGTCGATCACCTAGAGGGTTGAAGAATCTAATATGAAATGTCGTCTTATTTGTCCCCCACTTTAACGCTGCAAAAGTTGTAGGGTGTCAACACATTTCGACTGCATAACAAAATCACAAGAAAAGAAAGAAACAAAATGAATGGAGGAAAAGACGAAGTCGACAGGGGAGAGAGAGAAAGAGAGAAGAGGAGAAGGGGGATCTCCACAGTCACGGGCTCTCCAGGTACTATCCTGCTATCCTACATTTATCCTCATCGGAGTATGTCGAGTCCCGACGTATCCGGTGGATCCTGATTTCTATTTTCTGGGATTTGAATTATTAAATGAGATCGATGTCATTTGTGTTGACAGATCATCTGGATCATCTTTAGCGATCGGGTTGTGTTAACTAGTTATGTTGTGCCTACGCCTATATAAACAGCCGATAAACCGCCTATAAACATAGCCTATAAAACCCCGTTCGATAATCTACGTATATCACACTCCGTACAAGTAACCACAGTATACCACAACAACATACAATCAAGTATTTTATTGCCTTTTTTCCTAATCCGATTCTTCTCCACTGCCATGGCCTGACTGGTAGACCACCGATCGCTATACCAAGGAAACATTCCACCCTGCATACCTTTCTTTTTTCCTTTTTCTATCTATATCACTCCGTCTACCCTCCTACGCACAGGCAGTGTGCTTCTATTTATGTCCCGTCTGCCCTTCTTCATATCTCATATCCGAAACACTTGTCCAAGAGATCGTCAGTGCATCATGACCCGGTTTGCAGCGTTAGAGTGGACATACGTAATAGAAGTGGAGAGGAAAACTTCGCCGAACAAGAATGTTCCAACTCTGGATTTCTGGCCTGGGTGTATTATTTATAAATAAAGCTAGGGAACCGCCGATATTAATCCAAGCTTGTGGCAATAGCACTGCATTTCCTCCACTCCATCTCTTCAGCTTAGCCACATTGTAACTTAACTTGTACGGAGTTCCTAGTCTAGTGGGACCCGGACCGAGTCTTCAGTACCGAGGGCCTTCCAAGGTACTCCCGTCCTCCGACGGAGTATATCACGATCAAATACGGAGTAGCCACCTGTCAACTTGCAAATCCTTGGTACGGGGTGTCTAGGCCCGAGGTAATACGGAGCACAGGATTCTATATTCTATTCTAGTTATCAGGAATCGTATATGATCCGAATGTTCGCTCTCGCCTTCCATGCCCAGCCGCCACAAACGACGATCGACTAGAGAGATCGCTGTGATTTGCCGGATCCAAGCGAACTCGGCTTGGATGAAACAGCGCTAGGATATACGTGGATTTACCGGCTATTAAGTGCGTTTTCCGGGCGGGTTTTCTTTCTAGAACGTGATTAGACTGGCTTGTGCATTCATCCTCCGGTCTAGAACGGAGCACCAAGGATATTTGGATTTGTATAACATCCTAACACAGTAGGACAGCATTGTACACCGTACACTCTACGGACGACGGTCTACGTGTCATCCATGATTTTCCCCTTTTTCAAAGGTTATCTCTCCTTTATCGACTCGTCCAATATGAATCATCCCACTCATCTCCCAAGTGGAGAGTCTCCACTCGGCGTAAAGATAAAAAAATGATACCATGTGCTAGCTACAACTTTCCGATCGATCTAAATTCCAGCAGGTGCATACCTAAATACTATAACAAACCGAAGGATGTAATAGTTCAATCTTCAGTTACACAAATACAACTGCAGTGGTTCAGTTGAAACAGTAGGACACGTCGTGTGTTCCCCGAACGACCCATACAGAATCAATAGTCGCGAATAATACCGAGCATCATTGGACGAATATTAATACGCATCTCCGTACTTACGAATATTCCCTGCCAAGGCAAATCCTGAAGTGATGATGTTGTGGCATAATATGGCTGAGACAATCCGCCACAATGCGCGGGAAGGGGGAGCTAACCCAGTCCGACGTAATCTCCCGGCTTTCGGGTGCCGCGTAGTTAGGGTTACTCGACCAGTCTCTCTCTGCTCCGTAGGCCTGGCCTTCCCAGGTGGTCTTTGGGCAAGGTCTCGACTTCAACATGTGGCGAGGCTCAGGGCTAAGTCAATAATTATTGCTATTGTGCCTGGTGGCTTGCAGGTGGCGTCCAGCATCTGAAACAAGCCTACGGAGGACAGCGGTGATCACTTCCTGCTGCAGGTTTCCGACCATACAATATACAATGAGTACAACATTGTATGTCCGTCAAGTCAACTGAGTTATAGGACCCCAGATTCAATCAACACATTCATACTACAGTCTCAAGATACATCCGCATTGAATAAGAATATGAATTCAACTAGTCTGCTGTTGTACATGAATTATGTTGGGCCCGCTCCCATCTTAACTGTCGCGGCTGAAGTCAAGAGATAGATGGCCAGTTCCGGAAATCACATCAATCATCACACTGGCTTCCGAATCTCCTGAATCCGCCGAACCCGCTGACTCCGCCGACCCGGAATCCTTCGAGGTCTGGCTAACACTGCGCAAGCCGTTAGTGTCGGACCCTGGCAGAGGGCCAATCATCGCTTCATCCATCATGAATTCATCGATATCCTCGACAAACTCTGGCTCGGGAGGTGAAAGAGAAGATTTGACCCAAGCCAGAATGTGGGAGCTTGGAGACGAACGCAGAGGATCACCCTCCAGTCGGTTGCGTTGCTCTGACTCGGGCGGGGAACCAGATGAAAGTGAAGATTTAACCCAGGCCAGTATGTGGGCGCTGGGAGGGTTGGCATGCAGAGGGTGATACTCCGGTCGGCCGCGGTGCTCCGGCTGTGTAGTCGTCGTGTCTGATCTAACGCTGTCCTCTGATCTGACGCTGTCTTCATCATCATCAGCATCGAAGAAACTAGCCACGGCGGATAAGGAGGTCAGTCGGGTGAAATGCCACTGCATATCCAACAAGTCGAAACTCGGAAGCGGGCGAAGGACGGGGTCGTCCGTTGTCATTCTAAATCGGTAGCCGGACTCAATGGCACGATATGTTGGTTCACCTCGCTTTCCTACCGCCACGATCAGTCGATCCACGCTGTTGACGTTCTTGCTAGATATAGGCTCCTTGGACACATCCACCACGTCGTAAAGCTTGTGGTCTGGCTTTGGTTGCCAATAGAACTCGATTTCCATTTCAGTCATATCCTCCGAGACCCAGACGGGACGCAGAGCGAACAACCCACTCGACCATGCAGACCGAAGGTCTCTGCGAAGGCAGATCAGATTGGAGCAATCATTGACAGGATTGTCGGGCTGAGTTGGGTCACTGAAGACGGCTCGTTTCCACCTTTCAGTTGTACTCTTTCCCCAGAACACATCTGCAAACTTCCAAAGGCTAGGAGAATCCGGGTCATCCTGCAAGCGGGAGCTGGCTGCACTAGCTGGGAAGATCGGGGTGGTTTGGTAGAGCTTGCGGGTTCCTGTGATGACACACTTGTATCCATCTCGCTCTCGGGCGGCATAGATTGCAACCGGGGAAGCACGTGGCCGTGAACTGAAACTCGAACCCGAAGTCGGGGTTGAGTATGCTGATTCGAGCTGTTGGGCGACAGATGGAGTTGCCGTCCATTTGAATGGGAGAGCACAAATGAGATCAGAGATGGTATGCATGAGTTTCATTGACAAGTTGGCGAGCTGTACGATGTACTCAAGCTTCTCGATATCGCACACCTGGAGAACGGCCCAGAATGGCGAGGGGACTTGTTGTTCGAAAAGAGCTCTGTTGAGTTGGCGAAGGAGGATCTTTCGCTGGGGAGACTGGATATTGAAACGCTCATCATTAACGCGGACAACAGTAACTGAACGATCTAATTCAGTGGTGGACGCGTTTGACATGTTGACCCACGTGGAGGCAATCCTGCATCAAAGACGGTGAGGTGGGAATCCGATTTGCACGCGTGTGCTCGGTTTCTAAACGAGATAGAAAGCTTTGTGTTGAACTCAAGCGATTGATATCCTTCAGGTATATCCCACGCGTTTTATTCACATTCAGAAGTAACATATGGACGACACCGTTCTTGAAGTTAGGATATCTCACTGCGTGTGAAGAGGGAACGCGTGAAAGAGAGAGGGTATGTGAAGGAGGGAGTGTGAAGGAGGGGGGAAGCTTTGTTTTGATCGCAAACGATTAATATTCTTCAGGTGTGGCCTGCTCATTCTGTTTATGCTCAGGAAGGAACATCATACATGTCGGCGATATTGGTCTTACATATAGGGTATACCTCTGGGTGTGAACGAGAGAAGAAGACGTTTCTTGATCTCGAGCGATTATTATATCTTTTATACATAGCCCGCGCGTTCTATTCATACTAAAAGGGACATGTGGACGACATCGTTCTTGAATTGAGGATATCTCGCGATACATACAGGACGTCAATGGCACCTTCCAATTTTAATGCACAAATTCATCATAAATCATAGGCCGTAAACATCATATTCCTAGATCAATTACCGGGAATTCATCCATTCTCGATCTCGAATATCTCGCATGCGCTTCTCAATCAACCATGCCCTCGGAGGCATCCCCACACGAGGTCTAAGGCGAGGCCTGATATCAGGCACAGAGCGCTCCCGCTGGATGTCATGGATCCGTCTACGACGAGCACTTCGAATCTCGTCGGTCAATTCAACAAGCTCATCTATGTCCTCCTGTGGCCAAAAGTCAGAATCCAAGAAAGTCGTCTGTTCGGATGATACATACCGGCTTGAGGTACGAGAAGATGTAGTAGCACGTTCTGGTCTCTTCATACTCGAATCCGAGCTGCTCAATAGCTTCCCTCACTACCAATCTCTTCGCTATTTCGGTCCACCGATCGTTTGGCGATTCATCCGCGCCCGTGACCTGCTGCGCAATCCGGCCCGTTTCCACTTCTTCCAGTGGCACATGTCGGGGTTTGACTTCAACAACGTCCAGAGCTCCGCTCATAATGGCTTCGTCTTGAGATGAAGCATGCACCACAGACCAGCCATCCGTGTTTGTAGGGCCTTCGTCTACTACGCGCGTGCTCTCAATCACTATGTCTTTTTCCATCTCACGCATGGAAGGAGCCCTTATTTCGTGGCTGTGAGCTATATCGCTATCGTCTTCTAGCGGCACAGGTCGACGATGAAGTGAAATTGTTTCCCGCTCCCACGGATCGTTGAAACCAAGAGATGGCCCGCTAGTTGGAGATATTGAGTCTTCCGGAGCGAGAGAGTCTTCACTGTCACTGCGTGTGAGGATTATTTCTTCCTCTGACATTCGCCCGCCTCTCCGAGATCGTAGTTTCATACGAGGTGTGTGGACTTGAAGCGGCGACTGGCGTGATGGGATGTCCGATTTCCGAATACTGATCTCTTCCTCAACCTCTCCATCCAGTGGAATCCGTCGCCTACCGTTTCGCCGAAGACCTCTCAATCCTCTTAATTCGGGCTCGGGATCCGAAGGTACACTGCGTCTTGTTTCACGTCGATCGCGTATGACGATTTTCTCCTCGTCATCACTGTCGTCTGGTCGTGGCCCCTTGTCCTTCCGCCGGATGACCACATCCTCTTCAATTTCTCGATCTGAAAAATCGACTGGTCCTCGGCGTCGCTTTGGGGGTGCATCGTCAAGGATGACCTCTTCCACCTGGACCGTTTGGGGAGGCGGAGGCCGTGGCCGTGGCCGTCGTCGGCGGTATGGGTCTTCTTCCTCAAACTCCAGTATCCTTTCGCGCGATCGCACGTCGATTTCACTTTCCCATCCGCGATCTAACGGGGGCTCTTCCCTTTCTTTCCGTCGGATGAACACTTCCTCTTCCTCAAATTCGCGCTCGGGGCGACGTCTTCTTCCTCTATGTTTCCCCCGCTCCTCAACTGACAGATCCTCTTCGAATCCGCTTTCTGGACGTCGCCTGTGGTGGCGCACTTCTTTCTCCTCAACGAGAAGATCGTCCTCGGACATTCGTTCTGGATGACGCCGACTCCCCCTGCGTATTTCTCTGTCTTCAATGATCAGATCATCCTCTTCAGATTCCCGGGAACGGTGCCTGCTCCCTCGGCGTCTTGGCCGTTCGGAGATGATTTCCTCATCCTCTTCGAATATCGGCTCTGAACGACGCCTCCTACCACCACCTCTTTCCCTTTCTCTCTCCTCAATGACAAGATCATCTTCAACTTCTCGCTCTCGCCCGGGACGATGCCTCCTCTCTGGCCGCCTTTCTCTCTCCTCAAAAATAAAATCCTTGTCAACTTCGCGTGGATGACGTCGACTGCCCCGGCGTGTCTCTCGTTCCTCAAAAACAAGATCCTCGTCGTCTTCATCACGGAAATGAGGTCTACGACGGGGCCCAGATGGCCGCGTGGAGACATCGTCGCGGTCAGATGAGACAATATCGACCTCCTCCTTTGTCCGCGTGCGAACCACATCATCCCGTGCTCGCGGCGGTGCAAAGCTTTCGTCCATGAAGTCTCGCCTGGGACGTTCTCGGATGTGCATACGCTCCATATCCTCAGCTAGCGGCTCGGACCTTCGACGACGAAATTCCACATCTTCATAGTCGCGATCTCGTCGGCGCGGCCGGCGGTCTCGCTCTCGTTCAACTTCATAGAAGTCATCTTCTTCGTCGTAGTCGCGGGGTGGTGTTCGGCGGGGCATTGTGGGACTGTGCGAGTGATCACCGCATTGGATTTGGTGTAGCTACGGTCGGAAACTCGACCACGATGGAGAAGACTCTTAGTTCAAGCTCGCAGGAGCCTGTCAAAGGGTTCAGTTGAAGGCAAGAGATAAATCCAGTTGGTGACTGGTGGGGCTTGCAAAGGAAGGTGGGCTGTGCTCTAGTCAAGATCACCCAGTTAAGCGGCTAATGATACTAGTACGACAAGCAATATAGGTAGACGAGAACCAACTGATCGTATTCCGTACACATACATGAAACGTGAACTGTTTTGAGGAAGGCTGACAACCCTGGAAAAAAGCAAAGTGGTCATCGGCCCCGCGGCTGATGTCACTAGGGCGGTTGCGAGATATGTAGCTAAACATCATTCCCATCCAGATCTTCCAAAGATTCCCCGTTTCCATTGTTTATTCCCCAGGTCTTCCAGTCTCCGGCCCTACCCCAGAATATTAGCTAATCCTGCCAGAACCTTGGTTCTCTTCTCTCAAACTGCCATTTTGGGCTTCAGAAATGTACTCGGTGGAGTCTCATATGCTTAGCGTCATCGAAGTCCTTAGAGGCCCAAAGCTTGCCTGACGTGGGTTGTTGGGTGCTTCTGCTCAAGGCCACCCCTCCACCTGGTATACACCGACTTTAACATCCGATCCACTTCCAGGCACTCACAGGCTACAGCCCAGGGATATTCCAAGATATCTCAGGACGTCTTATGTTGACATTGCGAAATTCTGAGATAGAAGAATAGTCGGTGAGAACGTCATGATCTCTTTTTAATTAAATCGTGTATTTTTTATGGATATATTCTCCTTAGGTACACGGCGGAAAAGGCGGGAAAGGGCTTAATTGTGAATCGACGTTTCAAGGTATAACTTTGGATTAGTCCGCCCAATCAGGCGATGGCATAAATTTGTGGCATTGGGTATATCGTAGCTATGCCAAGTAAAAGCAGATTATGAAAAACATGGTAAAAAAACAAGACATACAACATAGGCTCATAGGTCATTGGAAAGCAAGTCGCATCTGCCCCTTTTCGGGCTTCCCCCGACTCCCTCCACCCCGGCCACCTCTTCCACGAGAACTTGTACCGCGTGCACTACTTTTCGTAGGCGGTGGCGGCTGTGAAACCCTGGCCTCCTCTCTGTCCTGGCTTGCAAGGTCCTTGGCAAAGTGCCAATCGTCATGTTCTTCTTTTTCATGCTCGAACATCGACTTGGAGCACCGTGGACATACGAACCGGGGAATCCCGCTGGGTTCGGAGTCTTTTTCAGCGGGTTCTTGGGGGCTAGCTGGCTCGTCTGTGGCAGGAGTTTCAAGATGTGATGGGATCCCGAAGAAACTTTTGATCTTATCCCCGTCACCTTCAAGCTTTCGTCTTTTCTCCGTTGGGGCTTGTTCGCTGGGGGAATTATCGGTATCTCGGGGTCTTGAAGAATGACTTAGAGCTTTCGCTTGATCACCACGAATCAAGAAGCCTTCGATAGCCTTGTTGTTGGCCACGCCGTCTTCAAAGCCTGAGACGCTCAACGACAGGTTGGAACAGGGCCATGCCTGTCCGTCAGCCACAACTTGACGGAGCAAAGTATTCGCCAGATCGTAGAGAAGATTCTCATTAATTGTATTAGAGCCTGGGATTGGGATTTGGCGAGAACGAGATTGCGCAGTTCGATGGTGTATCGTGATCACTTTCGGACGACGTCTATTTTCAAGCACGCCGTCTTCCACAAGCCTGCCATATATATCGGCTGCGAAGATACGAAGCCACTTCTCAGCTTGATCAAGTGAGTTGATGCTCGGTCGGAAAGATTTCGCGGATAGCATAGATTTAATTTGGGTTCGGGGATTGACCTCGCTGCGATCATCACCGCGGATGATCCCGTAAAGCCAGGATGCTGTTTGATCAGCCAGCTTAGTGCGCAACTGCTCAAGCGGTACATTAAGGAGCTCGCTGACTTTCTCCGTCCCAAATGCGGCAGTTATTTGATCGCCGAGTTTACCACCCAGCATTCTGATCTGGGTAAATTTATAACCATTTAGGAAATTCTGCACCGCCCGATTCCGCACAACGGTTTGTAGGTTGGGCTTGTTGCACGCACTTCCTAGTTTTGCGATCATTTTATTGCGGCCAAGCCCGGCCGAACAAGTGTAACTGAGCTTCTCCCAGACAGCGTTCCGCACCCATCGCACAATCTCGGATCCTATCAGCATGACAACGTCATCCCAGTCTGGATCATCCTCCTCTGTTTCATGTTGATCGAGGTCCACTAAGCAGTCGGTGTCCCACTGCAAAGCTGTGATCGGCGGTATAGGAAGTTGTGCATCCCGGTTCTCGTCTTGTATTCCCATCCGAAGTTCTGGATATCTCCGAAGAAGTGCCCTATATATCAATGGAGACAAATCAATGAATACTTCATCGATACTAGCTTTCTCCAACCCAGCCGAGATCGGATTCTGAGTTTCGGTTTCCATATCATCGACACTCCATGTAGCCAGAGCCTCCTTCATCGTCTGGAGGATCTTTCGCGATTGTGCTCGGTACGGATCCAGCGACACCTTGTCCGTGCTAATATTTTTGAACGAATCATCCCGATATGCCCACCGTCCCCCCTCCCCCTCTCGAAAAGTCGCGACATGCTGTAAGACGAGGTCTGGACAAAGTTTCCTGGCCTCCGCAACATTGATTAATCGACTGATTCCAAACGGTCGCGCGGCGTAATTGATGGCAATCAAGGAGTCCCATTGCCGCACTGCTAATGGGGTCTCCCGCGGAGTCCCCAGGCGGACCATCTCACATTGTGCATAGAAGGCATCGAGATCGATATGCGCAATCACGCGCAGAGGGGTTGCCGTGGATCCCTGTCGTAACAATTGCAATTGTCGATAGGTGAACCGGGAGAGCTTCAAGGGATCGGACGACTCGGTGGGTTCGGACATGCTCGCACGTGCGTCATGACGGTAAATATTAGTCCATGGGGTTGTCGGTCAGAGCTGGAATCCGATGCTCTCACCTTGGGACAAGAACCCAAAATGGACTAGTGTGGGCACGTGCCCTGAGGTTCTCCCTCTTCTATAGACTACAACATACAGCAGCCCTGGAGGGTTGTAAGTTGAGTCATACATTGTTTTGTGTTAGTTATTCAGGTGGCCGCTTGTGAATGATATTAATTACTTGGAAACTTTCGTTATATAAGACCCCTCTCCTCTGTGTTTAAGCGCACCATTTAACCTTTTCCTACCCTGGAACACTTCCAACATACCGTATAAGTCTGTCCTACCACCGTGTGCTTTGTATACTGCCCATAGTCCTCTTTTAGCTGCTCGCGCATACTACATCCACGACTTGACCAACCAAGAAACCAGCCAGCCTAGCGATGGATATCACTAGATACATGGTGGATTGCAGCTGGCATTCAGGCTTTATCTAATCATCAAATTGCCAGATTTTTTGATAAAAACAAGTCTATCACACAAGAGAACACTGCTGCCCTTATTACCAGAGGTGGATCAGTTGCTCCCACGCCGGCACACGGCATGACGAGCTATACGGTTATTGCCAGTGTCAATCCTAAAGCTATTCAATTCTGCGCCCCTGAAGCCGCTCTTGATATGAAGGTCATGTCACTAGTGAAAAGCATGTATAAAGATTTCGCCCCTGGCTGTGGGAGACGCGACTCGTTAGGCCCTCTTATCGTGTATGAAATGGATGTTGTAGAAGGGGTCGCTTTCTCTATAGCCCAACGCGAGATTTGCGCTGTGAATAAATACAGCCTTCTTGAGAGGACTGTATATGATCTTGCAAAGTGTTCTTGAACACACTGCCTGCGATAAACACCTAACTTTCTAGATTTTTCGCGTCGAGCTGGACTAGTGGAATCGATATGACGCCATGGATAGACACAGCCGTTACTTCTGTAGAGATTTCCCAGAGGTTAGAGACTCTCTGATGCTCTTGAGCGCTTCGTGCCGAGCTGACTGAAGTCCGTGAGCAAAGGCTGGACACTCTTGCTGATGCTCTTCCTGAGCGCTTTCGTGCTAAGCTGACCGAGGTCCGAGGTCCGCGATCAACTACCACTGCTTTTCGCCCTAGACTATCCGCAGGTGCTAAACCATGCCGACCTATGGGAAATGAATATCCATGTCAACCCGAGTACAGGAGGTATTGCCAGTATAGTCGACTGGCGTGATGCTACTGTTGGTCCTTTTGGATTGTCATTTTGGGGCCTTGAGACCTTGCTAGGAACCTTTGGTGCAGATGGCTGGCACTTTCATGCCCGTCACCTCGAATTACGGAGGGTTCTCTGGGAGACCCTCTATGCTACCGCAGGCATTGTCACGGAGTCTCAAAAGCGGGCAGTCAAGGTTGGAAGGGTCGTTGGCATCTTCCAGGCGTACGGTCTCAGAAAAGGAGTGCCCGTGGAGGCAGGAGACCCGAGTCTTTCGGTTCTTGAGGAAGTCTTGTCCGTACCTGAATGTAACTGAAAGCTGAGCACCAACAGGCGGTCGAGGGCGGCAGAGCGATGGTTGTGTACGATTACTAATCACAGGTCTCCTGAACTCAGGGGCAACTGCAATCTTCAGTCCAATTTATTACTCCGTAGAACAACGGGGTACATCTTACATACCAAGACTTATTTTAATCTTCTTCAACAACATAAACATGTCCAAGACAGCCGCAATTCCTTCAATATCCACAGGTACTCCGTATTCTGGGACGTCCAAATGACCCATCACTTGGTGCCTGCTTATTTTTCATCACCCACTCCTGCACAGTCAGATGTTGTGTTCTCGTGCAGATTTTTCCGATGTTGTAACTCGTCCACGACAGTCTCGAACCTGAAGAAAAAAACAAACGAGACAGGGGATCTCCGATCTGTGCGATCCAGCTGACATTGGCGGGTTGTGAGTGGACCAGAAGCTCGGAGCCTTCGCGCAGCTGCCCAAAGCCACGCATTCCTGCCCAACGGCAATCTCGTGTGGACATCGGCCACCAGTTTTCGGTGGCAAGTTCGCAGGTCGCCACCGTCTTTTTGTCAACAGTTGGCTGTCATGCTCCCTTTGCAGATGGTGTGCGAGGGATCAATCACAATTGAGTCTGATGATTTGCCGCCTCAACACTGCCATCTTACCACCGTACATATGAACATCTGACAGCTTTTATGATCTCATTTCTTCTGAGCAGTCCTGCTTGACCGCTGCTGAAGGCTAAAGATCCACCGGTGGAGTCCTGTAGAGTTTCGATATTCATCCGGTCCAGGGGCACAGACTAGGGAGCAATCCAAGCTGGTTGAATATGGGGGATCGGCCCTTATTTTTTCGTCCCAACTAAAATTGAGTGAAACCCAAGAGCAGCCCTTTTAAGGTCTAGTTTTAGGGTACAAAGGACGTCTCTAGGGATCCACTCCGTATAGCTGTGTACATTCACACTTTCGGGGGTGTTGATCAGGGAAGTATATAGTTATAGATACATGTTTATATGAAACCGGGTACAAAGTCCTACCTCCCTGGCCCCAAATGATATAAATGATACCAATTAAAATACTCAAGCGGCTATAGACATAGGGTTGCACATTAGTCTAATCCACATTTGACCTTGCATGCTTTTTGCCTTGATCTCAGTGGGGAGTCGTGGCACCAGCCCAAGACGGCCCAACCGCCCTGGCCCTTTGATGTCCACTTTACCTTCCCCCCCTCTTCTTTCTTCCCCTTCTCTCCCTCTCCCTCGTCTTTCTCTCCCTTCTCCCCATATTCCCCTGGCTTCTCTTGCCACAACTATTCTTTCTCCCAATATCTAGTTCGCCCCGAACAGATTACAGATATCCCAGGACCCCGTCAGCCGTGTTTCTCTTTCTCCTAATTGACCCTGACAACCCATCCTCTCCCTTCCCAACCTCGTGTCGCTATCACCGTCTTTTTTGAGGCCTTCTCAATTTCCCAGGATAATTGCTACCAGTGGACAACCAGGATTTCTTCCCAGGATTAACCGGACTTTCCCACGGACTGTTATTCGCGACCAGGATCAATTTTTTTCTGGCCACTTCCCAAGGATCATATCTCGTTTTCTGCTTGCCCTGGAAGCGAGAAAAGAAACCATTCAAGTCGTTGATTGTCGGCTCTGGAACCTGCTCGATAGAATTTGTACATCCTACAATAAAAACGGACTCACCACCATCCATCAACTTTCCCGGGACTCTCAAACCATCTTCCAGACTCCGGACTCCCTCTTCTCTGGCCCTTTGGATCCGAGGACTTTAAATTTTTAAACCGGATATTCCTCCCTCGGAATACATTATGACAGGCCGCTATGAAGGACGCCCGGAGCGTCAGAATGAATATTTCATCCCCGGTGAAGGAATCAGCCGAGAAGTTATTCAAGCAGATATTTGCCGCTACCTTGGAAACGATGCCCTCGTGAGACCTGGCAACCACAATGTGCGTCCTCCGCTCGTGCCCCCGATGACCCCAATGGCCGTTTTGACTGACCATGAACAGGGCCGCCCAGGATTCTTTATCCGCGCCTATCGGAATCTCACCTCTGTAAGTGACTATGGACAAGCGACAGCAAGCGGGAGAAGTGAAGATGGCATTCTAACCACACATCGAATACAGGAGATGATTACTGATCTGAAGGCTGACTCCGCTCGCTGGGAGGCGGACGTCTCACGTCGGGCTGACCTAGGCTACCCGCGTGGGAATTACATTCAAGACACGAACGTTTCCCATGCACCTAACACCGCTCCAGTGAACTATGCTCCTGCGCCTGTTCATGAGACTCGCCAGTCACAGGGCCCGTCCCCCACGCCCTTTACCGCAGCACCCGTTCAGCAATACATGGATCCCTACTCCCAGTCCTACAGTGGATCCCAGAATACCCCTTACTCCAACCCTCCATCCTACACATCCGCCACTCACTCGCCATATGCATCAGGTACAGCTCCGTACCCCCCGCCCCAGGTTTCCTACTCTGGTTCCAACCAGCCCATTGTGACGTCTGCGGACATGCACCCTCAATCGTATACATATGCCCCCACGGGCTATGGTTACGACAATGGCCGAAGCAATGCTCCACGATACTCGGGACCTGGATATGATGCCGAACAGGAGTACTCTACTGTAACGTCTGGGATGTCCTATCCTACCACAACTGCCCCGGATCCCCGGATAGGAATGGAGCCCAGATACACTCCGGAATATGAGCGCAGGCCACAAGCAACCAGAGACAACCCCCACCGTCGGCGGTAAACAAGAATGACCACCCCAAGGGTTTTCCTGCATGATTTCTCCCTTCTCTCCACCCACACTGTGGTCTACTTGATGCTTTCTTCCGGGATATCTCCAAAATACCCCTAGGAATAATGTTGATGTCTGTGAAAATCTCCTGGACAATCTTCACGCCTTTCTTCTCTCTCTTGGCCACCATTCTCATATTCCCAATTTGTCTCCAGTCAGGGGAACTTTCCACCTCCCGTTGGATATGAATCTCACTTTATTTTTTATACCATGGACTTCACTGGAATTGAACCCATTGCTCCGTGGCAGGAGCTTGGACTTCCCGTGGACCTTCTTGATTTCTCTCATGCTTTTCTGCAACTGGCCAGCCAGGAGTAAGAGTGATGTGTCTTGATTGCGTTTACGAAAAGGTGGCCCGGACTTGAGCGTTTTGTTTGTTTCTCTGCTCTCACGGATTCCGGGAATACCCACCCCACAATAATGTGATACTTTTCGTTGGTTTAACGGTGTATAGGGATTTGTGTGTTCTTAGCAACTTTTCTTTTTGTTTGTCTTTCCCTTGAAAGAAGGGGAGTCATCGTTCTATTTTTTTTTTTTTCCCCTTGGTTTGCGAAAGCGATGTGCTTGGATAAACTAAGGCCGGTGACCTACATGTAGATATGAGCATTTGCGGCGTTGGTCCTTCTGTGATTGACGTTTTGATGTGCGAGTTCTTGGATTGACTCCATGATCTTAATGAATCTCTTTCTCTGCATACTGTTACCTCGGAGTAATCAAGATGTCATCTAAACAAGAATAGTAGGCCGCTTATGCGGTCTTGTCATTTTGGTAGTCTTTTCAGTAGTCTTTTTATATTATTAGATGTATTTTTTATGTATCTTCTCCTTGGGTACACGGCGGAAAAGGCGGGAAAGGGATTAATTTGTGATGGTTACTTCCTTGTGTACAGCCTTGGATTGCTGGCTTTTTTGTCCGACCTGATGCTGCAGCTTCGGAGTATGATGCAAATTCTGCAATTGATCGGGTATTACAGATACTAATTCTGGCGAGCAGCCTCTCTCCTTGGTGGGGAAACCATATCGGCTGTTCGTGCGCAAGAATGCAATTATTCCTAAGATACCCCATACTTGAAACCTAGAAAGCGACTTGATGTCGATTATTGCACAAAACATAGTACATACACTGTAGCGCCGAGCTCGACCTTCGGCGTATGCGCAACAAATATTGGTATCAAAGCATGTTGATGGCCAGGAGAAGTTGCCCGGAACAAGTCGATTCGATTGCCCACACTGATGCGATGGGACTTGTTCATCAGTCCAGTGGCACAGCCAACTCATCTCCCGCCATCCGCTGAATTTATTCCTCCAAAGCTCGGACAATACACGAAATTCTCTCTAACTTGACATTTTCGTAGTTCCGAACCCGTTTATTCGTCATCGTAGCCCTTGGGGATCACCCGCGGACCCTGCGGAACTGTACGTAGTGAAGATAATGGTCAGATTCAAATTACTCAATATGGGTTTTGTACTTATGCACCGATTTGGTGGAAGTGAATGGGTTCATACTGGGATATGTCAGAGGAATAGGCTCGGGGTCGACGTCACCGAGGGCGTGGCGGATGGGAGGAATAGTAGCCAGCGAGATGGGGCCCATGACGCCAATGCACAGAGCGGCGAGGATAGCTGGCTTCTCGTGCGCAGCCCAGCGGATATAGCGGAGGGGGGTCGACCAGAACAGAGGGGCAGACATGGCTGTAGGAGGAGGTCGTTGGCGACCGGTCGGGGTTTTGCGATGTGGGTGGGAGGGCAATGCCGGTAGAATAGAAAAAAACTGCTCAAGCGCGCACGAACGAACAGATACACCGGTCCCACTGAGTGGTTGTTGAGTGGTTAGGATCAGAGAAGCAAAATTGAAGCTGGAGGGACGAGGTGAAGTCGAAGTTCGGAGATGCGGGCCCAGCGCTCTCGGGTCTTGGCACTCGCCCATTAAACACGTCGCCCTTTCTATGTATACAACTTGGATCTTCAACCACCTTTCTTCACTTCCTTCTTTTTGATCCTTCCGCTCCGCTGCGCGGGATTTGTTCAAAATGAGGTGGTGTCTTGCGTTGCTTATTTGTTGCTTCTTGGCTGCGGTAAATGCGCTGAGTAGCTCCGGCAGTCGCCTGTTGGCTATTTTGGAAGATACAGAACAAAAGGACCTGTACTCCACGTTGTGGGCAGACCTAGAAGGTAATTAATCTGACTCAATTTATTGATCCTTTGCTAACTCTCGGACTCCAGCACGAGGATACGATGTCTCAATCGAATCTTCCAAGAGTGAACAGCTTGCCTTGTTCAAGCTTGGCGAAAGAGCTTACGACCACCTTCTAATCTTCCCTCCCAAGTCAAAAGGTGCGCAAACCCGACTATTGATTCGATGTCTAGTCAATTGACCTAAGAATACAGGCCTCGGCCCCTCCTTGACCCCCAAACACATCGTCGACTTTATGAACAAGGATGGAAACATCCTCCTCGCCCTTTCTGGCAAGTCTGCCACCTCCAGCGCCATCAGCTCCCTTCTCCTCGAACTCGATATTCACCTATCCAACGATCGCTCACAAGTTGTTGTCGACCACTTCAACTATGACACCCTCTCGGCCGCTGAGAAGCATGACGTTCTTGTCCTGCAGCGCCCTGGACCCCTCCGTTCTGACGTCAAGGCCTTCTTTGATGGTGAGGGTGTTCTTGCTCTCCCTCGAGTTGCTCCCCAGACTCTCGGTGACAGCGCCCTGCTCTCTCCGATTCTCAAGGCCCCCGCCACTGCCTACAGCTACAACCCCAAGGAGGGCACGCCCGCGCCGGAGGATATCCTGGCTACCGGGTCGCAGCTGAATATCATTTCCGCTATGCAGGCACGTAACTCTGCCCGCTTCACTGTTCTCGGATCAGTGGAGTCGCTGGAGGACAAGTGGTTCTCGGCCTCCGTCAAGACGCCCAGCGGCAAGAAGACACCTACCGTGAACCGCGAGTTCGCCAAGCAGTTGACTGCTTGGGCTTTCAAGGAGACTGGTGTCCTGAAGGTTGACAAGGTCGAGCATCGCCTTATCACTGAGGGCGCAGAGTTGAACCCCTCGATCTACCGGATCAAGAACGAGACTGTACGTGAAACAATATATTGTCATTCTCTTCCAAGCTAACATGAGCCTTATTTGCCTGCAGATCTACAGCATTGAGATTTCCGAGTATGTCTACGATAAGTGGGTTCCCTTTGAACTACCTGGAGACGACGCGCTCCAGCTCGAGTTCACCATGCTCTCGCCCTTCCACCGCCTGAACCTGGAACCGGTCGAGCGCACCGATTCCAGCACTGTGTTCAGCACTCAGTTCGTGACTCCCGATCAACACGGAATCTTCTCCTTCCGCGTCAACTACAAGCGTCCCTTCTTGACCGCCATCGAGGAGAAGCTTGAGGTTACCAACCGCCACTTCGCGCACGACGAGTACCCGCGCAGCTGGGCTATTACCGGCGGCTGGGTATGGATTGCCGGTCTTTGGTCGGTAATTGGAGGATTCTTGGCTTTCGTGGTTGTCTGGCTCTACTCTGCCCCTGTGGCCGATAAGCTCAAGAAGACTCAGTAGATTTATATTTATTGGACTGTCCATGATTTCAATTTTCTTGCATGATCCTGATCTCCCGAATGAACACATTAGGTCCAAAGATGACCAATTCTCAATGATAGATATTCTCCTTGCCTTCCTTTTCCTTCCACCTCCCTGCAGTTGGAAGCCTACAGCTGTCAAGCTTTACATGTAGAGTCCAGGCTATATCAACCCCGTGAAACGGTAGATGTCCGCTAAAACGACACTAATGACCGCAATTGGCCTCTTGCATGAAAAGAGGGCAGGAGTCTGATAGGACGTGAATTAGCCTAAAGAATACAGGAAACGGGTGAGATTGACTAACTACATGTTTCATATTCCTCTTGAAGCCGGTTTGACTGTCGTTGGTCCCTAATATCCACAGCGGGCCATTCAGTCCATCCTAAACAAGTCTCATGAGGATACTAGCTTGCCCGAAGCAGTAGTAATGCTCCTCGCTTCTGTATAACGGCTCAAGGACTGGAGAATAGCCTGGATTTTCATATCTTCTTTCCCATCGAACGCTGTTGCCCTCCTGTACATAAACTGGAAATGGAAATGGATAGACCGACTTTCGTCTTCTCAATCGGTGCTTGGGTTAGTCCCATCGTCTTCGATGCCGTGCGTGACCGTCTAAACACCCTACTTATCCTTCTGAATGCCTCCCGCCCCCCTCTATCGGCGCTGAGCCGCCTTCCCTGACATTAGAAGACGACGTTGTCTCGCTGCGTAGAGTGTTAACGACTCTAGCATACGAGGGAAAGGACATTGTTGTTGCGGCACACTCCTACGGGGTGTTGTAGCCTCCACAGCTAGCGAGGGTCTAGTGGAGCATGTTCGTGCGGAGAGTGACAAGCCTGGAGGCATTGTGAGGGTTGTTTACCTGGCTGCCTTTGCGCTGGAAAAAGGACAGAGCCTGCTGGACATGCTGGGATGAGCCTATTTACCCTGGATGAAAGTCGAGGTTGGTCCATGCATCATATGAACGGTAATATTGTCAAGATCAAGTTGACCAAGAAAAAGGACGACTACGTTCACGTCGACGGCATCGACAACGTTGGCTGGCAGGACCTGACCGTCGAGCAGCGCAAAAAATGGAATCGCACGACAGCGCACACCTCACGTGCGGTCTTCTCGGGCGAAGTCACTTATGAGCCGTGGCACGATGTCCCCTGCTCCTACATCATCTGCGAGCAGTATCAGGCCTTGCCGCCAGCACTCCAGGAGTTCTTCGCCTCGAAAATGGATGCGCCGGGCACTACCTACCGCCTGCCGAGTTCGCATTCCCCGTTCCTGAGTATGCCCGACCGTCTGGTGGATGTTCTGCGAGAGATAGTGAAGGTGTGATATATAATCGATTGGGTATAAGAAGCTCAGTCGATCTTGAATGAGAATGTGAGTATCAGAGAGGAAATGTATGTTTTAAGCGTAACCGAACTCCGGGCCATGCCAGTATGTAATCAGCGAATCCAAATACCCTTTTTACAGGCCCCTTGTCTTCTCTGGATCCATCTGCACTTCGTCTCCGCTGAGTTCCTTGACCGTTTGGTACGCGGGCGCTCCGGCATATAGCTGTCCCCCAGAGGTAGATTGCCCGCCGTCCATTTCCTTGGATACCGAGATAGGCTGGTTGCCGCGGAAGCGCTTGCGCATATCGATCAGACCGCGCCTGTTCCGAGAAAGGGCAATAATTAGCGAGGGTGTCCGGTTTGTCCATAATGGTCGGCCCGGTTCCTGACTCACTTGCACTCGCTGAATCCTTTCCGCAACTGCTGACATTTCACGGGTAACTCCTCGGCGAGAGGAGAGCTGAGACATTCACGGGGAGTATGACGCTGGACCATGATGCAGTCAGACTCCTGGAGGCATTGAGCCAGGGCCCGCCCTAGATAATCGATTGTGGTCAGTTTGCATTATGGCAACGGAGGGTCGCGGTAGAGAGTCCAGCGGGGCCAGGAACATGACCCTTCCTTGAACGTTGTGCGACATGGAGATGTAACGTACGGATATCATTGCATGAGCTGGGCATGTTGACGCGACCTTGTGGACGAATGCGCAACCACAAGTAGCAAGAGAGCGAGGAACGAGACCGTACGGCAAATTTAGGCCGTTAGTTATCTCGACGCTGATTGGTTGATAGATCGAATCCCCGGATGAGATAAGCATCGCTATCACATGTTGGTAATGACGTCGGGGGCATTCATCGTTTGTTTGCGCTTTTAAACGTAACGTTGCAGCATCTCTGTCTTTCTTGTCTTGAGTATAGAGTATCCAAGTGCACCTGCACATATGCATAACAATTGTTGCTCATCATGTCGCGAGTTCCGTTCATCGGGAGATTGTTCTGGTAAGGAACTCTAGCTTTTATGAAGAACGCAGCAACTGACCTTCACGTCTAGGTATGAGTATATAGCCCTCTTGGGGTCTTTGGTTCTTGTTCTGCTTGAGACAATCATTCACTTGATTACTTGGTGCCTTCGTTAGTAAAATCACCGAATATGGATGATACCAATATTAACCCCTAACCAGCTGGCCCTATCATCACATTCTGCTATGGCCAATCCAAGGCGCTTTTCAACCTTTTAATACCAGGTGAATCCCGGCTGAAGCGCACCAAAGAGGAGATATTTGCCACCACTATTGCAGACGCGTCAGATTTCACCGAGATATGTGCACTCTTCGGATTTCAAGCCGAGGAGCACATTGTACAAACAAGCGATGGCTACCTTCTTGGACTTCATCGGTTAGCATATCGAAAAGGAGAAGAGAAAATGCGCGTCAATAATGGTCCCAATGGGCTTCGGAAAAAAGTCGTCTACCTCCACCACGGCCTGATGATGTCCAGTGAGGTGTGGGTAGCCTTGACAGACGAGCAACGGTGCCTGCCCTTCCAGCTGGTGGAAAGGGGATACGATGTATGGCTGGGGAATAACCGTGGAAATAAATACTCCAAGAAGTCGATCCGATGCTCGCCGAGTTCCAATGAGTTTTGGGATTTCTCTATCGATCAGTTCGCCTTCTCTGATATCCCCAACAGCATCGAGTACATCCTCGAGGTGACCGATCAGCCGTCATTGTCCTATATTGGATTCTCCCAGGGGACAGCGCAGGCATTCGCTACGCTCGCTATTCATCCATTGCTCAACCAGAAGATTGATGTGTTTGTGGCACTTGCGCCGGCCATGGCTCCTTCGGGCCTCCGCAACCGCATTGTTGATTCACTTATGAAAGCCTCTCCGGACTTTTTGTTCCTGTTGTTCGGTCGACGCAGCATTCTTTCCTCGACAACTATGTGGCAGACGATACTGTACCCGCCGATCTTCGTGCGCATTATCGACACAGCGCTCCAAGCCCTCTTCAACTGGAAATGCCGCAACATCAGCCAAACACAAAAGCTTGCTGCGTATTTGCATCTATACTCCTTCACCAGCACCAAGTCTGTGGTGCATTGGTTCCAGATCATTCGGAACAAGAATTTCCAGTTCTACGACGATGAACTCTATGCCCCGTTCAGCGTCGCCGCCAGCGAGCGCTTTTACAAGCCGGTCAAATACCCTACTCGCAACATCAAAACCCCCATTGTGCTGCTGTACGGCGACAACGATAGCCTCGTTGATATCGGCGTGATGTTAAAGGGGCTGCCACATGACACTGTCGCCCAGGCGATTCCCACCTACGAGCATCTAGACTTTTTGTGGGCCTCGGACGTTGACCGCCAAGTCTTCGGTTATGTGTTTAATGCGCTCGAGACGTACAGCCGGGGAGGTCCGTTGGCAGGCAGTACGGGGCCTGAGAACCACGGATTTGTCGCCGACGGTCGTGTTTCCAATACGTCGGCTGCCCGAAAAACCCACGTCTTCCCCAATGATGTAGCCTACGGGGCCACACCCTGAACACTGTTACGCCATGTACAACATAGCAATTTTTCGGAGTGGGTTTGTGAGCGGGGTTGTGGCTTGGCGGGTCAATGGCCACGTCCATGGATGTATAGGGGATTCTAGTGCATTTGACCGGTACCGATTCAAGATGTGTGTGGTGTATAGATTGCCACCTATCACGGCTTGGCAGGATGCAGAGTTTTCCAGGAACCCGTCTGGATGTACCGAAGTGGCGTCCAGAGGGTGCGATTCCCGATGTATGTGCCTGTGCCTGATCATGTATGTACCCCGTAGGGTACCCGAGAGAAAAGTTAATCAAACCATGGAGTGACTCAATTTGGATCCACAGTCTGGCCATGCTGGCACCAACGGAGGACAAAGAAGACTCCGGCGATAATCTACTCTCCTTCCCACCCCGTTTGGGTCTAAAATATAAGCTTGTATTAAGTCCCTCTTGGCCCGGACAATGCCAGAGTCACTTATAGTGATCTAGATTGTAGGCGTTAAAAAAAGATATTCAGGGGCAGGTCCGCGCAATTGAGAACTTTCCGTCCGCAGGCGCTGTCTACTCTGATTCGATCTAGACCTGGCGCGTATCTCCACAGTCCAGGCTAAGGAACAAGTCACAATCCCCAAGACCAGCGCCGGCGAAATCGTGGCTCAGGAACTGGCCCATCCATGGAACCTCGCTGGCCGTCTTCATTCGGGTTGGTCGGACCAGATCGCTGTGCCTGACCCCAGCAATGGCTACCAATGGGATCAACAGGACGGTCTCGTCTAGTCAGGCACCGACCACATGGAAACAACACGGCCAAACCCAATTTGGCGGTTCAATGGGGGTGGCCTATCAAACGGCCGCCACACTGAAAATCTGACACGCCCAATGCCCTCGTACGTACTCCACCCCTAAGAATAAAATGGCGCTATATCCTCCGTCTTCTCCTCTTTTTTTCTTTCTCTCCTTTGACCATCACGATCTTTCGAATCACACTCCTTTGGATTCCTACCTCTTGGGGCTGAGCCTCATCACATCACTCTCTTTAACAGTCTGTAGATCAGATCAAAGTCCCTCTTTCACCAGATCTCACTGTCTATCAAACACCTTCCTTTGAATATCGAATTCATCCAGCCAATATGCGCTTCAACATTGCCGCCCTCTCGGCCCTTCTGGCACTGACTGCCTCCGCCCGCCCCATTGCCGTCGCCGACGACAACTACATCGAGGAGACCGTCTGGCAGACCGTCTACGAAACCGTCTACCAGACCGGCAGCACCGTCAGCGTGGCTACTGCCGTCGCTGTCGAAGAGGTCGCCAGTGCCTCCTCCACTTCCGTCGTCGCCTACTCGACTTTGACTCCCGTTATCTCTACCGTGACCAGCGTCCCTGTCTCCGTGCCCACTAGCACCAGCATTTATGCCAGCTCCACCGCCTCGGCCAGCACCGCCACCGCCACCGCCACCGGCAGCGGTGTCACCATTGTCAACAACCTCGAGGACACCGTCTACCTGTGGGTTGTCACCGAGGACCCCGGTGAGATGCAGACCGTCGCCCCCGGCGAGTCCTTCAGCGACACCTGGCTCACCAACTCCAACGGCGGCGGTATCTCCATCAAGATGTCCACCACCGAGGTCTGCGACGACGTCCTGCAGTTCGAGTACACCCAGTCCGGTGACATCCTCTTCTGGGATTTGTCCTCCATCAACCTGGTCAAGACCTCGACTTTCGTCACTGCTGGATTCGGAGTCACCATCAGTGATGAGTCCTGCACCACCGCTACCTGCGCTGCGGGTGATGCCGACTGCGTTGAATCCTACCAGCAACCTGATGATGTCAATACCCTGGCTTGCAGTCTCGATGCCGCTTACACTCTGACTCTGGGTTAGAGTGTGGCTCGGGTTCTGATTCTTGGTGTTTAAGTTGGATATACCTTTTGGTTATGGGGAGTTTTCATGCTGAACAAATTGCAAAGCACAAATTACAAAGCACAAATCATTTCTTTCTAGATATGTCGTTGTTTATAGAAAAAAAATCTTTTAAAATTAGAAAATTCTCAAACAAATCGGAATAGCCCATATTGTGGGCGCGTTCTTAGACTAATTTTATTGCATGTTTTTCATACCTTTACTTGCAATCCGAGAAGTTATTAGGCATAATGTTGTGCAATGGGTCTAATAATATTCATTCAAAAACTGACCCCTGACGGGACACCATTGAGGCAGTGCTCAACCCTTTGCTTAATGATCAAGACCACACTAACTATAAGACGAAGCAGATGATAGAAATAATAGGCATTCACAGAATATAATTAACTAGAGTATAATGCCCAATTGGTCAAAACAGACTTCTAGGGCTGAACTAGGGCTGATCATCTCAAACCCAAAATACCTCAAGCGAGAGAAACATCCTTGGCATACTCAAAGCTCCCTTGTACATACAACCTAGTACACAGGCAGCTTGAAAGCCGGGAAAGAATAAGTCCAGCTCTCAATCGAAGCCGTATCATCAACACACTTGAAAGTGCTATTACTCTTCCAAAGCGGACGGGTCGGCCACTGGCAAAGCATCTGCGTCTCGCCCTCATAAGTACCCGACGAAACAGTGGCATTCAACCGCGAAGGCTTAACACCATTCTCCACCCAGTCGATCATAGTCTGCATATTATTCTCCGGGTACGGACCCGGCTGGAGAGAATTCGTACCGCAGTGCGCCGCACCAGGGATAAGGTAGAATTGGTACCAATCGGCGAGTTCCTTCAGACTCTCCTGGGACGACAGATTCGGGTACATGATCGCGCGCACCGACTGCCAGTAATGCACAGACGACGCAGCAGGGATACTGGGGTCCGATTCGCCGTGGTAGTGCAGCAGTTTTCCGCCGGAGGCTTGGAACGGCGTGAGATCCGGTAGGGTGGTTTGCAGACTGTCCAGGTAGCGGACCATGCCGATGTTCATCCACTCGACGAGGGTGTCGTAGGTGACGTTGTCGAGGTCCGAGAGGTTGTCGAGGTCGAGGAGCTGGATGAACTTGGTCACGTACTCGCCGCCTGTCGAGGGGATGTCGATCTCCCACTTGCTGGATTCGTTGTTCCATTGCGTGTCGGCGTCGCTGAGCTCGGAGCCGATTTGCCAGGATAGGTAGGCGCGCTCGCCTTGGGAGTTGTGCAGGCCGTCGTAGACGGCTTGTGCGACTTTCACGCCCTCGGCGGTGACGTTGCCGCTTTGTTCGGGGGTGGTGGAGGTGCTGGTGCCGTCGGCGCGCTTGCTGAAGCCGAAGCCTAGGGAGGTGCTGGTTTCGGCGGCGCAGTAGTATTCCTCGCCGATGATGGAGGTCAGGTTGAATTTGAGCTTGCAGAGGTCGGTGCGGGAGATGACGCCGTCGGTGCGGCCGTCGAGGGGATCGCAGGCGGTGATTGTGGCGTTGACTATCTTCGCCAGCTCGCAGGGAGGAGGGTAGTAGTCGAGGGTTTGCTCGGCTGTAGCGGGGAAGACGTGGTGGACTTGCTGCTGGGCGAAACGGAAGGCCGGGGCTCCGGTGATGGCTCCGTCGTATTCCTCTCCGTAGCGCTGGACTTGGCTCATGCCCTCGCGGCCGCCGTCGGAGCAGCCTTCGTAGTAGGTGTAGACCTTGGCGGAGGAAGACATGCCATAGAAGCCCTGGGTCAGGACCTTTCCGATCTTGGTCATTTCGCCCAAGGCTTGGTATCCGAACATGTAGGTTGCGTCCCAGTTGATGCTCCCGTTGCCGTAGAGGACGATGTCGTCGTAGGCGTAGTTGAAGGCATCATAGCCTGCGCTGGTGGCACCGCTGACAGCACCGTACTCGAGACCACCGGTTGCATCGCTGGACAGAGAGAAGCCACCGCCGCCGGCGACGTAGAAGCGCTTCTTGAAATCGGAGGGCTTGGGGAAGGCATACTTGATGACAACGGAGTCTCCCTTGCCGGTGTGCTCGTAGGTGACGGTCACATTGCAGTAGGTATAAGTCTCGGTGCTTCCCGTGCCAGCGGTGGCATTGTAGACAGCACTGGCCGTCACAGCAGAGGGGATCATGCTGATACCCACTAGAGTCCCGTTGGAGGGCAGGGCAGCCTGCACATTCGAGACGGTACAGACATCAGCAAGGGAAGTAGCACCTGCTGATGCTGCCAGGGCTGCAGCAGCGCCCAAGGAGACGCGCATGTCGAGGTATATCAAATGAATAGATATAAAATGGAAAAATAAGTGTCAAGAAAATAAAATGGAAAGACCAGAGGCTATACTTATAAGATCTTCAGGTACTCTACATAACGGCTCCAGTTTCTAGTAACTAAAGCGCAGATCATGCTTTAGACCGTTGCGTTGCCTGCAATCAAACCATAAAACCTGACCGGGAATCGAGGATAGGCGTGGATACTCAGTCGTCATCATCTAACACCGGCACAAGGCGCAGCTCAGACTAGGTTCGAGATAGAGCGTGAAGGGAAACGGGTCATTCCCCATAGCCTAGCATGTGTAGTTTAATTCAGCCTTCCGAATTAAGGGTTACGGAGTACCTCATGTCCTCAAAAGGACCAGTCATGGACGAGAAGGACATTAACTTTTTTTGAGTTTGATGCCGTCGGCTAAGGTTTATTCCCATATATCCAAGATCTAAGCTTAAAACTTGTCCATGGCCGGGCGACCGCGTCATCCCCAGGTACGTACGCGTGGCCATGTCGAATTCCACGGATCTGATCCAGGGCGAAGTTCAGTCTCCTGCGGTTAAACTTCGGTTCTGGCAAGTCTAATCGAGATCCAAGGTACCTACGAGGAGCTATACGAAGTAATTGACTACAATATAGCTGACCATGGATATTCAATCGAGAAAGGCTAGACTCGAAAAGTAACCAAAAATTATTCACTTCAATCATTTTCACTAGTCGCTTGGCGTGAGACATGTTCGGAAATATTGACATCCGGTTCATTCTATTGAGCCCACATTCATAGCCATGCCGCTAGTATCCAACTTAAGGGGGTAGCAAAGGAGACTCAGGGGTTCCCAAACAAATCTCCCAAAGAAGCTGAAGTGAACCCCACACGCCATCTGCGAAAGAGGATCGAAGTCCGGAATAGGCGGAAATCCACCAATAACCCGGTCCTCCTCCGCGCGCCATCTGGGGTGAATCAACAACAGTGCTGTCGCCAATAAGTTTCAGAACGGCGTCGAACTTATGATCCGGAGGGATATTCTACAACATATACTTTCCCAATTGCAAGGGCCCGGAGTTGGGACATGCGATTCTTCATTCTGGTTGTCGTGGTAACATGGACGTCGACATGGTAGAGCCCGAGCTGGCTGGGTTGTCCAAAGATCACGTGTCCAAAGATCACGACACACGTGTCACACAAGGCGGCTCAGACAAACAAAACAAACAACAGAGGACCGCAGCGCATTCTCATCGTCTTGGCTATAGAGGCGGTTGAGCGTGGCCTTCGAATGCTCGACGATGATCTCTGGCATAGCTGCGCAAAATACTGCTTGAACCGCGACAATGCGCGTTCGTAGCGGCCAATGCCCTTGCCTTCTCGCTCTGCAGACCACCACTCCCCATAGAGCTTTTTTATCAAGACTGCCGGGGAGAATCCTGAGAAGTCAGTAGCATGTTCAACGAGGGGGGATCGATCTTGAGGGATACGCATCCATGAGGAGAGCAGATGCGACAGCCTCGTCAATGTTTCCTTCGGTGTAGCCATCAACCGACATCGAGCGTACGCCTTCGCACAGAGACTCACGCATGGTCGGGGCCTTGGCAAAATTGCGCCGCGCGTGAGCCAACAGGTCGAACGGTGTGGTATCAAGGACCTGCAGTGGGTATTGCAGGCTCAGCTTCTAGAACGCACCGAGGTGCGATGTGCGATGTGCGATGTGCGATGCCGAGAATAGTCGATATTCCTTTTTCTGCGCAGTCCAGAAGATGGTCCAAAATCAGACCATGCAGGGGCTCAAACGCGACGGCATCGGAGCATCGGCTCCTTTCACGTGAATCCAGGATAGTGAGTCTATCAGCATAAGAGAGCTCCCACAGACTCGCTTGATGCCGGATGTCTTCTGGAGTGATTTTCTCGGTCACAATCACAATTGTATCGCACTGGAGAGACATTCGTCCCCGATCGCCAGCGGTCTGACATACAATTGGAGCAGGAAAAAGTTCATTTTGCTGTATGCATAACTTGCATGCACATGTGTGTTCTTAAAATGGGTTTCAATGATATTCAATATATTCAACCTTGGAATGAATTGAAGCCCTGGAGATCTTTCGATCTTGTTTAGTGGAGATACTACCACCGTCTTTTCCACCGCATTCTCATCTCCCGATCCGGAGACATAGCGATGAAGCCAGCAAATCTGGAATCATCCTGAGCCGGCCTGTCCGAGGATTTCCCAGTAGAGTCCAGCCATTCATCAAACTCAATGTCAAATTTCGTCACCAAAACTGCAATGGCCAGTATAATCTCCTGCTTGGCAAAATGCCGCCCTGGGCACATCACATATCCACCACCTGGGATAAGCCAGTCAGTATCGGCGTCGTAGGATAGAAGGAGAAACATACCGTATGGGAAGAACGAGCTTGGTCTCCCCTTCATGGCAAATTGAGCCTGGCGAGTGGTCTCCCCAGTTGAGTCATCTCGCGAATCTACATATTGTACATGTCGCCAGGCCCAAAATTCCGAGGCGGGATGCTCCGAGGTGGCCCAGACAGCGTCCTCGTAGTGTGCAATCTGTGAGCAGGTCTGTAACAAGGCCCCTTTCTCGATCATGTATCCGTCTACCTGGATGGGCTGCATCACCTTGCGCGTCACGTTGAAAGATACATGCAGACGCATAATCTCAATGTAGAGAGACTGCAGCAGAGGAAGATTGATGAGCTTTTGTGCGTCTATCCGCTTGGCTCCGGTGTTAGTATCCGTGATATAGGCTTCCATGGCTTCTGTGCGCACAGCCTCAAACAGAGTTCGGTCCTTGATCAGCTCGATCATCGCCCATGTAGTAACGGGGACTGTGTTCCCGTTGAGCCTGATAAACGTTAGCGCAGTTTTTCAAATATCATGTACAAGTATCACGAAGAGCTCACCCAAATAACGAAGCCAGCGTATGTCCAGCGGCCGCCTGGTTCGAGAAACCCCCTTCAGACAGCCACTTTGCTGTCTCCCGGGACAAACGAGATCCAAAATGGGGTTCCCACTTGGACTCAGCATCGGGCCCGTTCCAGTCAAAGTGTTCCCATGCGGAATCGATGTGCTTCCTGGTCATCGTATGTAGACGATCTTTTATCGCTACCGACCGTCGCTGCAGGAACTTGGGAAGCCCCCAGACAAGCGTGCCGGCAATTTCATCAAACTCCCAGTAACAGTCAATGAAACCAGGGTTTAGATCGATGATCTCTGAGCCAAACAGCGAGATAATGGCACTTTCAGCCATCGAGGTCTTCAGCATCTCGAAAAGATTGACGGTGCTCCATTCCGTCGTCGATTGCTTATCCAGACGCTCCGAGAACAGAGAGTAGAATGAATCGGCGAGGGCATCCGCATACGTGCGGTTACTGAGGTACTCAGCGTACAGGTGGTCGTGACCGCGCCAGAATCTCTTCTCAGCTGGGGTATTCTCAGTTCCTGGGGCTGGGGCCTTCAGTCGACCGGATTTGTCGTTTGCAAACTTGGCGATTTCTTCCTTGGACATTCCCCAGTGGCGCTCCATCAACATAAGCTGGAGGAAGTTGCCATCTAGGATGTTCGGGGAACTAAATACTGTTTGCACATTCTTCGTGCCGGTGACAATGTATGCTGGTATCGGACCGACATGGAACTTGACAATGTTGCTTTTGGTCTTGTCCAGAGTTGTTCTGAATGTTGTTAGATAATTCTTAGAAAATAAAAATGATATAAAACCTACGTCACTCGATCCAAAAACGTTCCCACGTCTGTCAAATATTGAATAGTGTTGGTGACATATGGTATTCTCTCTCTAAGATATGGCGGCTGCTTTCCCCGGGGAGATAGCTTCAGCCCCAATACCAGAAAGACCAAGACCAGAGCAACAAGGATAGTCGGCCGCTCTGCCGCATTCGCAGCAAGCACATGTAGAGAGTCCATAATGGACAAGGCAAAGAAAGCACTTTCAAGATTGAGGGAATGCCGAAAAAAGTCCAAAGAATCAATCCTCATTTACTATGAAGACCGTCGATGCTAACATCGTATCTGCATAGTGCGCTATCATTATCACACTCGCGGACTTTGCCCGGGAAAACTCCTTTACAGATGCACCGGCAATGCAAGGGTATCGTATTGCCGTGATTACTCCTACTGCTTATGTTGTAGGTACCTATTATCATCATTGCAACGCTAGGATGTATCCACCCGCCGCAGTTCCCTGATAAAACCGGTTCGCGAAATTGAAACATAGATTGCAAGGATTGCGAAGGAATGCATCTCAGTTCCAAGGTCTCAGCCACGGTTGGCCTAGATTAGCCTCGGGTTACCTCGTGGGGCCAACATTCGAATAAGCAAGATATACTGGATGCCTCAGGGGCCGCATCTTTTCCAGATCTACCCGCTGACCTATCACATTTGCCCCACGGATGTATTGTAAACTGGTTATGTGTAATATACGGTGGTATTAAAAAGTACTCATATGTAATAATACCTGAAGCCTCACTCCGTACCTATCTATATTACCACTACTTCATGCGTGCAAATGGATATACTTCCAAGTTTATGCAAAGAAATGGGTACTAGTAGCACGCAATAAGTACGCTGATAGGGGGCAGAGCCAATGAAAGGCACAGGCTTGAGGCTGATATATTGATCGGGGCACCATAGTACGATCCTTTTCGCTGAGAAAGACCTGAAGTACTATATGAACTAGTTCGTGTAGTCAGTGCTCTGGAATCTATAGATAGTCTCGCTCGTGCATGAATATTAGGATTGTCCGTGGCAACCTTGGAACTATTACGTACCCAATAGGCAGAATTTCGGAATATTGAAGTATCCAAGGGAAATTGAAAACATTTGAAGCGATTGGTTGTTGGTTTTCTAGTAGATATGGTTTGAATATTCCATGTACACCCAATAAATTCGCTTTAATGAGACCTATACAGTAGTGCAGACAGAGGCGGACCCCGGGGCTGGAATTCCCTACGCCTTCGAAAGCAGGAACCCGTTGTTCTGCAACCTTTGGAGCATCTGCGTAGGGTCGTATTTCTTGGAAGTTGCCTTCAGCTGCTTTAGACTTGTCGCCCCGTAGGATTCCAGGGGATTCTGGTCGCGGGAGGCGTCGTTCATGTACGTCAAGGACACATCCAACCCACGCTCCTTGGCCAGTTTCTTCCAGTACTTTGTCGTCTCAATGGAAACGGATCGCGCGGCCTCATCATCAGCCTCGTTTTCCCAGTCCACAATGGTGGTCCACCCTGTAGCTGACATTAGGACGGTTTCGTATCAGATGAGAAGTGTGAGTCTTACATTGCTGGGGGCCAGATGGGATATTCAGGGCATTTCCACCATTCTCAATCCCTTTCTGGATGAGATTCTCTCCCACGTATTGCAGAGCGAAGGTTTGGTTGACACCAGTGGCTTGGTAAGCCGCTTGGGCCTTCTCCACCCAGTAGTCGTAGACATCCCGGGTCAAGTTGGCGTTGATGCGGGTACTGCAGCCGCGATAGTCGTGTCTGGGAAGGCATTAGTTCTGTCTGAAGAGGGAGCGGGATTTGATGAATTACTTACCGAGCCTTCGCAGTGGGAAATGCGGATGCCAGGAGTTCATCGATAACGACAAACGTGGTGTTCATTCCGGGGACCGGAATAGACAGTGGCTCCAGATCATAAAATGGTGCAAATGCGCTAGGCTTGACGGCCGGCTCGGAGTAAACAAGCCCAATGACTATAGAGGTCAAAGAGATATCAATAGCCACGACCGATTTGACATCCGAGGCTCCGTTGAGCTGCCACTCCGTAAAGGCATCCAGGACGGCGGGAGCTTGATCGGTGGAATAATACCTCATTTCCGCCCAGACTTCATAGACCGGAACAGTGTTTAGATCGTAACGAGAAACGATGCCGAAGTTGGGGCCACCTCCCTTGAGAGCACGGAATAGATCGTTGTTCTGCTCCGCATTCGCGTCAACAATTGTTCCATTTGACAGAACAACCTCGAAATTATGCACATTGTCCGCCGCTAGGCCATAGCGAGTAGAGAGGTGATGATATCCTCCTGTAGCTCCTGATTAGACTGCATCTTTGGGTCCATGGATAGACACCTTTACTTACCTCCGAGAATAAGACCACCGACTCCCACCGAGGGCAGTCTTCCCCCCAGCACCACGGCCTTCTCTGAGTTCAATGCCTCCGTGACCTCGCCCCAGCGAAGACCCGGACCGACACTCGCTACCTTGCCATCGCTTGACAGGCTGACAGAGCTTAGTTTAGACAAATCGATCAGAATACCTTGGCTCCCAATGCTGGACCATCCTGGGTTCGGCGAATGTCCGCCACTGCGCACTGCGAATTTCACCTGGAAGAAACCTATGACTTTCACCGCCGTAGAAACGTCCTGGGCTACCTCGGGCTGAATGATGCAGTGCGGCTCTGCAAAACACGATTCGGACCTTCATTGATTGGTCAGTAAAAAGCCCGAACATACAAAGGTCCGATAAATAGCAACCTACCAGTTTACATCCACAATAGTTTGGTTGAGAGGCGATGTATCAACATTTGCAGCGCCAAGCACACCCTGCGCAGTCAAACATGCAACGTTCAAGATAGCAACCGAGTCGTCAGCCTTTGCATATCGCGCTGCCAAAGCACGTGTATTGGCTGCGGACAGCCCGAGGTTCTGCGCAAAGGAAGTGAATTTGGTCACATTGCTCGTGGAGGTTGCTTGAGCTGCCGCTGCAAGCGCCCCGATCAGGAAACCCAGTAGCTGCATGATCTCTGTAGGTACCTAGAATGGCTGCCGTGGTGAGATACGGCTTGGGAGGCCAATCTGTTTTATACTTGGCGCCATCCAATCTTACGATGCGGATTGGACAGTACCTCTGCCCATAGCTTGTTCCCAATCACGCATCCGAGGACTAAATTACCCGAAGATAGACTCACTTTATGCACCGCCCCGGGGGCCATCAGCACTAAGAGATCAGATAAATGAATTACAGTACGATACAGCAAATAAGCAAATAAAATTAATTAATTACAGCGGGTCCATACGGATTTCTACTTTTCCTCCCACCGGCCTTCTGCTGATCCCCCTTCTCCCCCCCGGGGCCGGGTGCCTCCCGGGCTGCTATGGTTCGCGGGTGACCCACATATTTGAGCACGTTGGACATGCGACCACGTATATCAATCGATAGCCTGGCTTCATACAGAATACGGACTAGTCTAATCTATACAAGTAAATGCTTTCCTTTTTTGGCTTAGGGTAGATCGATCCTACAATCATTCGAGACTGGGCCCAGACTCTCAGCCTTGGAACCAACTCTCACTTTCTTTCATTCAACTCTCACAAATTACAGTAACTCTTCAACACCCCTCACAGATGCCTATTTCTCACCACAAATCTTTCTATCGATAAGGACGTGCCTGAGGCAAAACACGCCACCTGGGCACCTTTTTTCCCCAGCACACCTTGCATCCAAACTTTCCAAAGCTGATACCCCGCTTTCAATTCGCTGAAATGGGGTCCAAATTCGATGTGACTCCGGAAAAGCAGGCCAGCCTGCCTCGCTTCTTCTACAACCAGATTACCGTGAAACCCGCCCCGGTCAAGGGAGTCAGCCTGGAGGGCAAGACCGCCCTGGTGACCGGATCCAACATCGGCGTCGGCCTGGAGACCAGTCGCCAGCTCCTCGACCTGGGACTCAGCAAGCTCATTCTCGCTGTGCGCAGTGACGAGAAAGGCCAGGCGGCTAAAAAGGATCTAGCCGCTGGCCGGGATCTCTCCGACGATAGCATCGAGGTCTGGAAGCTTGACCAGTCCGACTATGACTCTGTCGTCGCCTTTGCGGAGCGCACCAAGAGCCTCCCCCGACTAGACATTGTCGTCCTGAATATCGGCATTGCCAACGCCACGCGCGTCTTCAACGCCAAGACAGGCCATGATGAGATGATCCAGGTGAACTACCTCTCCACCGCCCTGCTGGCAATCCTCCTGCTCCCTGTCGTCAAGGAAAAACGCGCTGCCCAAGGAGGTCCGAGCCGCATTACGATCGTCTCATCAGAGGTCGCCGCATGGACTCCCTTCAAGGAGAAGAAAAGCTTCCCGCTGCTGGCAGCGCTCGACCAGAAGAAGACCAAGGTTGACCCCCTCGATCGCATGATGGTCTCTAAGCTTCTAGGGCAGTTTTTCCTGGCACATCTGGCCTCGGTTGTCCCGCCTTCCGTTGCCATCATCAATGCCACCTCGCCGGGCTCTGTCTTCGATTCCGAATTCAACCGTGAGCACGATAAGACTTTCGCCGGAGCTATCGCCAAGATCGTAATGCGCCGCATGGCCAACACTGCTGCTGTTGGAGCCCGAATGGTCACCGATGCAGCTGTCAACCATGGCGAGGAGACCCATGGCGAGTTCCTGTCCTTCCAGAAATTGGTGCCGTAAGTTATCCCTATGTTGACCATGATTAGAGCTATTGCTAAGATACTTTACAGTTTGGCACCGATTATCTACAGCGAAGAGGGGAAGAAGATCTCAGAGCAGCTCTGGAAAGAGACCAGCGAAGAGCTCGCCTTTGCGAATGTGGATGAGATTCTCAAGACTATTTCAGAATAAATTTTAGATTGGAGGGTCGGGTATTTTGCCTTTTTAAATTGTCGAGTCTAGTTTTGAGACGGTTCTTGGATGATATGATCGGCTATTTTGCATTGAGATTGAAGTCTTGAGTCTAGTTCTAGGACGGCTATTTCACAAACGAGTGAATGATATGTATCAATTACTTTATAAATTGCTTTATCAATCGCTTTATCAATCCATCTTCGAGCGATCGGCAAATCGCCGTTGAAAAAATGAAGATTCCATCTTCTGGCAAGCCAGAGGCCAATCCGAAGTCCACTTCCTGTAGAAAGGCTGATAACCCAGTAGTCCGCCCAGCCATCTTCCAACGACGAGGCCCATGGTGCGTGAGACGGTCTGTCCAAAAGGAATCCACCAGGGGAGAGAGATGTACGTGCCACCCGCGTCAAATGTCTGTATTCATGAGAAATCAAGCATTGAAGAGGATAGGAGTAGGAAGGAGGAGGGGGGACATACGCTGAAAAGCTGAATCAGGTCAATCTTGGCCCCGTTGACCACCACATCATCCTGATAGCGGTACCAATTCTCGAAGAAAACCGGGTTCAGCTCAAAGACACTGTCGGTCTTCTCGCCCGATAGTAGGAACTTGACCACCGTGTTTCCTTTTTCTTGTCGATCTAGGGAAAGAGGGTACGAGCGGTGGTCTTTGTACGGCTTGATGCTGTACGCCCCATCACCTGCCGTCAGCACTACTTCCTTGCCGTCGATCTCCACGCCCAGATGGCCTTGAGTACATTCGATATATTCTTCTTGGACATGGAAGTGCATAGGCGGTTTGTGGCAGAAGAAGTCGGCCCCCTTTACCAGGTCGAGAGTCACTTCGATGGCAAAGGAGCGATCAGGATGGTGGACGAGGCGTCCGGTCACGGCGTTTTTCAGCCTATGGAAAGAGCAGTCATATTAGTTGAGTCACAAACAGATAGCCACAAACAGGATAGCGTCGATACTCACACATGGACCCGGATGTCGGAGTCCGAGTACACCATTTGGTCTGCGTCGGAGGGTGCCATTATAGCAATGTTTTGTCTCTATGTTCCTGAACTGGATGTAGAAGTGGTAAGTCAAGAGAAGACCGCAGATGAACTTGAAGTTTAGATAATAGCATAATAGCATAAGGATTCTTCCATCAGCCCATATCGGATGTCAGCGCCATCAATCACTGCCGAGAACCGGCACGTTGTCAATCTAATCCATGAATCTCACATCGTGACTGCAATACAACACGAAAACAGAATCGTAAAACCGACATTCCAACGGAGGTATCCGTATGTAAGAAACCAGCCGCCTGAATCTGTAGCTAAACAAGCTAAGTGGGTACCAACCTGAAAGCCCCGGTTGGCCAGGTGTCGACGTAACCAATATCAGAACAAACAAATGGTGTAAGCGAGCTGCCCGTATCTTCCAGGCAAAACTGGGGTTTTTCCGATGGGGCGCCTGGCGGGTTCTCCGACGGCCCACAATAGTTCTGGGCAAAAGATCTTCCCGATACGAACTCGATTGACTCCCGAGTTCCCGTAGCTCCCTCCGAGAGCCCCTCATAGGCTTATAAGACTCCACTTAATAGCCCCAATGTGCTCGGACGTGCATGTGCTTGCATCGTTGTTTCACTCCTGTGTAAGCTAAGAGAGACTTTTCTCGACCTATCAACGCCACGTGTGGTTATCTGCAACATAGAAACTTTCCGCATTGTTCTCGATACGTGGGTCTTTCTTTCACTGGCCTGGAGCCATGCAGTCGGCCTAGATGGCAAAGTTACCGGCTTAGAATTTAATCCCTACATTGCTGCTATGGCAGAGAAGTCTTGCTCTGATCATGGAGTGGAAAATGTGGAGAACTGGCTGTGTCCGCTGTGGGATGGTGTTAACATCTCTCGGTGGTTGGACTAGTGGAACGCCCTCATAGAATTCAAGCTTTGAAGATTTCAAGTTCTGCGCATTTTATAACATTAGAAAAGAGTCAGTCTAGAATGGAAATCAACACTGTCTAAATTACATCAAATACCACTACTAAATCTCCGTCATAGACATCAGACATTGCTTCGGCGCCGTGACCAATGAATCGTACGTTTCCCATGAAACGAGCTTCTCGGGAACATCAAACTTTGCCGACCAGATAAGAATCGTGAGAACGACTCTCAATTCTAACTGTCCCAAACGCTTCCCCCAGCATCCTCGGTTCCCTGCACTAAAAGCAAGGGTTGGACCACTGGCCGCATTAAAGACCAACTTCCCCTCAGCATCCCTCTTAAGCCAGCGTTCAGGAAGAAAAGCCTTGGGATCAAGGTCATCCCAATCATGGCGAGCCGGCTTATGCATCTGCGATGTCTTGCTGCGACTGCTCTCGTCGACGGACACGGACGGCATATTCAGCGACGGGCCAGTGAGGTTCAAAAATACCTGGGTATCACGGGGGACAGCGTAGCCCAACACGGCGGTATCCATTCTCGTCTGAACCATGATCGTCACGACGGGACAGTTCACTCGCAGCACCTCTTCTAAGAAGGCGTCTAGGTAGGGAGCGTGTTTGATTAATTCCGCCGCTGTTGGCAGACGTTTCTCTGCCCATGCCGCGCTGTATGTCTCTCGCAGGTTCTCCCGGATCTTGGTCTGTTCCTCTGGGTGGGAGAGAAGTCGGCGCATCAACCAGATCAGGGACCCGGTCGATGTGTCGTGGCCGGCTATCAGGTATCCGCAGATCTCATCGCGGATCCGTGGGTCATCGAGCACTGGCTTGCGGCCGGTTTTTTCAGCGGCTTTGATCTCGCGCGCGATGACATAGTCAAGAGCACATTCGGGCTTTCCGTCCTTGGTCAATCGGGGAATGGCCCTCTTGATTTGGGATTCAATGTATCCTCTCAGCGTCTGGCTTGAATGTCGGACCGAGGGCCGCAGGTTGTTGATGGCGTGGTAGAGACGAGGCCAGGGCATGTAGAAGCCCTTCCAGAGAGATTCTTCGTTCAGTGTGAGGGCAGCCAGTTTGTCCGATGTCCCTGCGGATGGGAATACCGTCACTTCGTCATTCATACTGTCCGGCAGGGAGATGTCAGTTCCGGCTTCTTCCATGTCGCGCAGGTATGAGAGTTGCCGCTTGATATCTCCTCCTTCTGGGCCCAGTCCAGTTGCCGCACTCAGGATGGAGTCGAAGGAAAATTCGACTATGTCATTCACGACGTCGAAGGGGTGTCCGTTGGCGGATCGGGATTTGAGTCGCCATAGCTCCAGCAAGTTGCAGGCCACCACGTAGGTATGAGGTGCATTCACCTATCATCCGGCCCAAGGTTAGTATGGGCTTTTGAGAAGGGATTTGGGGAGACATGAGCTCTTACGGTATTAAGAAACGACGGCGCCATCAAGTCTCGGACGAGATCACGAGACTCTCTGAAACGTGGATCGAAAGTTTCCATAGCCGGGTGTGCATGAGGTAGGAGACCACTGAATACATCCACCTTCTTCCCTCGCTTGAAATCAACCGCATCACGGTGACTCAGAATGTCATTGACCTCGCGGTAGTCCGAGAGCAGGATTGCAGGCTTCGAAAACGGTCCGAGGAAGAGCTGGGTGATGGCCGAGTTATGGCGATGGGCCTGCTCGAGGAACCAAGGCCGCATTCCCTGGATGTCTTTCTGCCTCTCCCCGAGCTCGGCCAGGTCTCCCATAATGGTTTGGGTCGCATGGTGGTTATACGGGATGCCCGAGAGTGGTCGTGGATATGCCCTTCGGAGCACCCAGTACACAGCAGTGATAATGCATGCTACAATGACGACCTTGATGGCTGTAGGGTTGGAGAGCAACGCAAACTCTGACAATGTCATTTTTGCAACTTTTGTCAAACTCCAAGAACAGACAATAACTCCATGATATCAATCTGGTTAAAATCTGACATGCAGATAGATCCATACGCCTCGTATAAGACCAATACCGTTCGGTACCGTCCGGAACTTCATGTATTGGAATTTCATGTATCAATGCACATGTGTGGATCCCCACGACTGTATACTTCGTATTTGTGAACTTATACCACTTGAGCACTCTTAGCTGTCCACCAGTGGATCCAGTTTAGTAAATGGCCCCGGGGGTTCAGAGATGAGGATCCTACTCGTTTGTCAGATACTGTGCACAGCCCAACAGAGACCCATATATAGCTTCATCCGGATAGATCTTACACTAGCAAGGCTATCGGAGATTGCTTTTGCACAACCATGTGGGTACGGTTTGCCGCAAAGTGCGAGCTGGCCGTCGAGAACTTGAGAGATATACCGTGTCTTATCTCCCCCGGGCCCCTCCTGCTCTCAAGAGTTCAATAATAGTCTTCCCCCGAGTTTGTAGAGCTTTCTCTTTGCATCTCTTTCACCGGGGTGCTATCTTTCACCATGGGAGTCCCAGAGCAGCTCAATGGCACAGCCAATGGCAAGTCTAAGGACTCGTTGTCAAAGCAATACGGTGGCGTTCATGCCGGAGGATGGGTGGACTATCTCCCTTCATATTTCGTCCCGTACATCCAGCTCTGTCGTCTGAGCCCCCCGGCCGCCTTCTTCATCATCTTCTTCCCTCATTTCTTCGGCGTGATCCACGCTGCTAGCGTCCAGAAGTCTTCCGTCGAAGAAGTCCTGCGTGTCTCCCTCATTCTGCTGGGTGGAAGCTTCTTCTGCAACAATGCCAGCCACGCCTGGAACGACCTCATTGATGCTCCCGTTGACAAGCTGGTCGCGCGCACTTGCACACGGCCCATCCCCCGTGGAGCCATCTCGCTCACCGCCGCTTTCATCTTCACCTGCATCCAGGCCGCCATCGCTGCTTCTTTCCTCCTACTTCTTCCCAGCAGCATCGCCCTGGCTGCTGTGCCCAACATCTTCGGCACTACTTACTACCCCTTCGCCAAAAGACACACCCATTTCCCGCAGGTGGTGCTGGGATTCTGTCTGACGTGGGGTATCATGATTGGAAGCGCGGCCATGGGTGTGCCCGAGCCGTGGGCCGACAAATCTACCCTGTCCCTGTTCGTGGCCTCGTCCTTGTGGGTGATCATCTTTGACACGGTCTACGCCCACCAGGATCTGGAGGACGACCTGAGAGTCGGCGTGAAGAGCACCGCGGTTCTCCTGCAGAGCTACGCGCGTCTGTTCCTGGTCGTCTTGTTCCTCGGCATGAGTGCGTGTCTCTTTGCTTGCGGGTACTACTCCAACATGAGCATGGCCTTCTTTTCCGTCACCGTGGGTGGCTGCTTCCTGTCCGTAGGCGCGATGGTCTTCTTCGTTGATCTCAAGGACCCCGCGAGCTGCTGGTCGTGGTTCTCGCAGGGCTTCTGGATGACCGGCGTTGCCATCTCGGGTGGGTTGCTGGCTGAGTATGTCTATGCCGCGAACGGAAGTCTGTGGTAATTGAGCACGTTTTTCACGCGCTTCTGGGAACTTTCAAGGGTGAGCCCTTCAAATGTGAAATTAGAGCTTCACTGGCAGATACAAACGCTGGTATATAGAGATAACCTTCATGATAGATATGAGACATGATGATGTATCATCGGCGAGTCCATGTCAGCCTTTCATTGATTCAGGGTCAATATAGCAAGCTGGAACCTTGATGTGACGGCCGATAGATGCGATGAAATCTTTCCCATGTTCTGTTTTTGTTTGTGACTTTAAATGTTTGCTTCAAATCGTTGTACTTAGTTTGTGTTGTTGTTGAATTGATTATATCAATCCCAACCTCTCCTTGACAATTTTCTATCTTGAATTCGAATAGCGTCTTTCTTGTTGTGCACATGTGCGCTCTAAAGATAGTCGTGCTTCTGCCGCAGGAGATGGCGTCTATCTACAAAGTCTACCTCTACAAACTCACAGAGGCGGCGGGTGGATAGCTTGTGGATTGAGGTATAAAAAGCACAATAAAAAGAAAACAGAAATGAAGTTACAAGCCCCCGACTTATAGAGCTTCTTCCTTCAATTTAGTGAACTTTCAATTCTCTCTTTCAAAGAATACTCAGACGAGGATGGGCTTCGAGGCCTAAACGCACTTCATCTAGTCTTTGAAAAACGCATTGATGTCCAATCCTTTAACCACCCCTACTATTCCCTTGCCACCAGTTGTAGCTTTGATGTTGTGAATCTCCTGATAAAGATCGCCTTCGTCATTCTCGAAGCCTACTCTTCCAACGAGGGCCTTTCCTTTTCCGCTCATTTCGACATCAGTTATCCTTTGTCCTCTCCGGACCTGACTAGCCTGCGTAAGCAGATCTTTCATGAATTCCTGAGAGGCCTCCAGAGTAGCACGTTGATAGTTGAGTTGGTCGACAAGTAGAGTATGCTCCTGATCGTTTGGAAGCGATACCTCTGTGGAGTCATCTAGATCCATCTGTACTACCGCATTTTGCTGCTCAATCTCGACTATTTGTTGGGAGATTTCATTTTCTCTGGCTTGGAAGTCGTTTTGCATTGCGTTAGTGGTAGAACGCAAGGCCAAAGTTGTACTTTCAAAGTTGTTAGCCTATCAAGCTTTGTGGTAGTTTTCATGCATGTGGAAACACGTACATTGTTGCGAAGCCAACTGCCATGTTAACATTTGACTTGCAGCGTTCAAGCTGTTCACATAAACTCTTGACAGATTTTTGACGGAGAATGCCGAACCCAAAGCGATCTCGCATACTGACGCCATCATCCGAACGCTTGGTCCAGCTCTCTAATTTGTCCTTAAACTTGTCACAGGCATCTTTGCAGAGTATATTGGTTCTCTGCAAAGTCTGTCTGGAATTGAAAGGAAGGAGTTCAAGCTGGGAGCTCTGGTTTGCGTCTTCCAACCCCGAAAGAACCTGCTCCGTGGCCAATAGCTCATTCTTGAGATTAGCTATCTCGGTTGGTGCACTTTTGATAGCATCGATAGTCTGGATCAGTTTGTGGATGCTGTGTGTTGTCGCACTAGCAATCCCTATACCACCAGTGACTATACCGAGTGTTGCCATTTGTACGGTATGTGAAGTACCGTAAGGCTGCAGGTGTTTTAGTATAAAAAGATCTTGAGATTTGGGCGCTTTGCTTTTTTATATATGGAGGGAATTTGTTTCCTGCCAGATGTTTCTGACATGAGAATATGCCAATTTATTATGGATGTAGGGCACGAGCGTCTGAAGTGATCTAGATTTGATTGCGGCTTATGGCTGCTAGTATCTTAGGAACGTTGTCCTATCAGCGAATGGTTTTACGAGTGCAACATACATACAATGGGCTCAAACGATCGACCTGATTCCAACCCCCTTCACCTGGGTGAAATCAGCCTCCAAATTACTGACGACCAATTGCAATGCAACACGTTCAGCCAAGTGCAGCTGATGTGACAACGAAATACGAGATGCAGCTTTTCGTATAGCGCGGGATGCGCTGCAAATCATTCATTGGTAGAAGACCTAATAATAGGACAACCGGCATACATTGCCTGGACATGCTGGTTTTCGGTCAAGATGGTTTCGTATCAACTTTATATAGTCCATATCACAGGAACCAAGTTAGATCACAATAATTTGGTGCTACACTTTTATTGGCTTGAAGTAAATTTGATTCTGTATAAATTGATCGACTCGAAAGAAAGCCAAGTAGGGAAGAATGCAGTTCTCCCCCGCGAAACGGATCAAATGCTTACCGGGGCTAGACCACGGCAAAGAGGGCATAAGATTATATAAGTCTTTGGCAAACACTTGGCTAGAAATTCATCTCTCTATTCTTTTTCCTTCTTAAAAACCATCTGCTCATATCAGCCTCTTTGGATTAACTGTGCCTGGCAATCGTGGTACGAAGCTCAGGACGAGAGCAACCATGTCAAGAGTCCCCATTACACAACATATTTCTGGCGTGAACGCAGAATCCGGTGGAAAAGTGTTTGCAGGATATGTGGACAATAGTAACAACAGCGAATACCATGGTGGGACGCACTACCACCAGCACCCAGGTAATCAATCACCTTCATTTTTTGGAAGAGCAAATTGACCTAACCATCGAAACCTTAGACCAACCAGAACCTCGCCCGGAACCACTGTGGACGGTGCCATTCCAGCATGATCCCGACTTTGTCAGCCGCAATGAACTCCTCGCTCAAATCCACAAAACATCCTCGATCCCGGGATCTAGAATAGTTATCTTTGGCATAGGAGGGGTTGGGTGAGAACATAGTCCTGAGCGGTCTGTTCAAGTCTAACTTTGCGACAGTAAATCTCGACTCGTCATCGAATACTGCCACCAAATCCGACAGGAATCGCCTGACACCTGGGTTTTCTGGGTTCACGCGAGTAATGCTGCGCGCTGCGAGGAAAGTCTGCGCAACCTTGCCGACCGTGCTAAGATTCCCGGGCGTCAGGATCGCAACTCTAATATTTTCCAACTCTTCGGGAACTGGTTGCAAGATGGCAAGATCGGAAAATGGATTCTGGTCCTGGATAATGTCGATGATCATGAGCTCCTTCGCAAACCATTGACTACTCGGACAGAGGCCCAAGCAGAACCCCCGAGGTATGCCCCAACGCAGCCACCGCTAAGGTACCTTTTCGCAAGCTCGAATGGTTCCATCATCGTCACAAGCCGGAATAAAGGGGTAGCTCTAGAGCTCGCCGGCCATGAGAAACATCTGATCGATATACAACCTATGAATGCAGCCGAGGCGCTGGTTCTAATGCGGAAGAAGCTAGATGATTTTGCAGAGACTGAGGAATTGGTTCGGCTAGTCAAGGAACTCGAATTCATGCCACTCGCGATTGTGCAAGCCGCTAGCTACATCACCCACCGTGCACCCCAATGCTCGGTATTGCAATACCTAGAAAAGCTTCAGCAGGGTGATCGGCAAGCCGCAAGACTTCTTAATCACGAGGGAAAATACATCGATCGAGACTGGGAGGCAAAAAACTCGATCCTACTGACTTGGCAAATTTCGTTCGACCATATTCGACGGATCAGGCAGTCTGCCGCTGATTTGCTGTCTCTGATGAGCTTTTTCGACCGGCAGGGAATCCCAGAGGGTCTTCTACGGGTGCAAGACAAAACCCATAATCCTTTAAGTTCTCCGCAAGACATTGGGAACAGATCAAGTGATGAGGATACGGATCACTCGTCTGAACCTGACGTAGATGACGATTTTGAGAGCGATATTGTGATTCTCAAAGACTATTCTTTTATCACTTCAGATAAAGATAGTATGGTGTTCACAATGCATCGGCTTGTGCAGCTAGCAGTACACATATGGTTGAAAAACTATGGTCAGGAGGAGGAGTGGAAGGAACGTTTCATCAAGAATCTATGTGGTGAATTCCCGATCGGTCAATATGAAAATTGGGAGAGATGCCGGCCACTGTTTCCACATGTTAGGTCAGCTGTGGCACATCGACCGAAATCGCAAGACTCACTCCGGAACTGGGCTACGCTACTCTATAAAGGGGCGTGGTATGCGATAGAATGTGGCAGTATTTCGGTTGCAGAGGATATGGCAGCTATGTCAAGGAAGCAAAGAATGAAGATTGGCGGCGCCGAAGATATAGACACCCTTGTGAGCACTACGATATTAGGAATAGTCTACGGACGAGAGGGGCGGTGGAAAGAGGCAGAGCAGCTCCAGCTGCAGGTCATGGAGACTCGCAAGATAAAACTCGGCGTGGACCATCCTAACACGCTAACGAGTATGGCCAACCTGGCGTCGACGTTATGGAACCAAGGCCGATGGGAGGAGGCGGAGCAGCTCCAGCTACAGGTCATGGAGACCCGTAAGATAATACTCGGCGCGGACTATCCCGATACGCTGGTGAGTATGAATAACCTGGCGTCGACATATAGGAGCCAGGGCCGATGGGAGGAGGCAGAGCAGCTCCAGCTACAGGTTACGGAGATAAGTAAGACAAAACTCGGCGCGGACCATCCCGATACGCTACTGAGTATGGCCAACCTAGCGTCGACATTATGGAGCCAGGGCCGATGGGAGAAGGCGGAGCAGCTTGAGCTACAGGTCATGGAGACCCGTAAGATGATACTCGGCGCGGACTATCCCGATACGCTGGTGAGTATGAATAACCTGGCGTCGATATATAGGAGCCAGGGCCGATGGGAGGAGGCAGAGCAGCTCCAGCTACAGGTTACGGAGATAAGCAAGACGAAACTCGGCGCAGACCATCCCAATACTCTGACGGGTATAGCCAACCTGGCGTCAATATATAGGAGCCAGGGCCGATGGGAGAAGGCGGAGCAGCTCCAGCTGCAGGTTATGGAGACTCGCAAGACGAAACTCGGCGCGGACCATCCCAACACGTTGATGGGCATGGCTAACCTAGCCTTCACGTGGAATTCTACAGGCCAGCATACTAAAGCAATCGATTTGCTTCGAACCTGCGTGCTCAAGGAACAACGAGTTTTAGGCCCATCTCATCCTTATACTATATTCCATGACAATACGCTGCTGGGATGGGAAACTGCGCATCTTGCTATGAAGGCATGAACCGTTTATCCTTCCTCTGCTTTTCTCGAATTGGGTTCCTCTCACTATATTGTATTTCATTGTCTGATTTTGTCTACAATTCACTGCGATTCTCCCTAGTAACCCTGCATTTGACAATCCATTGTTTCTTACAAGTACAAAGTAGTTTTGAAACTATAGTACTACGTAATTTCGACGTAACAGTCCCTGTATCGATACTATCCGTGTTAGGCCTAGCGCGGTTTGGGTTAGGGTTGCGCAAAGCGTAGAAGCCAATTTCGAAACTGTAACAGTTCGTTAAGAAGCAGTATTACTACCGCAAACGAGAAGCCACGGACTAGCTGATATCCCCATATTCTGAATGAAACAGACCCACGTCGTGGTATATAATCCCCGGATGCCTTTAGCATCTGCGGTTGGGTCGGGTGTATTCAGCGTAGCTACCGTCAATAGTGAGACGATGAGACTTGCAACAGTAGTGCCTTCTTTCAATTCTCCTTTTGGACAGCGGAATACTGTGCCAGGTGCATCCGATATTCTAAGGTAGAATCAGTGTGACGTTATACCTGTAGTTTTTTGCCTTGTCTGTCCGGCTTGATATCGGGAGCCATGTTCCATTAAGCCTCATCTTCGTCCAAGTCTCGTGCTTCTTGCTTCTGTAGCTATCGGTCAATCGTACCCATACCATCCTCCTAACATCAAACTTCCCCTCTTCACTTTTCCAAGGAAGCACATAACCCCGCTGGTTACTCACAACCCTAATCCCCCTCTCCCTAAACTGAGTCGTATAATTGGTATACCCAAACACCCAAACCTTAACTCCATCCCAAGGCAACTCCAGCAAATCCGTTCCAAAAGCACAATTCCACGAATTTCAGCGTGCTGCGGACTCGAAGTGCGCTGCAGGGATGGTGCATGATGCGTGGCCACCAGAACAGACCGCTTTTCTTGTGTACTCTCCCGAAGAGCTCTGATCTCACCCCTTAACCAGGACAAGTCGGAGTAGTGAGCTTCGTTGTGTTGCTTGACGGACCAATATTTGATCTTTTGGAAATCGGAGATCCTGTAATTGACTAATTCGTTTGATTCCTGCGAGATGTGGGACCAGAGTGTGAGCCTAGGATTGTCACGTCGGAGTCCCGGATGTGTAGCGACGTTGGTGGAGTAGTACAATGCGGCCATTCATGCAGGGTTCGTTTTCGAGCTGTTTTGCTTTTTCGAGGCCTGTGTTGAAGGTTGTTTCGTAGAATTCGTGGTTTCCAAGGGCTAAGAATACGATCTCGAATTTGGATTTTAAGGTTTGTAGGAAGGCACGGTAGCTGTTGTAGTCTTCCAGACGGCCGATGTCGCCTGCTAGGATGAGGTATTTGGAGCAAACGGGGACTTCAAAGGAATATTGTTGATTGATCTCCAAATGTAGGTCAGATAGGATCTATAATGAGCTAGAGGTTCTTTTGAAAAGGGGTCGGATTGTGTGTAGTGCCATGTTGATATTTAGGATCCCCAGGTAGACACTAGCATCCGCATTCGTGACTATCGAGAGATCAAGAACAAAGCTTAGGATGATCATGTGATATCCCTGGTTATATCAGATTGGATTAGTCCCATTCCAACCATTTACACCATCTAACTACACCATATAAGCACCACCAGAGACCTGCCAAGTCTGCCCAGTCAACCACTGCGACTCAGGGCTAGCAATCAAAGACACAACCCCAGCAACATCCTCAACCTCCCCAGGCCGATTCATCGGAGACCACTTGCTCAAGACATCATCAATCTGCTGCGGACTCATCTTGTCGCCGCCGGGGATATACTTAGCCGACATCTCAGCATACATATCAGTCTTGACGCCGCCAGCCGCAATGCAGTTAACCGTGATGTTTCGCGGACCAAAGTCCATCGCCAGACACTTGGTCATACCCTGCACAGCGGCTTTAGAAGCAGCGTAGACAGCATGACGAGGGACACCCTAAATCAGACCAGAAGTCAGCTCCGTCTCCAACCTAACAAACCACCAAAACTACAACTCTAGCCCTCACCTTAACGGCAGAAATAGACGAAGTCAAAATAACCCGCCCGTAATCTCCCATGAAGCGATAAGCCTGCTGCGCAACGAAATACTGTCCCTTGACATTAACCGCAAAGACAGCGTCGATATCGCTGCCTTTGACCTCAGACAGACTCCCGAAATGCTCGATGCCCGAGTTACTGACTGCGATGTCCAGACGGCCGAATTCACGGTGCAGACTCTCGAACATGGCCTTCACCTCTTCTTCCTTGGAGACGTCGGCTTTGAAGGCGATGGCGCGCACGTCAAGAGCGCGGATCTGCTCGACGACGGACTCAGCGGCCGTGGCATTGGAGACGTAGTTTACGGCTATGTCTGCTCCTCGTTGGGCGAGTTTTAGGGCTATGGCGGCGCCGATGCCGCGGCTGGAGCCTGTGACTGTTTCGCTGTTAGTCTACTGGCTCTTGGGGTGGTTGTAGACCTTACTTATTGCGACTTTGCCGGCTAGGTCTTTGTTCGTGGACATAGTTGCGAAGTGAGGACTAAATGGAAGAGTGTGTCTGTATTAGAAGGGAGTGCTGCTGGCGATACCTTACCTTTATGTGATCTGAAAGATCGGTGAGCATCTGCAGCATCTTGGGCGCCCCCGCGTAAGGACAGAATTTGGAAAACAAATGACGTATGTCTTCAATTGTAAAAGTCTCGCAATAGATAATATTACAACGTACATGGTTCAAATCAATTCGAATTGTTCCTAACTTGCAGGTACATACTCATCAAATACAAGGGGTGGTCTTGCACAAAACGGATCTTTGTCATGCAGTCAAGACAACACACCCAGGGAAATCAATCGCTTGGAACAATACAGCGCCATCCTCCGGAAGTCCATCCCCAATGTCGAAAACAAAAACTCACGAGAAAAAACGCCTTTCCTAGATGGCACAGAAGTGGGGGAGAAAAAGTATTTTCGGATTACACATGACAAGAAGAAGCACGAGCAACTTGAAGAGTCGCAGGCGCTATATGAAGCGTGGGATGGCTGCATTAGGTTATCAGCCCAGTGTTGAACAATCACTCGCCAAGGCCGTATTCATTGCCGTGTAAAGTGCCTGGGCTATCCCGGTTGGGATTGTTAAAGGTGAGCTTCAGCTTCGGCTGGCCGGGAGTGCCAGCATTAAGCGGAGTGTCGGCGCCCGAGAACCCTTCACCGTTGTACTGATCTTCAAAGTTGGCGAGCTCAGGGTGGTCTTCCGTCAGTCGTCGCAATTCCACCAAGCACTTAGTCTGTTGTATCATTAGTATAATAATTGATAATCTACAAGAATCAAACTTACCTCAATATCATTAGCATCCTGGAATAGCACACTGCCATCCTCGTTGTAAGTGCGAGCATTCTGGCAAAGCAAATGGATATCGTTGCGGAATTCCCTCAAGCTCTGATAATCGGCCCGCTTGACCTTCTTCTGAATCGTATCCACGGCAATGGGATTTTGAATGATCATGTAGTAGTCGGGATAATAAGAACGCGGCGGGGGCTTCATGAATGGATCAATGATTGACCGGACCATGGGACCCTCTTCACTATCAGAACCCTCTGGTGGCACCTCAGCCTCCATGTCCATCAACGACTGGATCACGGTGTCAAGAATGCGAGTCAAGTTGGCACGGTCGGTGGGGTTGAGAGTATCCGGAACCTTAGGCTGGCGGCCTCTCTTGCGCTTAGGTTGTGGCGTTTCTTCCACAACTTCCTCGGCCTTGCGCTTGGGAGGAGGACCACGACGGCGCTTCTGCTTTTGAGGGGTCTCGTCATCATCAATAATCGATGGCTCAGGTGAAGAGTCATCTCCATCACGTCCAGTCTTGTTAGACCTGCGACGCTCAACACGAGCTTCCTTCCGTGCGATCGCTTCTTCAATAGTATCATCATCGGCGTCCACTGCCATCAACCACTGCTCTTCGGTGAGACCGTCGTCATACTTGGTCACCTTACGCTCACGAGCACCACGGCCAGTGACCTCAACCTCGACTTCTTCAGTGACAGGGTTATCCTCCTGCATGTAAATTTCGGGCAATTCTTGTTCGGACATCAGTCGAGGGTAGCGGTGGCCAGGACCATATTGATCGTTGGCGATTCGCTGCCTGTCCATCTCCTGGAAGATGGGAATTTCTTCTTCCGATCGTGCCATAATTTCATTCAGTTCGTCATCATCCATTTCGTCGTGATCACCGATCTGTTCCGCAGCTTCTGCCGTGTCCAGGAGAGTTCGAAGAAGTGCATCTCGCTCTTCATTAGTGGACTTATTATCGAACTTTCCGGCCTGAATAACCTTGCCATCCATGTCCAGCTTGAACTGGGCACGCTCGAGAATCTTTTCTTCGACCGAGTTAGAACTGATAAGTCGCAAAATGCGGACCTCGTTCTTCTGACCAATACGATGGGCACGATCCTGGGCTTGCAAATCCTGGTGAGGATTCCAATCCGAATCGTAGATAATAACGGTGTCTGCAGTCTGCAGGTTGAGACCAAGACCACCTGCACGGGTAGAAAGCAAGAAGCAGAAATATTCAGATCCAGGAGCGTTGAACTGCTTCAGGAGGTCCGATCGATCGTCAGACTTGGTGGATCCATCCAGACGGAGATATTTCATCCCACGAAGGCGGAGGAAATCCTCCATGATGTTCATGATCTGAGTCATCTGGAAGAACATCAAGACTCTGTGGCCAGTCGCACGGAACTTGGGCAGAACACGATCGAGCAGCTCAAACTTTCCTGCTGTACGCCAAAGAAGGTCATTGGACATGCGAGTGGGGTTCATTTGGTCCTCAACAGGCTCAAAGACGAAAGGATGGTTGCAGAGCTTTCGCAACTGCATAAGCATGTTGCTGAGACCACGCATTCCAGTCTTTCCGCCCTTGCCATCAGTGACAGCCATCTTGTTGTGCGTAACAAGTTGCTTGTACAACTTGGCCTGCAAGGCGGAGAATCGGCATTTGATGACGCGCTCCTGCTTGTCAGGCAAATCTTTCTCGACATCCTTCTTCAAACGTCTGAGAAGGAATGGCCGAAGAACCTTGTGAAGACGACGAATAACGAGAAGTTGTTCTTCTTCGCTCAGATCCATACGGTCCTGGCCACCAGTATTTGCGAAAGGTGTGTTGAACCATTCGTCAAACGACTTGACAGACTTGAAAATGTTGGGAAGGACGAAGTTGAGAAGAGCCCATAGTTCGGGCAAGTTGTTTTGCAGGGGAGTACCAGTCAGAATGATACGGTATCGACTGGTGTAGTAGGTTGAGAGAGTGCTGCTGAGCTTGGACTGTGTGTTCTTCATGCGGTGACCTTCATCGACAATCATGTGTGTCCACTTGATCTTGCTGAGAACCGGACGATCCTTGATGATGTACTCATAGGTGGTGAGAAGAACCTGGAAGTTACCCCAGCGAATCTGTTGCTGTTGCTGCTTTCTCGCATTAGGCGGGCCCTTGTAGACAACCTTGCTCACACTGGGCGCCCACTTATCGAACTCGTTGTTCCAATTAGTGAGCGTGGACAGTGGAACAATGACCAGGAAAGGTCCATTGTTCTTCTTCTTTTCAATGATGTGGGTAATCAAACTGATCGTCTGGATCGTCTTTCCAAGACCCATCTCGTCAGCCAAAATACCGTTCAGGTTATTGTTGTACAGTGAAATCATCCATTGCAGGCCCTTAATCTGATACTCCTTAAGAGTACCTCCCACGAGCATGTCAGGCTGCGAAGTAACTTCTTCATTGATGCGGTGAGCAACAGCGTAGTAGTCGACCTTCTTCTTTCCAGTGGCGGTGTGATTGTCATCCTCGTTTTCGCTATCCGCGATCTCTTGATCAGACTCGTCATCGTAATCATGCGCTTCGCCATAACGATTCGCCAGATTGCGCTGTTGTTCCTTGACGGATGCAGCAAGCTGCTTGAGGAAATTATCGGTCTGCTTGAGAAGATGAGAGATACGTGAATCCTTAGCCTGTCCCAAAAGCTTCAAGTATGTCTCCTCATCGTTGGCCTTCAAAGCCTGCAGACGCTGCTTAGCGGTTCGCTCCACGCGCCTCTGCTCTTCACGTTCCATGTGCTGGTGGTGCGAGATCATCATACGACCCAGCTTCTGCGAGCGCGTACGTTGCTGGAGAGAAGCATTGGCAAGATCAGCGCTGTGGTTGAGAATGGCTTGCAGCTGATCGTATTGCTTCTTCTTCTCTCGAGATTCGCGAGCATCACGTTGTTGCTTCTCAAGCTTCTCAGTGATACGGGCCTCACGCAGGGACTGCTTCTTCATCCGGCGGTGACTTGAGCGATTGGCTGTCATTCCGAGGTTACTGTAGTGGAACATCTCGCTCTGGAGCTGCTTCCGGTACAGTCGCTGCTTGGGTAGAAGATTAAGTGATTTGTATTCAATCAGGGCCTTCAGCTTGAGGGAGTCATCGTATGTTGGTGCGTCACTTTTGCTGGTATCCCATACACCGAGGTTGGCGGGAAGTTGGGCAAGCTCTGCTTTGCGGGCGGTGATTTTATTATACAGTATGACCTCACGATCCTCGCGCATCTGCTCCAAGTCGATGCCAGGTGGCAAAAGAGCGGGAATGCGTACACGGTTTGCGCGGTTGGCGTGGTCAGTATAGCTAATAGTCTGGGAGAGCGAGTCATATGGAGACTGGAAGTCGTCATACCACTCCCTAGTCAGGACTTCGGCATCTGAGCTATCTGCAGGCTGGCTACCAGCGCCGTCATTGGCAGCTTCAATGACCTTTTCGGCTGTAGCAACATTTTCTGTAGGAGTAGGCGGTTGGGACTTCTTCTGGTTTTGGAAAAGCTGTTCTTGAACACGCGGGGGAATGGCGAGGTTCTTAGACAGCATCTTGAAAGCCAAGATTTGGTTTCTAAGAGTAGACAGTTGCTCTGGTGAAAAGCTACCGCTGCCAACCGTCGCATTCTTATTCTGGGCAACCGCCGAGGCATTCGGGGCATTAGGTGCGGCAATCGAGGAAGTCGAGGGCGTGCGACCTGTAAGAATATGTGTCAACCCTGTAGAAGACCTTGGATTTGGAGGTGAAGACAAAACTTACCATGAGAGCCATTGGCAGCTTCAGGAGTAGCGCCATTCATCTGCTGCTGTTGGCGCTGCTGCTGAGCCATGCGCTGTTGTTTCTGGAAAGCCTGTTGCCGTTGAATAGCAGCAAGTAGGTTGTGAGCCTTGAGGAATTCCGGGTCATCAGGGCGAACACCCTGTTCTTGCATTTGCTTGTATTTCTGCGATAACGTTAGAGACGGCATGTAATAGGAAGGCGCGTCGAGGGAATAACGAATTGATATATAACGAGTTGTGTAGTTGTAATGCGACAAACTTACCTGGAGTATCTCCTGGACATTTTGCTGCGTGAGGTTAGACGGCAAGCTCACGTTGCCAGGCGCCATGTTTGGCGCTGGGTGTAAGGAAGCCATCGTAACGCGTGTATTTTTTTAATTCATCAGCAAGCGACGTGATCTAGGGTGAGCAATATCAAAGTCGATGCGGAGTTGTGGCAAGTCACAGTCTCCACCTGGTCCCAATTACCAAATCGCGCGGGCAAGAGAGAAGTGGCGATCGTGGTCGAAATAAAGAGGCGGCGACAGTGTGGGGGAGGCCTAATTATGGGTGAATGCGATCAGTGAGCGACTGTATGCGATGCTTGGCGATGGCAGACGTGATGTTTGGGGCCGTGGTCGGAGCTTCCGATGCGATGGGGGGGGTCGGGTACTTCAGGGACAAGGGAGTCAAAGAAAGCGAGTAAAGAGGCGGATTCCCAGGGTAAGGCAAGGTGGAAGGGAAGCTCAAAAGTTGAAGGCGCGTTGGGATGGCGCGTTCAAAAAGTGGATGGATGAAAATGGAGATGGGGAGGGAACGGAGTTGCGCGACAGGCTCGGGGAAATCTGGGTGCTCAGAGCAAAGGACTGACAACAGCCTGGCAAGGAGTTTTTTCAACGGACGTTAGTCAGCAGGCACGTGACCCCGTGCTGGATTGTGGCCTGGGGCAGCGCAGCTCTGGTACCGTGCCGGTTTGGGATATCAGGGCTACTATGGGAGGTGGTTATAAAAGAAGAGGATTGGTTTTATGATCGGACATTGGGTGTATGGAATGAGGGTGAATCGGTTGAATTGTCTTCATTTCAATGACCAATAAAAATGACAATACATTGTAAAGCCAGACATACCGGGTCCACCCTGGCTGTCAACGGGTATCGACACGATCGAAGATCATCATTATAAATGAACAAAGACTTGAATGGATTTGCCTATTCGCTACCTATTCTTAGAAGACGCAGGTATCCACTTTTATCATCAACCTACTAACTCTGCGTTGAGACTAATAGCAGCCGGGGAATCCTCCAGACCTCCATGGGAATCATGGGAAAAGCAAACTAGAAAGAACAATCAAGGAAAGGACAGAACAATCCTGTAACACTCAAGGCATCCGTGACGGAATGATAAGAATAGATACCGCCACAACCTATAGCTCCCAAACTCCAAAACCCCATGCTCAAGATCAAGAACAGACGTGAGATGCACTTCAAAGTTCAGAGCGTTCTTACGCATTTGGTGCCGCAAGAAGGGTCCGCTTGGTGGGTGGAGGGGGAGGGGGCTTCTTCGCACGAGATGGTGGAGGGGGCGGAGGAGCCTTCTTCGATCCGAGAGTGTTCAAGTTGGTTGCGCTAGGTCTCCGGGATGGCGTACTGCCGTGAGATGTTGCTGGGGATATGGACCTGCCCCCGCTAAATATCCGCTCGGGGCTAGAACGGCCATATGAGCTGACCTCTTCGGAGTCGGCGTAAGGATCAGCAGAGACTCGACCGTTCCCAACTTGGGTGCTGCTTCGACGTCCAAACCCGCCCAGATTCTCGCTGGTGGTTCGCTGCTGGAGCCACTGTGATGCAACTGGCGCTTGTTCTTGTCGCAGTTGAGACGGGCCTTCAAATGTAGGAATTCGGTTGAGAACGGGACGCGAGACACTGGCATTCCCATAGGCATCTCGCGGGGGCGAGTCAGAGTATGGTGTAATAGATCTGGCTGGTCTAATAGGAGCACGAGTCTCATTAATCGACTCCTCCTGCAGCGGCTCATACCGTTCCTGGAACGAGTGGGCAGTGTTGGCACGAGGACGGGTTGGCCGACGGGGAGGGGGCTGTAATTGGCTGTCCCTGTTTCAGTATTAGTACCGCACACGAGGATGCAAAGGCTAGATCAATGCTTACCCAATCCATTCATTCTTGAGCTGCAAAAGGGCTTCGCGGGATCGTTCATGGTAGTCAAGCTGGGCGTCCAAGAACACCCCCATGTCCATAACATTGTCCACTTCGGCTTCTTTGATGTCCTGCATGCGACGCAGCACATCGTCGCTAGCTTCCTCGTACTTCACTTTTTGGGAGCGTAGTTCTTCCTCCACGCGGAAGTCCTCCTTCTTCGCCTTCTCCATCTTAGAAAGAGAAGTATCGTATGCCAGTCGGCGGCTGTCGAGCTTCTTGCGAGCATGCTATGAGCAGGTTAATATTGACTTTCAACTTTAACCTTCGGTCCAAAAACATACCTGCAGGTCTTTCATCTGAGTCAGGGATCTTTCCAAGGACTCAAGCCAGCTTGAAGTCGCCTGTGCAATGTAATTCTCTTGGATGCGCGCAATACGCTCCTCGGTGCGTCCAAACACTGATCGAATTGTTAGGGATTCGATTTTTTCGCCGCATTCCCCAGGTCGTCTTCAGAACTTACTGATCAGACACTGTCCGTATTCCGAGTTCCCATCGAAATCTTCGCCGTGGGCCACCATGCTGCTTCCCAGGTGGGCAATCGGGAGGGTCTTTTCTTTGTCGTCACCCTCATTGCGCTTGGAGATAGCCTTGACATAGGAGGTCATGGATTTATGAATGCGCTCAACGCCTAGAGATAGAGAGCGGTTGTCAGTATGGATACACTGCAGGCACGGAGTGTGGCCACTTCTTACCTTCCTGTCGCACGCCCATCTCCGTCTCCATTGCCTTGAAATCATCAGACAGGCAGGTCTTGGCCTCCCCGCCCATGCGTTCTCCAGCCCATTGTTTGAATCTGCCGATTCTCTTGTTGACGTGCATGTTGGCGAGAGATAATGGTATGCGGAAGAATAATCGAAACCAGCGATTGTGTAGAATAAAAGGTCAACCTTGGAAGGGAATGGTAAGGGAGTGGTAAGGGAATGTCTAGAATGCTCTAGGATCAGGAGAAAAGACGGGGGAGGGGGAGGGGGAGGGGAAAGGAGGTTGGGAATTAGATTAAATGCCGGGGGGCACGCAATTATGATAAAATCGAATATTCGCATACAAGTTACAACAAAATACAATGCTTTTTATGCATGCAGTAACGCCGATCTTGTCAATCAGTGGGGAAGCCTGTACTCTCTTATTATTGCCATTGAAGCAAGAAACGAATAAGAAGAAGAATAAATAACGAAATAACGAAATGTCCATAACTACCAAGTCCCTAATGCGACAGTCATATTGCGTCCGAAGGTACTCCGTAGTACTCCGTGCTCTGTACCGGCGTATCCCCATACAAAGCCCTAAAATAGCCTGCCACCAAGGGGAGAACCACCCCCAGTAAACGCTGTGACACGCGTTAGTGGACCAACTGGTGGAGAGCCACTAAATCCCATTGGAGGCGTTGAATTACTATAATTATCCCTTGCCACCAGGGAATATTAGAATGTGACTTATAAAGTAGTGGCATTAGTGAACTACTAGTTTATTATCCTTATTATATGGAGCCCAATAGTATACAATAACCTTGGATAGACTCCGTACTAAACTATGCACTCCATATACATACTCCGTATTACTCGTATAATACTCGCACGGTGCATGCGTTGGCTTTAAAAAAAGGTTTCAAAACTGTTTCAGTTGGTCCCTGGCTCTGGACCGGTCCAATGTGATTTGCGAGTTACGGTGAACAGTGAATCAAGATCCAACGACTATCAGTGGGTTGCATCGCCACAATACAACAAGTTGCATGTCAAATCCGACGGAGTAAAATGGCGAAAATTCCCATCCACCATTCGGTCCGTTATTATTGGTAGGAATATATATACTCGTCTCCAGTGCAAGTATCCATATCGTAATCATATGGTCCGATCAGAAACATCCGCCAAGGTCATTCGAGGGTCAATAGATAAGCCAGGTATCCACGTCTGTTCCGATTCAGATGCCAGCAGAGCATCGAATTCATTCCAGCCACTGGGAAATGGAAAATTGCCCCTAGCAACCGACAGACCAGCCCCCTTCTCACTAGTATTCCAATCTAGATCCAACACCTCACCACCCCTATCCCCCAACGCCGAGCGCGGCGTTCCACCTTCAGGAAAAGCACAGGATGGCGATGATTCCGGTGAGTGCAGGTGGCTTTGCCCAAGACTCTCTACATATTGACCGGGCGTAACGCCCACGTGCTTCTTAAACACACGGTGGAAATGACTAGGCGTCAAGCCAGCCTCGGCCGCCAGATCTCTTAATTTCGGTTTCAGTCCTGCTGTCAGGATGCTCCGGATTGACTCGCAGGCTGTGTCAATTTTGGCGGTTTGAGGGTTGCTTTGAGCCGCCGTCTGGCCCGAATGCGGCCGGCAGCGCTTGCAGGGTCGGAAGCCGGCATTCTCTGCTTGCGGGGCGGTGTCATAGAACTGGACGTTGGCGCGGCGGGCTAGTCGTGCTGGGCAGGAGGGACGACAGTAGATTTTTGTCGTCAGGACGCCGTAGACGAAGCTGTTGGCGGTTATGTCGCGGGTTGCGATGGCTTGCCACCGTTCCGGGTTGGTGAGGGGATTCGGGTTGAGTCGGGGGATCTGCTGGGGCTTGGATGGGTCTGTCATTTTCCGGGTATTCATACTATAGATATCTTCGAGATATTGTATATTGTATTCATTGTGGCATCAAATTACTCCAGGTAGAGGGAACTTCGGGAAATCTGCCTAGGCGATGGTTTGACCCCAAAGTGACCAATCAGCGTCCAGACTACCCAATGCCTCAATGTACAACGGTGTACTTAGTACACCAGGGCTACCTACAATATATAGCATGTACATGTAGGATTGAATAATTTACTTGGTATGCTAAATGTTGTATTTTGCCTTCCTGGTTCCGAATAATCTTCGGTTCCTGTGCAACTTTGCCATGACTATACACACCACTCCAACAACAATTGAAGGTACCATAGATTCTGTCTCAACGAGCCAATGGCAAAGTCGAGAGATATTTGTCCATTCGCGCGTAGTCTCCGAGTCGAAGCTCCTAACCAAGTTCATGTCAATATCTTTCCTTCTTCACATATAGTACTAAGTGTTGACTATATCTCAAGGGACTCAAAGGATCTACACACCTCAAAGGAGTAGCTAGAAAATGGAAGCATAACGCCAAGGGTTTGGTAATAGTTCATTGTATTTGAGTCGCGCTCTCTCTCCTGATACCTATACAAGGTGACCAATAATTAGAATGGACCCGTCCCGCGCATCCTATAACTTACGCTGGTTTGTATCCCAAGGTGCTTGGAGCTGTCGTCGCGTTAAAGAGAGGTTTCCACAAGGGAGTTGGGCTGGTCGAACTTCCGAAAGGAGCGGACGACGAGCCAGAATTAGAGCCTTGGTTATTCGAACCAAACGTCCCATTGACCGTTGGGCTAGACACATTCCCGGTGGCCGATGTTGTACCGGGTGACAAACCGAATGAACCCAGCGTGGTGGTGGCTCCATTGTTAGGTCTAGATCCGCCATTCAATGAGCCTGTGAATAAAGATCCGCTATTCAATGAGCCTGTGAATAAAGACTCGCCATTCCCTGGGTCTCGGAATAAAGATCCGCCATTCCCTGGATTTCGGAATAAAGAACCCTGAGCTGTATCAGAGATTCCTTGACTTGAAGGAAGGATGGGGAGAGGAGACGCGACAGGAAGAGACACGACAGGAAGAGAAGACACAGCAGGGACTGCTTGAAAATTAGCTTTTACATATCGACGTGGTATTTGAAGAGCTACTTACCAGTGACAGCAGGTGAAACTCGCGAGAACAGACGAGTATTGGGCGCCACCTGAGCTATCGGAGCCGTGCCTGCACGGCTTGGAGTTCTAGCTCGGGGATTTGGCGGTCCTGCTGAGATGATATTTCGGTTAGCCTGTGATTCCATGTACCGGTATATGGAATGTAAGTACCCAAGATAGGACGAGCACGCAGCGAAGAGTCCGCTATAACGAAGGCATTGAGAGTCTGCCTTCCCTTTCGGAGCTTTTCGAGCTCTTCATTCAGACGTTCCCGATCCTTCTGGATGTTCGATGGCTCTCCTGCAATTTGTCGAATCTGCTCATCATTCATTTCAAGTACAGTCTTGCCGGTAAAGATATGCTCCAAAGGGCAAAGAAGGCAATTTTCGATAGCCAAGATGGCAACATTGTCGACGAATGTCACGATCGCAGTCTGCAAATACGGCCTGTTAGAACTACCCGATATCTCATTTCGACGTCTAGCTCACCTCGTAGTAGGCCTGCATTTGGTCAATAATCTCTGCTGCTGCAAACTGATCGCTGGATGACTGTAGCTGAGATGTCGCTCGCTCTAGATCTCGGACATTGAAAGTATCCACTCCCGTCGGGGCAAATTCAGACCGCTGGAGGTTCTTTTTCAACGCAGCAATCTGGCGGTTCTTTCTGGACTCCTGGATCTTGGAGATAAATGATGTCCCTACAGGCAACGGATGGCCCCTTTTATAGTACGAGGTCAATTCGCTGAGCTTTTCCAACAAAGACTCCTTCATCTTCTCCATTTCCGGTCCGATGAGGTGTCGCATAAGCAACGGGCGGGTCTGATCGTCCATGAGGTTCTTCAGGACCAACTGGATAAAGTATTCGACCGAATCCCAGGTATTCAACAGATGAGATTTAGCAACTGCTTCCCAGGGCTCGCATTGGTCTCGGAACAAACTCCCCACAAGTAGCTGGTTCGCACTACCTGGTAGCTCAATTCCCCTACTCTGTCGGGCCTGTTCCTTGATCTCATCCACAAGAGACTCCTGGGAAATGTACTGCGGTGTCCAATCACTCATATAAGGCTTGGATCTCTCTTGCTCGACATTCTCAACAGGTGTTGACTGTCCAGGGAATTGGATGATTCGCCGGTTCCCGCGAATGCTCATCGCTTCAGCAAAGCACTCGTTAAGCTCACGGATTACTGCCCGCAGTCGGCGGAAAGGAGACTCTTTTGTGGTCGCCGTATGATCTTGGAATCCACCGAAAAACTCATCGACGTACGATCCATTCAAAGCCTGGTCTGTAATTCGCGCGAATTTGCTGCTGATATCAACAAGGAAACGGCGTTGCTCCTGAAGAGTAGTGCGCGGCGTGCCCATTTTTGCTAGTGTCTGCTCGTTATGAGAAATCCTCTCTTGTATGTCCGCAATAAGACCAGGAAGATTGCGACGGACATGACCAAGTAGAATCTTGCTGAGGCGATGCCTCAGACTTTCGATCCCGACTTGATCTCGAGGAAGGGAAGCCCACCGTCCCTTTTCAAAGAAATCCTTTTCTTGAGCGTCTCGAGCGTCATCGGAAATGCTGCACGTTTCAAACGAGCGGTTGCGCAGTACATGCCATCCAAGTTGCAGCTTGACTTTTTCGTTTTTGATGAACTGTATATAAGTTTCTTGTTCCTCCGAGCCCGCTTCGGGGATATCGGGCTGCGTCACAATGCCCAAGACCCTCTCATATTTGGGGTCAAAGGTCTGTGCGATGTTCAAGACCTTTTGGATATGATAATCGGCCCTTGCACTGATGACAGCCAGGATGATGCTCCGGGAGCTTTTCATGTACTTTTCCGTCAGTTTCTGGACTATCACCATTCCTTGCTCGGTTTGTTCGCTGCTGCTGGAGTAGTAGAGCCCCGGGAGATCCACTAGAGTTAACTCTGGCTTTTCAGGGCCCGAGATCTCGACTTTGAGGACATCGTCGCTAAATCCAACGCTCGAAGGATCGGCGCTGGAAAGGCCCATGCATTCCTTCGCTTTTTCGATCAGTGTGGGGAGGTCCCCACTAGAGGAAAAGGCCTCGGAGGTGAAGGCTCGAAGCTTCTGTCGTTCCTGCTCATTCTCCCTAGAATCCCCAGGCTCGATGGATACTTTAATCCTGTCGTGAGGGCTTCGGCGAAGAACAATTTCGGTCGCGAACCGCGTGCAGATATTGCTCTTGGATGGAAAGCGCACTCTGGAGATGGCCTCCAATACAGAGCTTTTTCCACTGGACTGATTGCCGCAGACGATGATTTGAGGCAGCTCCACAAGGCCTCCAACTCCGATGGCGCGCAGCTCGTCAATCTTGTCCAGCAGTTCTGACTGTTCAGACTGTAGCTGGTTCATGGCATTTTCATCAAGTGGGGATGACATGGTGAGAATGCTGTGATTTATCTTCCAATTCATGGAAGTAAATTACTGTTATAGAATTGAGTGGGGTTTGGGGGAGAGGAAGAAAGGGGGGCAGAATTGGATAGATTGGCGTAGTACACATTGATCTGCGTGTACGTCGTCAACCTACGACAGACACAGTTGACTTCCCAAATCGATTACACCAGAGCTATGCCTTTTTTTATTATAGTAGGCAGTTTGCAAGAAACAAAGGCATATAATACAGGGATCTGGGCTTCCGATTGCACATCTGTTGTGTAGAATCACGAGATACATATCAACGAGCATAACGGACTATATATAATGCTTCTAACCTCGTTTGGGCTGGTAATTATGGGCCCAACCTCATGATGCCTTGTATTTCTGGTTAGACTACATTGCTGAGATATGTGCTAGGTTCATATATATACATGGTCAACGTTGAGAGCTAAATATATACATCCATAGGACCATAACACAACAAGTGATGCAAACCTTTCTGTGGAACGCTAGGTTTCACCACTGTATGGCACTGGCAATAGTGACAACGATCATGCATCGAAATGTATATGCCGATGAATTACTAGACTGTAATATCTACTAAGGTGATGGATAGGAACGAGTAAAAATTTAAAGGTGTATCATTCCACAGCCCGGAGGACTTTTTGATTTCGTTTCTGCCCTGTAGAGGCCAACCCCGGACCCCTTCCCATCACCCTTTGATTTGTTCGACAAGAAAAAGGATGGTGACCACAAGCTTAATTCGCTAAGGGCGCATGAGACGCTCATCCGCAGGCGCCTAAGTACATTTGTCTCATAGCAGAATTCCATTTTCAACCCGTCACAAGAATAACTCCAAGAAAAAGCACCCTTAATCCTTGGTCTTCTGGGTACCGCGGAGCAGACCAGTTCTGCGGGCGGCAATGAGACCAGCCTTTTGACCCTGGGTAGCGTAGCGGGAGATGGTCGAGGCCTTACCGATGTGCTGGTGGTTACCACCACCGTGGGGCTGTAGAGAGAGATGTTAGAGATTGCGGTCCTGGATGTTATCGGATCTGTGTATAGACGGAAACTTACGTGATCGACGGGGTTCATGGCAACACCACGAGTCTTGGGCCAAGAGTTGCGCTTGACGGCGAACTTGTGCTTGGCACGACCGGCCTTGAGCAAAGGCTTGTCGGTACGGCCACCACCGGCAACGATACCAACCATACCGCGGGCGGTGTTCTTGATGACCTTCTTGGCACCGGAGGGGAGCTTGACACGGGTCTTGCCATCCTCGGGGTTGTGGCCAATAATGGTAACGTAGTTACCGGAGGTACGGCCAAGCGCACCACGGTCACCAGCCTTCTCCTCGACGTTGGAGACGACGGTACCCTCGGGCATGGAGCCGAGAGGGAGGACGTTGCCGACGGTCAGGGCAGCGTTCTTACCGGCGTAGATGAACTGGCCGGTGTACATGCCCTCGTTGGCGATGAAAGTCTCGGTGACCATCTTGAACTTGTAGGGGTGGCGGAACTGGACCTTGGCGAGGGGAGCACCACGACCGGCATCGTGGATGATCTCCTTGACGACACCACGGGTGTAACCGTGAGCCTCAGCGAAGTCGAGGGTCCGGAATTGGGCAGGGGCCTTGTTCAGGCGGGTGTTGGCCGCTGTAAAGTAGAGAAAAATTCGTAATCAGCACTCCAATCTCCTTGCGAATCTGTGTGGTCTTCCAATGGTATTCTTCATTTCCTCCTCGCTGCTCGGGATGCGCAGCCTCAAAATTTCGTGCGGGAATGGTTTGCGGTCGCACTCACTGAAAATGGAGCCACGGCCCTTCCTCTGGTTGCGGATGACACGACCCATGGCGACTGTCTAGACGAGGATCCTATGTTAGTATGGAAGCCGGACAGAAGTGTCGTGGAAAAGTGGTAAGCGTACCTCGAAGTGAAATAGGCTTGTCGTTGACGAGTTGAGAAATCATCGGACACGGGGACTTGTGTGGGCTTTAGGGTGCGGTCGCTAATCTAACCCAATCGGGTATAGCGCATGGTCGCTTACTTGAATTGGCTTGAACTACAGCATTTCTGAAATAGGCCTTTAACCGCTAGGTTTATATGGTGATTATAGATAATAATTGCATTACTAAATTAAAAAGAGTATTTTGAAAGGCTTTCGACTGAAATATCTCTGTATAATCTCCATTTGACGCCTGAAGAGACTCTTTCAGTGCAAGCCCTGTAGATTTTGAGAGGGCAGGTTATGTCATCAGCACACACGTGATTGCCAAGACTAGATATCGCCAAGACTTTTCATTTTGGAGTGTTGCTCTCTTCCTTGGACCTCGAAACACCTGTGTCTGTATATTCTATGCTTCTGTCTATGGTTTTGGTGTGTGGACCTATTAATTAAATGAGGCCTAAACAGCCTTGGGCCATACTTGCCTCTCAAACATTACAGATGTCAATATCCAATGGTTCACAAAGCTCGTCGCGTACTTCTCGAGGTCTAGTATGAAAGCAACAGATATGTGAATTCGTCCCAGCTAGTCACATTCATTTCTCCCTGCGCTATTACATCTCTTTGACTTGATTGGGGTTTTGAAAATACCAAATAGAGCTTCACCAGTCTCTCAGCTCAGCTCTACTTCTATACAGTAATTTGCAAATTCAAGCTGCTTTTATGCCAATATCTCATTTATTTGATTCATTCTCTTACAGAAGACAATAAGGAGCCTCGGTAAAATATGTTACAAACAAATGGAGCAGTTGTCTCCGGAATCCTTGAGATAATAGCCTCGGGCGCAAGCCCAGTGCATACGGCAGGTTTTTGTGTCCATCGCGCTAGGAAGGTTAACCGGCTGCCATGAATCAACATTGATACATAAGTGTATTCTCTTAAAAGTCTAGAAATAGTTCGTATCAAATGTCTCCTACTAACAATATTCGGGGATAGTCAGTGGCTATATTCTAAAAAGCCCTAGAATAGCGATAGAAAGATGATAACAAAGTGGTTTTTATAGCGCTAGACTTTCTCTACGGGATATAGTTAGATATTATAGGTATTTTAGAGTAGGGCATGTATCGAGTTTGCACAAATGTGCTCTAAAATAGAGAAATAATCTCCTGCTTATAAAGGCTTGCACATAGGTTGGCGCGATGGACCCAAAAACCTGCCGTACGTGCAGACGTGACGGCTCGATTGCGCGCAACTTACTTCTTCCTTCCACCTACCCCATCACTTCCACCATGCCTTCAGATTCAGAACTTTCATCATTATCATCGGCACCTCCAACGGATGACGAAGCTACTATGGCGATTGACCACCCGACTGGTATAGCAAAGTACTTCAAGAAGGAGTCTGAGACGCCGCCACCGAAGCGGGAACCGTCACCTCCGCATGAATACGTCGTGGCCGACAACCCCGATATTGCAGTGAGTCTATTTGGCAGGAAGATTTGCGCATTGCTTGGTCTACGGACAAATGACGCGTTTGGCCAACAATAGAACACGCTTGCTAAGTTATCGCAATCTTTAGTTCATCGTCGCGTTCCGCGCGCGTTTCCATGAAGTGTTCCCCAAAGGTGTGCCACACTACGGCCCACAGGATATTGAGAAGGGCATTGAGGAGTCGCCCCCCGGAGAATACATCGAAAGACTTCTATGCGCATTGCTTGGGCTTGTTCTGAACCGCAAGAAAGAAGTTGAGTATGTTCGCCACCTGTCGCCCGATACCGTGCGGAGTGCTTGAAGACGCGCACGCTATCGGTTGTCAAGCCAAGTCAAGTGCTTATCTAATATTTGAATATACAGACGAAATCACTTCACGCGTCCCCTCGAAGAAGCAATCCATACACATCAGGCGCAGTGGCCAAAAGAATGGGAGGGCAAAAACCCTCTTCATGGGGGTGGCAGCTTTGCGACCATGTCACCCGTGGAACGTGTATGTTTTTTAATAGCCACGACACCCGATTGGCGATTCTGACATGTCTTCTCTTAGCTGCGTTTATTGCGAACCTTGATACTGTGGTCACTTTCGTCGTCCGAAGCGGTTCAGGCGAAGATTAAAGAATCCTACAAGCAGGCGCGCCACGATGATGATCTCAATCAACCATTGTCTGTCCAACCCTGGGGCAGAGATAGCCTGAAACGCCGTTATTGGCTTATCGAAGGGCATGATGATACAAATTTCCGCCTTTACCGCGAAAGTAACCCGGCCCTCAAAAACAACACTTGGTGGAGCATCGCGGGGAGTATTCCTGAGCTGGAGGCTGTCGTGGAGAAACTCGAGGGCGAAAAAGGCACAAACTCCAAGAAGCTTAGCGAGAGAATTCGCGCTTCAATCCCTCGATTTGAGGCATCAGAAGAGGTGATTTTCTACCTAGAGAGTACATTGGATTTTGCTAATAAATTATTAGAAACGGAGACGCCGCGAATACCGTCTCGCTCGGAAAGCTGCGTTCGTTCGTCCGGATCCTGGGTTCTCCATGTATGAAGGTCGTACACGCGGCAAGAAACTGAAATACACATACTCGGACGACGATGACATCTTTTCTGATGATGATGAGCCTTCCGCTCGCCGCTCCACTAGAAATGCAGCTCCTACGGAAGCTTCCACGGAGTCTAGACGCCCTCGGTTCACGGCAAGCGGGAGACAGATTCGATCTCGCGCCGGGGGCCTCTATGGCGAGGCTCTGTTGATTGGTCAACGCAACGGAGCTGATGATGATGAGTTTGATGAAGATGATGAAGAAGAAGTAATCAGACCCCAAAGGGCTCGCACTTCAACCCACCCCAACGGATACTCTGGATACGACGCCGATGATTTGGAGGATGCATCTGAAGTTCCTTCAAGCGCGAATGAAAGCGGCAACGAATGGCAAGGCGTTGAAGACGATTTGGAGCACGATGTCGAAGGCGATAATGAAGAGGACGAAGCAAGCGCAGATGAGTCAAGCGGCAATGAGGAGCCAGAAAGCCTTGTTGTGCAACTTCGATATGGCAAGGGAGATGCACCTAGCAATCTAGAGGTCCAGATCAAAAAATCACCTCCGGCGAAAGAAGTCGAAATTGCCGAAGAAACCGCAGCAGCATCCTCCGCCCAAGCACCGCCGAAGACCCTCCATCAATCAAACTCGGATGCGCAGCAAGCCCCGACAATGATTGCCACTTCACACCCTTTTGCTTCGATACCCCAAGTACCGACTCATTCTGCTGCAGCGGTAGCTGCGCCATCCGTTTCTTCAAACGGCGTGGATCAAATTTGAACCATCTAGCTATAAATTCGGATTCACTTCAGAATAGGTGTTTTCGCTTTAGTCGGACTAGAAAGAGGCCAGGAATATATATTCTACGAAATGTCACTAGATAGATCTTTTTGGATTGCAATTGTACTTCTATCAGGCTGTGTGTATTATATCGGTACAAACGGCACGCGAAGTGATGGAATGAAGCTCAAAATATTGTCTTGCTCATAATCAATAAGTTCACTACACAGTAGACAACACTAAATTCGAATGGCACGTACTCGAGATCTATGTATACAGATTTATGCCAACTGACAACGCAAATGTTGTGTTCTGACGCGGCAGCCCATGAGGTTTGCCCGGTACGCCAGATATGGCAAAAAAAAGGTAATCTACTATATAGTAGAGTCGAGGTATATAAGAAATGGGAATCAACAAAAGCAGGCGCCCCCAACAGCGCAAACGCCAAAAATGCAAGCAATACAGTGTACACTAGACAGGTCGCATCCAGCGCAGAAGTGACCTCAGTTAGAGCCTGCATCGGAGAACTGGGCTGTGTAAAACTGCAGAAACTCCTCGAGCGTCAGCCTCTCCACTTCTGGTCGAGATCAGATGAGAAATTTATGTTTGGCGAAGTGGGTACTCACATTTTCAACCTGCGACATTTGCTTATGATCTCTGGTCGAGCCCAATTGCGGCAGATGCCAGTTGTTCACTTCGTACCACCATCTGCGAACACGACTGCCGAGGGTGTGTCCGCTGACTGAAGCATTGCGGTTCCAGAAACGCCAGCCGGAGAGCGCGAGTGTCCAAACGGTTCCTTGGATCAGAGGGAGAAGTACCTAGAATGGAAAGATTGACATGTTAGCCAGGCATTATCAAAGAGATTATCCTTGACACCCCAAAGGAATCATTTGATGCATACCTGATCCCTAGTAGTAATCCACGCTACTCGGCCCCAGGTGTCAGCATCCTTAATGCTGGCTAGATAGCTCTGCTCAAAGCGCAGATCCGGAAGAGGAGGAAGAGTGTGTCGGCGGCGGACCGGCCGAATTACTTGTCTTGGATGGACAACGTCGGAGGCAATGCTGTTTGTTTCGGAGTCTGGGCCTACCGCGACGGGTCGTTTCTCCGAAGCTGTGGTGGCTGGATTGATGTCAAGAGATGGGTCTGGATTGCGATTGATGCTCGCGGATTGGAGAATCTGCGGGATATCCATAGCATGGTCGGCCATTTTGGTGGGTTTTTATACGAAGGTGAGCAGCCTGGGGTGAATAGAAGTAGCTCCCAAGGTTGTTCGGCTGGTACCGGTGGGACCGCGGATACGCAGTCCGCTCTTTTCTGCCAGCCCCTCCATATCCTCCACATCCTCCCACCCTTCTCCCACCTTTTTACTTCGATTCCATTCTCAATTCTCTTTAATCTCTCATTAATTATATCACAATGGCTGCTGCTCAAGGTTACCCTCTTCTGTGTCTGGAGAACCCTCTCCTCGGTATGTGAAGGATCATCTGGACATGTTTATAAAATGCTGACTTGCTTGCAACAGACATCCAGGCTCGTGGGTATGAATGAACCTGAAGTAAAATGGTGCTAAGTTCTAAATGCTGATATTTCTTAGCGATGCCGCTCTCCTGGAGAAGTATGATCTGAAGCCCAATGATGCTATCCTCGCCGAGGAGAAGCACATGGGTATCTACGAGGACCTGCTTGCCCGCGATGCCAAGCTGATCCCCGGTGGTGCTGCCCAGAACACCGCTCGTGGTGCCCAGGTATGGATTAAAACACCCTCGTGATCCCCATGATTGATATTGACAATTTTCTCAGTACATGCTCCCTGAGAACTCCGTTGTCTACATCGGTTGTATCGGTAAGGACAAGTACGGTGAGATCCTCAAGAAGACTTGCGAGGAGGCCGGTGTCCACACCGAGTACCGTATCGACGAGACCCAGCCCACCGGTAAGTGTGGTGTTGTCATCACTGGCCACGACCGCAGCATGTGCACCCACCTCGCTGCTGCCAACGAGTACAAGCTTGAGCACCTCAAGCAGCCCGAGGTTTGGTCTCTGGTCGAGAAGGCCCAGCATTACTACGTCGGTGGCTACCACCTGACTGTCTGTGTTCCCGCCATCCTTGCCCTTGGTGAGGAGGCTGCCGCTAAGAACAAGGTATGTCGTTTGCATTCTGCTGCATTGGACCTTTTTTCTAATCTATTTATTTTCGTCAGACCTTCATGCTGTCTCTCTCTGCCCCTTTCATTGCTCAGTTCTTCAAGGACCAGCTGGATAGCGTCCTGCCCTACACTGACTACACCTTCTGCAACGAGACTGAGGCCATTGCCTACTCCGAGGGCCACCAGTGGGGCACCGAGGATATCACTGAGATCGCCAAGAAGCTCGCTCAGCTCCCCAAGAAGAACACCCAACGTCCCCGTGTTGCCATTGTCACTCAGGGCACTCTCCCCACCATTGTCGCCATCGGCTCTGCTACCGGTGACGTCGAGGTGAAGGAGTTCAAGGTCCGCGAAATCTCCAAGGAGGCCATCAACGACACCAACGGTGCTGGGTGAGTGATATTGATCTGAACAATCCACTCATATATACTGACTTGCTATTCCTTATAGTGATGCCTTCGCCGGTGGTTTCTGCGCTGGTATCGTCGCGGGCAAGTCCCTCGATGACAGCATCGACATGGGCCAGTGGCTCGCCAGCAAGAGCATCCAGGAGCTTGGACCTTCGTGAGTTTTCCCAAAGTAATACATTGCAAGAATACTAGCTAACAACTCTTAACTCGCAGCTTCCCCTCCCCCAAGCAGACCTACTCCCGCTCCTAAGCGTTCATAATGTAGGCTACGAAAAAAAGCATAGACTACCAACACCTTCAACATATCTACCAACCTAATTGGAAGGTTTTGTGCGATCCAGTTCAACAACTGGATGAGCACCACTTGACTTTGGATGATTCAACCCTCTATACCCAATTTTTTCCCTTTCTTAAAATTTCATGACTTCAACGTACTGTCTGAAAAAGCGAACAAAACCCATACTTTTGAGAATCTTGTCTAATTACCTGTGGCTGTCCTTGTAACGGCCACCTGATAAATGAAAGTATTTAGGCGATCTACCCTTCTATTATCCGCAAGAAAGAGCCCATACCGTAGATACTACAAGAAGCACGTAAAATGCAAATTTGAATTTCAATTGCCTAACCGACACGATGGTGTCAAGAGGGTAATAGGCCCCGAGTAATCTGCAGGCCCATACTAATTTCAAAGATCACCGTATGTCCGCGCCCTAGAATTCTTCTAACGATAGAAAAGACGAGGCTAAGGTTGATGGGGATAACGCGGTTCCTGGCCATGTTGCATGAAAAAGAAGAAAAGGCAGAAAACAGAACGAAACAAATGTCTTCTCCAATGGCAGATTGTCCATGTTCATATCCTCGTATTGATCATGTCCTGTGGTTGAACGCACGTATCCGTCCAGACAAAATTGCGAGGAGAGCGAGGACCGAAGAAGTTCCTGCAATTGTGGAAAAAAAGCCATAAGCGTCCTCGCCACCAGAGGACTAGTGCGGGATCTGCCATTTGTGAAACTGGCTAGCAGTAATACAATCTCGTCTGGTCGTTGTAAAGGTGCATACTGTCAGTGTAGGCCTGAACTTGTAGACTCAGTGACCACAGACAAACACAGTACACGCCAGGATATTTGGAGGTCGGGTAGCACTGTTAATTATGACAGCTTGCCCAGCTGGTAGTGTAATATGCATATGCACATAGAAGAACTAAAAAATGAGAGCTTTAATATTCGAATCAGCCTCCTTGGCCACAGGGTGGGGTTTGACCGACTGCTCCAAGCTGGGTTGCAGGCTTGCGCCCGCCAATCCCGGAGCTGTAGGGAGTTGCCCCAGCGAGGCTGCTGGCGATGAAAGCGTCATTGGCCCATGACTGATGTCCCAGGCTGCTGGACATCGTCTGGCTCGGGAGTTCGAATGCACCGAAGGTCGCTCGGCCATGATCCCAACCGCTGGCGGTGGGACGAGCATGAGAGATGGATGATGCCCACGGTGTGGGCATTGATCCTACGTCCAGTGAGCTTGAAAACTGGGTCTGGGCCATCAAGTGCTGTCGGAGCATGAGCTCATTTGCTAACTGATCTTGCGACGGCGAGCGCTCAGAAGGCATGGCATTTCCAGAAGCCATGGGGTGCAGTGGAGCTCGCTGGCCATGTTGTGGACCAAGGCCAGGGGGCGTTCGTGGAGGGGCGGTGTCTCTCAGTGGTGTCCAAATGCTAGGGATGCTGGGAATGGCAGGCCGTGGGGTATATGATTGCGCCGATGTAGGCTCAGCTGTATTTATGACTGGTGGACCAAGCCCAGGTGGAGGAGCCATGGGAGTGGTGAGTGGTGGAGAGTTTTCGTTCCGGAACGGGTAAGCATTGACATTGGGTGAGACATGCGTAGGTGTCGATATCTCCCCCGAATTCATGAAAGCAAATTGGCCATTGGATGGGGTTTCATACGTGTCCGAGTCAACAAGTCGTTCAACGCCCTCAACGATCTGATGCATGTTGGCGGACATAGATGCCGATGCAGACTGGGAACCGCCGAACAGACTTTGGGCTTCTGCGGCAGAGTATGCATTTTGACCGGCCTGTGGGATATCCTCACGCTCGATGCTCGCAACCGGAAGTGCATTCTGGCGGCCATGAGGGCTGGAATAGAATTGCGAAGGCAGATCCTCTTCTTGATAGATAAATGTCTTCTTGTCTTCACTGTCCACAAGAGCCACGGGTATTTTCTAAACGAGGTTAGCAATCTGCTTGTTTGTTTATAATATCTTCAGAGCTTTCCACATACTCCGTTAACAACCAAGTCGAGTCCATCAATCACGAATTCACGAATTCGATAGAGCATTTCCATGTTGGGGTGACTTCTTTCAATCCCAAGATCGTGCATCCTGGGCTTTGGCTGATCACGACTTCCAACGTATCGGCGAGAAGTGGCATCCTGATCTAGAGGTGCAAAACCAAGACTTTCTTCGTCTTCTTCCAATAGATAATCGACCTCGGGAAGGCTGACCACATCAAACGAGGATGCGAGCAGGCTCAGCGTACCGGCATAGATTTTCCAGAACTCTTTGATTTGAATCGAGAGCGCCGAATCTTTTTCCTCCTTCTGCTCAACCAGAGACTTGCTATTTGTAAGCAGCCAGGAGCTGTAATGGCGAAGCGCGGGCAGGATCCGACGAGCAACCACGGACACCTTGTCTGGGATAGGCATTTCATCTTTGCTGTTCGGATCTTCAAAAGAAGCAGTTCGTTCGAGTTCGACCAAAAGTATTTGCAGTAAGGTGAAAAATGTCTTCACGTTGATGCGTTGGAAAAAGACGCGTGCTTCTAAGACAGACTCTTCTAAGATAAGTAAGCAGATGTATGAGCAATGATAATGTTTCGAGCTCTTACCAATAGACCGGACCTTAGCAAAATCCTCGGCCGCAATATTAATGAGACAGAACTTTTGAAGTGTCCCCTCTAGTGATCGTTCTCTAATCTCTACTGCTAGTTGACTGAGAACTTCACTCTCCAACTCATCGTGCTCGGGGAAGTCGGTGCCCTTGTAACATTTGGCATGGAGATAAAGAAACCACGAGGTCAAGGCCCTTCCAGGGATACCGGCATCTTCGGGGCGGATCAGCTCTTTCTTAGCCCAAGCACTCATGATTTTTCGGAGTTCAATCTCCAGATTGCCCTTCGCAGTAGGATGGGGTTCTTGGGCTGACAGGGCTCTGTAGAGATGGTAGGTAGCACGAAGATGATTTCCATCCGCGAGAGCGATAATTGCCAATTGGTTCTGAGATGCACCCGAAGCAGGGTTGATCACCGACGCCAAATCATAATAACCGATGGCAGGGCCCCAGTTGCGATCTTTGCTGACGAGTTCCGATTCACGATAGCGGGAAAGGTCTCCCAGCCGGATAAGAGTTGCGTGGCAAGACTGGAGAATCAGCCTACGCAGGTCTTTGGAGGGCTTGATAGGAGGTTGGCCGGACAGATCTAAAAACAAACGCGGGTCAGCGTGCCTAGAGACCCGGCGCGCAGCTTGTGTATCTGCCTTACTCTCAAAATTGAACTTGCGCGCCACTCTCTCCAACTCAACAATCCCCCCAAATCGCGACGACAAGTGCTGGATGTATCCTCGGTAAAACCGCTGGCTTGACTTAATGAAATCGAGATAATGGCGTTCGAGTTTCCGCCTCTCCACTGGTTTTTTCTTGCCGTGCTCTTCGCGAAACTAATGATAGACAACCACAGTCAGCGAATATATACTTTGCGAAAAGCTTCCGTGGGGTACTCACGCGAATCAACTGCTTGCGAAACCGATTGTTCACTTTCAAGTGCGCATCCCAAAGGCGAGTCTCCACATCGGCCTCGCGGGAAGCATTGAAATCGAGGAGGATTGCATTCTGAGAAGAGGTTCGGAACCTATATAGGAAAGAGGTCAGCCATGCGTTGGCGTGCGCGCGGGGCTTGTCACTGACTCGGAGAGGAAATGTTCGAATTCATCGAATGTGCGCCGTTCTTGCGAGAAGCATTGCAGAAGCTCTTTCTCGGCTTCTATTGCAGTCCTGTATCACACCACTGGTCAATGTTCACAATCCAGCCGAAATCGAGAGGGGAAAGCACTAACTTCCAGGCATCCGTGAACGAGGGCGCCATCAGGAAGTTAGCCCGGGGATCCCGAGCGTCAACCTCGCCGGTCAGATGGCTATGGCTTGGAATATGAACGGCGGAGGAGCCATCAGTATGTGAAAGACATGAAAGCGCACAGGGATGATGTGATTCGAGTTGAGTATGAAAATGCATAAATGCGATCTCGGTCTACTATCCGCGATGATTGGTGTTGCCAAGGCGGGAGGTATCGCGTAACGTATGCTGATTACGGGTTTATTTCATCTCATGGGCACAGCGACATAAGGACAGCGACATGTGCAAGTCAAAGGAAGGTGAAGATGAGGATTGTCTCAATGTATACTAGTGAAGAGGTTTATACCGTCTTTAACAGATCACTGTGCTCCACTACGCGCGGAGGGTTATAGCATCTATGGAAAAGACCTAACTAGGTATTTTTGCCGTCCGCCGATGTTTTCAGAATAAACTGGTTTAACTAGTTCTATTGAGCTTTTTGGTACGAGATGTTGATATCATACTGTTGACGTACTTTCTATAACATTTGCCCGAACCCTTAGGCAAGAGACATCTAAAGAAAAAGAGGAGAACATGATGGAAAGTAAAACACACATTGTTAAGGAATACTACACATAAACACTTGGCTTAAATCCTAGAGGCGTAGCCTATAAGTAGCTTGCTATGTTGTAGAGTCAATAAGATATCAAATCGCTATATGAACCCGCCGGCGCCGCTCATCAAAATTTATATAAGCCCTTCCCGCCTTTTTCTGCCATCTATCCAGAAAGCTTAAGAAGAGGAAGAAGACATCTTCAGAAGAAAAGCATATAAAAAGACTTCTAAAAAGATTACAAGGCGGAGAGTGAATAAATTAAGTCTTGCATGGTCGCTGTACTCCTCCGTACGCTCGCCAAGTTGACCTATCAATAATATGCAAGGCGAATTAGACCATGTCGAAACGACCCCGAAGCCGCTCGAGATCTCCATCTCTCGATCAAGACTCAATATCAGTATCCTCAATCGCAGTGAATACTACGACTCCTCCATCTGAGCGCAACAAGCTCATCGACAGTGATACCAACCTCCTTCTCCCTGAGGTGATGCATTGCTCCTTACCGCCTCACCGCGAGACGCTCTCGTTCACCTCCTACGACGACTACGAGGTCCATTATCTTCAATCCCATGTCAACCGCTGTTCCAAGTGCAGCAAGAACTTCCCTACTGGCCATTTGCTCAACATACACATCGAGGAGAACCATGACCCGCTAGCTGCTGCGCGGCGGGCCCGTGGAGACAAGACCGTAAGCCCTAGCCTACCTCCTTAACTATACCCCCACGTTACTAAATCAAACCAAAGTATGGGTGCTTCATCGAAGACTGCGAGCGGAAATGCTCAACCCCGCAGAAACGACGGCTACATCTTATCGACAAACACATGTTTCCCCGGGTGAGTTTCAGATCAAAATAGCGCCCCTACGTCACTGACACATTATACAGAGTTACAACTTCTACATTGTCAATGACGGCATCGATAAGCAAACATCTATGCTGCGGCCCATGAACAGCCACAGACGACGTCTCTCAACGTCGTCGGCTCTGGAGGGCAGGTTGCGGCGCCGAAGCTCGGCGTCTCAATCGAACCCACCGGCAGCAGCTATCCCTGAAAATAAACCACCAAATGACATGGATATGGACATTGATGACCTGGAAAAGTCTATGTCTGCTCTGAAGTTCGTGCCTACAAGCGTCACTAGAAATCGCAACAAGGTGGCTGGCAAATAGTCCTGTCTATATATGTTGTGCTCGTTTGGATGTCAATACGCAACCCTTCCTATGAGAGATGAGATCATGATCAAAATGGATAAATATATACGAATATACTTTACGTACCACTCCTCGAATAGGTAAAGAGTTACTTTGAGAGAATCACTATATGCAAGTCCTAGTAGAAACAAGTTGCTATTGTCCACAACAAACAGTGGTGGGGTATAGACAGCACTAAGCAAATGACGAAGTCATAATACATACATATAGATCAAACAAACATCGAACACAAATAACCTTACTTCCCAGTCCCCCATATACAAAACTCCATGAGACATCATCCAAAAGAGAAACATGTGATCATTAGGATGGCCATTCCAAAGAGGCCATTATTTTTTTTCTTAGAAGAGACGTCAGTTGCATCTTTGCCGGAGATTCTCTGCTCAATGGAACAAAGATCAACCTCCCAAGCGACAGACCTCGAAACAATCAAATTAATATTCCAGGAGATCCGCATACGCATCCAAGCTTGAGCCGACCAAGTCAACGATCGCCCAGCTAGTATTGCCCTTAAAAGTGCGCGCCCAGACGCGGACAATCGCAACGCTAAGCTGCCGCACTTTGTACGGATTCGCCATGAATTCCATATCTGGTGCGCCAGGCGGATCAACCGCCATTTCGGTTTCATCCATCATACTCTTGATCCACAGGAGCAACTTCCGCTCATGCTCCGACAATCTCTGCTCGGAGTGCGTTGTGGGAATGGCGAGTAGCCAGCGACTGAGAAGGAAGGCGCATTCCAGACTGCAGAGCGAATGCTGAATGCTCCAGAAGAACGAATGCGTTCGAGCCACAAAGTCAATTCCTAGTCGTACCGGGATTGAAAGAGCGTGGGCTGAGTGAAGAAGCGCCATGATCAGCCGTGGGCTACGTGCGATAGCAGGGGACTCATTCAGAGCTGATGCAATTTGGACTGGATCTTGTGTGATGAGGTGACGGCAGGGACCTAAGTCAACATGTAAACGGATGTAGGCGAGCCCCAACAGAGCTGTGGAAGTGAATGCAATTGGGCCGGCCGGATTCTGGGGATCGATGCTGGATTCGGGTGTGCGCTTCCATAAAGCCTTCCACGCGCCTAACGAATTGTCTAGTACGTTCAAATCGTCGGGTCTCAAACTAGTGCCCTGTATATGAGGTGCGGAAAGACAGAGCTGTCGAGCAAAGAAAATTTGTTGGATAATGGCGTGGATGAGGACATAGTTTCCAAGGGGGGATATAGGTGCCGACGGAGTTGACATGGATGACTTGAGGAAGAGTCTGGCAAAGGCCTCTTGGAAAGGCACATCTGATCCCTGTCTGGCGCGATAAACGCGACGCCATTGTGCGGAATTGGTCACTTTCCAGAGTTCGTGGGAACACGGCATGATTAACTTCAACTCCGCGTTCAAGATCAGAGGAGGTATGTTATACATGATCGAGTGGAGGTTGAAGAAACAGTATACAATAAGCTTTGTACGTCTGTTACCTTCTCTCCGTACCCACTCCTCCCAGTTGGTAGGTTCTGAGGTGGAAGGTGATTCAGACAAGCCATGTTCGCGCACAAGCCTGGCCAAAGTACTTTGAAGCGAGAGAATCTCCCGCAAGAGTTCTGGATGGCGTTCCCAGGACGCGAACACAGTCAGCAGCAAAAAAGTTCGAATCACTTCCATATGAGCATCTGAGTCATCTAGCGTGTATATTGATGGGTTGAGGGGTGGATTTGACATTTGCTGATGATGTTGGAAAGGGCTGCCCGCCGTGTTAGAAATCATGGATGAACCACGAGAGGTAGGAAACCCTGATGATGGGGATATATAGTTCCATGACGGCTGAAGCACTTGCTTGCTGTCTCGCCGACGGAGTCGCTCCAATAAAATCGCTTTAGCTGCATGGAAAAGGTCGATGCCCCGGCTGTTCTCAAACCGATAGTGTGAACCTGCAGCTGCCAGCGCTAGCGTAAGTTCAGGTGAGGATTTAGCAACCGATAGCGTAGGGACATGTATAAAAGGAAGATGCTCGTTCAATCCGTTGATATACCCGGCGAAGAACCGCGATAGGGCATGCCGCGATGGCGGAACAAATCCTTTCGGGAGAACATATGAAAATTCTTCAAGTTTCGAAATGAACGATTGGCGATCCGAATTAGAGATGTCCCATGCAGGTCGTGTACTCTCGTCGGAAAGACCGATACGGTCGTCCATTTCGTGAGATTCCGGTTGCAGTGATGGCAGCCGGGATCCAAAATTCGAGAAGGACGGGGGATCTTCCGCGGGACCCCGCGGGTCATTCATGATATCCCCGCCAAGTCGTGATGGTATCGGCTCACGGGGCGGTTTCGAATCGATTGTCATACTCGGTGGTAGCATGGGCTCCTCGACCGACGAGAACACGCCCGAGTCCCAATCAGACGACAAACCCACGCTTTCCAGGAAAACCGTAAAATCCTGGACAGGGTCCCCAAGATCCGTGAGATCAAGAATCGAAGGCTCTACACCATAACTATCGGCAATTGCCCTCTCCTGGACATGAGGAAGTTGTTGTGACGTAGGAGTGGCTGTGTGTTGTGGTTTTCTCATGGACTCTAGGCTTTCCTGTTGACCCTCCAAAGCGACATGGCTTGCGGCATGAGATAAAAGATTCAAATCATATCCCCATGAGGGATTAAAGTGAGGTGTATCTATAATCGATGGAGTCTGGACCTGGACTTCAGGTGGTGGAGGAGGCACTTGGGTGTGGACAGGGATGGCATCTGCAAGCTCTAACATGCGCGACTCATGATGGGCGGGTTGGATGAGGTTGGACTGAATTGGTATTTCATGGTTGTTCTCGTGACCATTCTGAACCCGGTGTTCTCGACTGGCTGCACTTTCAGCAGGGTGGACTAATCGCTCATGTCGCACTAGAAGGTCACTGGAAAATTCATATTTGATAAGCGATTGGCATTCTATTCCGGGGATTGAGCGCAATATAAGCCTACCTCCGAGCAAATGATTTGGAGCAAATGTCACATGAAAAGGGTTTCTCTTTTGTATCTGTTGTCCTACATTAGACGAATTCCAAGAAGCCGGGAGCAAGAGGGGGTTACTCAACGGGTGCGGAGATGGCGTTGGAGATGTTCTAAGCGAGCAAAAGACCGACTGCAATATTCACACGACAGGGACTTCCGATGAGTCACAGCTTTCTTTTTAGATTTGGCTGATTTTTCGTCCTCCATTGTTTTTGGAGTT